CTCCCTAGTAAATAGGCAAAAATTATGCTAAACTTTGCTGTCTATAACTTGATTGAAGTCCCTACTTCTTACAGTGCAACTCATTCAATTGTTAAAAACTTTCTTGTCAAATAATGAAACTACATCAGTTCATTTGTAAGTATTGGTTCACTAGAAAGCATTATCTCAGTGATAACACTTCCCTTCCAAAAATTACAAAACATGGAAAGGTAATTAAAGGGGTAACTAATCTGTTGCATGAATTATAAGTTGCTAAGTGGCCTTAAAGTTACTGCTCAGCATCTGCTGTCAGATTGCTGGTCACAATCCAAGTTCTCACATTCATTGCTTTCTCCGAATTATTTTCAGCCGTGTGTCCTTGGAAGGATATGGGAGTGGGCTGAGATATCTAACCCCAGATGTTGTTACTCTAGGAGAGCTTTCTTGGCCTTATAATTAAATGGATGTGCTTTTTGCTCTTTTATCTCACAAAGATGCTTTTCCTTAAGGATTTTCTAGTTGAAGACCTTGTGCCTCAGCCCACGCTGTTTTGTAATTCAGCATCTGCACTACAGGAAATGTTTGTGGCCTAATTCAGCAGTACTGCCTTTTGTAGACCATGATGGCCTTGGTGGTTAATAGTCAGAGGAAAATATGAGACTGGCTTCTCCTTCTGCCTGTCTCTAAGGATTACAGGATGTGGATACTTTGGATTTAAGCTCAAAAAGAATTTATCATTCAGAGTAGAATGTTGTTATTATGCAATTTTGCTACATTAACACATCTCAAGTGCCTTACCTGTTCTAATTTAGTTGTTTGACGTTTCAACTTGTTGGTGAGATGGAGATGCATTTTTTAAAGAAACCATACATACAGAATGAGAAGTTTTAGTGGATTGGATAAGTTGTGTGGCTGGATTTTAGACAACTTTCAATAAATATTTTTTAATCTACACTGGTGTCTCTCAAACTTTCAGACTGAAAGAAGCTATAACAAACCTATTTTTTTCCACTATTGCTTCAGTGTGTGTTAATAAGTATATATAGTAAAAACCTGAGCGTGGCTGAGTAGATGGGATTAATAGTGTGTGTTTATGCAGGAAATCACAACCTGAAGCATCACTGCTAGAGGTCCTCTCATGTAGGCAACGAACAGCACAGGGGCTGTATGTTTTTCACTTGTTCCTCAGGAAAGCTGTCAAAGACAAGACTTGGCTTCCTGGGGTCTTTGGCAGGTGGTGTTCCTGAAAGTGGAGTCCAGTGGGACTACAGTTACAGACTTGAAAAACTTAGTTTCCTGCCCTATTGGCATTTTAAGAAGGCTTCCAGCAACATTTGAGATTGGTTGTGCTTCAGTTGTTAACAATGCAACAAAAGCGATACACAATCTTGTTCTGAAATAACGTTTTCTATGGAAGCTTTCAGATTTTTTAAATGTTGTGTTTATTGTATTCTGTCCCTTTCAAAAGCATTTATCGTATGGGCCAACTTTAAACAATCGTGCGTTGTGTTGGTGGATGGTGGGGACATGTTGGCCTTGCATTTAAGGTGTTTCTCTTAATTTAATTTAATACTTTTAATACTTTTCTCTTTCCATGTTGGCACATGGAATTAAAATAATACTTGTTGTCTTCCCCCTGCAGTTTTTCTGCTCTCTAGGCAGAAAATGAAGCACGTGGAGAAAGGTTGAATTGTGATCAGTGAGAAGAAGACTGAGTGCTTCCACTGTAGCAGATCTAGAGAGCATATATTCCAGAAAAAAGTTATTTGGCTTGTAGAGCAGTTGAGGTAATAGTTAGCTATATGCATCTCTCCTGACTAGTTAGCATAGTGCATTGATCCAGACCCCTTCTGTCTTCTTCAGGGTGAACAAGCCCAGCTCCTTCTGCCTTTCCTTGTAACAGGTGCTCCTGTCCATGTTTCCATTTCTTACCATGCTTATCTTCTGATAAACAAAGAATGAGCTTTGTTGCACATTTTCTGCTCTACTTAAAAGCTCACATCTTGACCATTCCTGTAAAATGAATTTAAACAGTGTTGTCTTGTTCTGGTTTAACTGTACTACTTAATAGTAGTACTTTAACTGTACTACTGCAGAATGATCTGAAAAAACGTATACATACTTGATATTTCTAGGTCAGGAGCATATACACTTATTAAAATAATTGATAACTGTACATGTCTTTAGCCATGTTTTTTTAAAGTAGGCTAATATCTACTTAAGAAAACTAATTACTGCCCCTATGACAGAAATCAGGCAACGATAAGGTTCAACTGTAGTCTGTGATTTACTAACTTGCTCTGAATCTTTATTCTTCCAAGTATACTGGATCAGCAGTGCCCATTAGAGCCTTGGGGGAGGTGGCCCTATGTAGAGGTGAGCTTGACTGCAGGTACGCTGGATGTGCAGAATGTTTTTCCAGAGGTGCACACAGATCCATATGTGGATTTGGGTGAGCTCCCGCAACTTGTATTTTGACGATTTGATGATAGGGTCAGGTTTTGTCTTCTGGACTAATTGTTGGGAGATCTGTTGTTTTATGCTGCCCTTTCCTCACAATTGCTATATAACGTGTATCTTTGGTTATAAGCTGTGAATTCAAGACAAATTTATTTTTAAAAAATACCTCTTGCATTTCCCAAGAATATTGAACTTTATTGATTACTTTATCTTTTTACTTCATAGTTCTAATGTAGACTCTGCCATAAAGCAGGCTCAATCCCTTGAAAATAAACGTTTTGTCTTACTTAAATCACTCAATTGAAGTACTAATGCAGAACTAAGAATAGGTAGTGCTTCCAGTTTAATATACCTATTGGGTGGCAACAGATTAAGATGGCTTTTTGTGTTTATTAATGGAATTTGTTGCAGTCAGAATTAGCACTGATTTTCAGCACCTAGATAAAAGCGAGTGATGGTTTGGTCTTTTAGAACTACAGCTTTGACTGTGAGATAGAATCTAGGAACAAAAGCTATGAAATCAGTTTTTTTGGCTAGTAATAGCATTCAGTAAATGCTGGGTGCAGTTTTTGGCTAAAAAGCTACGTTTTAAAGCAAATTCTAGACTTGTTTGTAGAATTTATCTGAGATATGTGGGCGTGCGTGTTCTGAAGTTTGGAAATGCTATTTGTTTCATTGCACTTGCCTTTTAGAATGAAATACATGCTAAGGAGAGGTTATACTTCAGTTGACAAGGCTTCCACTTAATGTTTCTTTCCTCATTTTGCACACTGTTAGGAACCTAGGTGAGTGGGTACCTTTTATATTTCTATAGGAAGAAAACCTTAATTTTCAAGGCTGGTTATATTTTAAGAAGTGACTAATTGTCATCTGTTTCTAATTCTACCCCATGCTGGACTTGGTGTTGGTGACCCATTCTTCTCTCTTGGCCTTGTGGAGAGATACAAGTGCCAGGCTGCTCCAGGCACTGCAGGTTGGCAGCGTTCTTATGGGAGCACATCACTTCTTCCCCTCTGAGCAGCAGTCTCTCCTGGTCCTCTGCTGTTCATACAGATTTTGACATCTAATAGGAACATGGGGTCTGCTGGTAGAAGCAGGGAAAGTCGTCTTGGCGTACCTAGATCTTACATGATGCTGCCAGCAAGGACTGATCACTAGGCTTCTTTACCTGAAGAACTGTTTTAAAAAAAAACAACATGTAAATTCTAGCAGCGCTGAGCTCTAGTGAGGAGAACAACTCAACATGCTCAACAAGGTCTACCTTGGTTATTGGGGTGCATTTGTCACACCTTGCTGTCCGGGAATCCCAGAATAGAATCACAGAATAAGAACGACTTGGGTTGGGAAAAAAACCCACCCAGCTGCTCTTCCCTGCTGTGCTCTGAAGAAGGGGTGTGGAGCAGCAGAAGCCTGGCTGAGGCCAAGGCCCCTGTGGCCACGGCCCTGCGCGCCCTGTCACGACGTTCCTCCTGCGTGGGCACGTGGCTCCCAGGGCCGGGCGCACCGAGGCGCCATCGGTGGAGCCCCCTGCCGGTCAAACTCGTCAGTGCACTTTGTTTTGAAATGATGTCATGGGACTCGGTGCGTGACGTCAGCCCCTCCCCCCCGCTGATGTAACCCTCCCCCCAGCCAATCGGAGCGGAGGAAGCCGGGACCGTGACGTAAACGACCCTAGCAACAGCCCCCGTCGGAGCGGCCCAATTAGAAAATCGCTGGGGGCGGCAAGGAGCCAATGGGAGTCGGCGAAAGAGGAAGGCGGCAGGAGGCAGGTCTCCCTCATCCTCTCTCCTACAAGATGGCGGCGGCGCTGGCGATGGCGGCAATAACGGCTTTGTCTCCTTTCAGCGCCTGAGCCGGTCCCGGCCCGACCCGGCCGCACCGAGCAGCGGCGGCGGAGACATGACCGCAGAGCCCATGAGGTACGACCCGGGGCCCGCAACCGCCGGGGCGTCGGGCGGCGGCCCTCGCCGGCCCCGCCGAGGGGAGGAGGGGCCGGCGGCGCGCATCGCTCCCGCCGCGTGCGCGGCCGTTGCCGTCGGCCGACCTCGGCGGCGCCACCGCTCGGCTCGGTTCTGCCAGGGCGGGGCCGGGCCGGTGCTCGAGGCGGCGGGGCCGGCGGAGGCCGGGCTGGGGGAGGGGGCGGCGGCGGGAGGCCGAGCGGGAAGCGCAGGGGGAGGGGACGGCGGCGGAGGCGGCCGGGCGCGGGACGGCGGCGGGCGCTCTTCTGGTAACCGCCGCGCGCGGCTATCGTCGTCGGGCGGGGAGCGGGGCCGCGCCGCTCCGCCCCACTCCGTCCCGGTCCTCGCTCCCGGCCGGTGGGCGCCGCGGCGCCGTGCCCTGCGGCTGTCAGCCCCCGCCCCACGTGTCCGCTCGTAGTACTCTGCCCGCGCCTTCCCGCGCCCTTCGCTAGCGCGTCCCGCTCTCGCTGAGGGGCGGCTCCCGACGCGCCGACGGGGATGAACCGTTCCCATTCGGCTGCGTAAACTAAATAAGCTGGTATAAACCGAGCCGGTGCCGCCAGGCGCCATGTTAAAGCCTTAATGCAGAGTTGGGCTTGGATGTTTTCGGTCTGTAGTTAGGCTGAAGGGGCTGATCAGCGCTGTCAGTCGCACAGAAATATTCCACATGCCTGAGGCAGATCGTAAACAATAAAGCATTGTTTCTGAGCCCTCAAAAATGTTGCGTCTGACTTCAGCATCAAACAAGATGTTAAGAAAGAGGAGCAGCATGCTGTCGTAGGTACCGAGCCGCCAAGTTTCTTCTGAGGTTGTATTTGTGTTTCTTCACCCCCGGTTTCAGACTTCCCCTGAGCCGTTCAGTGATGACCACTGAGTTTAACAGAAGTTAAAAGGTGGGAAATTTTTATTTATTTTTTTTTTTCGCTCTTTTGTACTGCTTGATTTTAATGCCTCAGAATTTCAGAGGAAACAATGTATGTACGTAGATTCTAACTGAAAAAAATTATAGTATCGTTGTTACTGATGCTGATCACGTGCTAGATGCAAGTCATAAGCACTACAAACATACGTTATGTGCTGCATGACTTCCCAGCAGCTACCAATTTCTTCTGCGTGCTTCATGTTGTAAAACAGGGGTTGCCCATCTCTCCCTCCTCCCCACGCCTTTACAGCATTGGGACAGTTTATACCAGCTTTTTGTTGGATTGATTATTTTATTTGTAGGCTGAAATGCAAATAGAGGAATTTTCTTCTTTCATCTTCAGTCTTTGAAGAGCAGGAGTGGAGTTTGATTTCTGTATGGCATAAAGATTTTGCTTCAATATTCTTGTGTTGACGTAGCACAGGAATTAATGGGAAAAGGCTGCTTTAGAATACGTTGCAGTGGAGTTTAGATAATACTGAAGGTCAGACCTTTACCTGCAGGTGGAAAGGTTAAATTGGATTACTTCAAGAGTTTCACTTATATGCTTGAAGTTGAGGAAGTATGTTCAAGGTGGATTTGAGTTTGTATGTAATCTCTGGGTTGAATGTCCATGCAGTAAGTAGGCCCTATGACAAACAACTTGTACGTAGCTGCACACAGTATTTTTTGGTGCTCCAGACTTATTCTGCTCATTAACTCAGTTCTCAGTCAGTGCAGGTGTCTTGGATGATCCTTGTTCCACACAGAGCTCATCATGAGTTTTTTAATGTACGGGAAAAGTTCTGTGCTAGGTATCAAGCATTATGTTGTTTGGTGCTGTGGTTTCAGGGTTATGAGCACATTGATTGCAAGAGCTTTTCTCTTATTTTATCAGTTCAAGTTCTGCTAATACTAGAGAGAATGGGAGGGTAGAGGAAAGCACTATGAATGCACTCTTGATGTATTGATGCATTGGAACAGAGGCAGAGGTGCTCTCCACTTGTTTGCACACACATGCAGGCACGTTTCTCTGCTCACACAAAGTGTTCTTTGCTCTCATTTCCAGCAAGCCATGCTGATCTGCCAGCTGCTGCTTTTCTGTCATCGTGCACCATCTCCCTGCTTGTTTGTTTATTGAGATTTTTGGACCACAGTTTCACATAAAACTTGCTTTATTTTTCTTTTTAAAATGGAGGGATCTTTGTTGTAAAGTCCGGGTTGGTCCTACCAGTCATTTCATACATTGAAGGGAATAAGCACAATAGAAAAAGAGAACAAATTTTGAGTCTTGGACCATCCTGGAGGCGGTGTTCCAACATTACCTATAATTTTCAGGTTAACTTTTTATGCTTTAGTCTTCCCAATGTGCAATATGGGTTCTGTATTCCTTAATCACTTGAATTTCTTTGTTCTGTGTGAGTTATATTTCAGGATTGTACGAGGCATGCTATTTAATGCCCCAATAATCTAACAGTAAATAAGTCCATAGTAATTGTCCGTGTTGTCTGAAGGCACAGTGCAAGTTAGTAGGCTGTCACACAATCTTGTCAAATGGGTGTAAGCAGATTCTGTGCTTTTCTTGAGGAAATAGTCAAAACTTTAGGCTGGCTGTCACCTTGTGTGCCAGATGTGTCCTTGAGCCAACGTGTTCACACAGAAGTGAAATTCCTCCCAGAGAGTCTTACTGCAGTGGCTGTTGCTTCTGTTTCTGTATAGTACTGTCTGTTATGGTTTTGTGTACTTTGTGTTGTGGTTTCTGTGGGGCTTAAGTAGAGGTGCCTTATTCTCCTCTGAGATAATGTGGTGTGAGAAAGGAATGGCCCTAACCTTACTGAAACTTGAAGTTCCCATTTTCATCACAGATTCCGTGTGCACTTGCAACACCTGTAATGAAGGAAGTAAAGGTTGATGCTTTTTCCTTGTATATAGCTCACCAAAAGAAAGTGCCTGAACAGAAGACAGTGCTAACACGCTATGTTCACCACGAGAACAAACGGCTGTGACAAATGATGCTTGTAGATGGGATCACTAGATAGGCCTTTTGTAAGCAGGGAGGCCTAGGGATACTGCTGACCCTCATGAAATCCCATTTCATATCGCTGGAGTCTGTGCCTGCAGGTGGTTTAGAAATACGAATCGGTTCACGAGTCGGTCAGTGTTGCAAATTCTGGTGGCAAGTCAGGAGGGGGAAGACAAAATTGTCAAAATTCACTGGCAGGTATAATGGGAGACTTAATATTGACTTAAAAGATAGTGAGTAGGTAAAGTTCTCTAATTAACTAAAGGGCAGTACTAAGCTGTCAGAATTTTTTTGTGATGTCCAGCCACAAAAAGTTTTCATGCAAGACAGATAAAGGATTGATCAGTGTGAATCTTTAGTGTTATTTTTTAAGAACAGGAGCGTAACCATGGAACAAAAACCAACTTCAGTTCACAGGTTGTTGCCCAGAGTCGGCTTCAGTGCCGTTCAGGAAAGGCAGTTTATTTATCTGCACGCTGCATAGCTGTAGAATTTTCTGTCTTAATACATCTAATGCTAGAAGCTGTATTGAGCAGATAGATCTGCTAGAATGTAGAAACAACAATTCTGGCAATAAATTCAGCATTGTTAGTGGGGCAATCTGAGATGGCTGTATTTTTGGAAAATAAAAGAACTGTGCTTCAGCAGGGCCATAACCCTGAAAAGTGGGTAATGGGTCTGATTGGTAGTTGTAGATCTGGGAAACTAAGGAACCAGCTTTAATTCTTAGGGTTTGTGATGAATGATGTCTTATTGAGAACCTTTTACAAACTTCAGAAAGTGGAGGACAAATGAAACAAAGGAGAAGATAGTCTTAGAATTAGAGACTAAAAGCCATTGTGTGGAGTCTTTCTTTCCCTTCAAGCAAAGCACACTTCAGCTTTTGTGACAGTACTTTGTCTTGTAGGTTACATGTATGCTAGTTTCAGCTTCCTTTCCTGAATTAATGTATTAAAATACACAGTATGCCATCATTTTTGTCTCAGGTGAAAATACTATATTTAGGTTTTCACATGGTTGACTTCTGTTTTTAAGTTTACAGGCTATTTTACCATTGAAATTACAGACTTCCATATAGTATTCAAGCCTACTAAAAATGCAGTTGTAAAAACAAACCAAGAACCAAACAAAAAAGACCCTTCACTTCCCAGCAAGGCATGGTAGCCCTCAGCCAAATCCTGTTACAGTTGTTTGGATGCCATCTCAAGAAAAAGACATTGTGTAATCTTCTTTGAACGTAATAAAGGGTCTCTTAGTGATTTTGAACCTTTCCCCCTGTGTGTCTGGAGAGAACTCAGTCTGTTCACTTGTGTGAACCTCTTGTGCTGTGCTTATACTCCAAAGTTACTTAATCCTTATAATCAAATGTCTTGAACTCTATTAGGTATTACTTGATTGAGCCCTGAGGACCAAAGAACAATCCTAACCAACATGAAAAGAGCGAGTCTGTGTTAATGAAGCCTTAACCATAGTGTCTGCAAGTTCAGTGTAGTGCTAGAGGTCTACCTCTTTTCAGTCAGAGCTTCAGTATTCAGGCTCCTTCTGGCTGTATCCAATGAGTTCAGTGTAATCCAATGCCATCTGAGCACAGGAAAGTTGTTTTACTGCGAGAATGGCCAGGCATTGGAACAAGTTGAGCAGGGAGGCTCTGCAGGCTCCAGCAATGAAGGTGCTCGGCCCCGCTGGCCTGGCTGTGTTTCTGGCAGCTGCTGTAGCTGATCCTGCTTGTGCAGGAGATCTCACTAGGGGATCTTCAGAGCTGGAAGGGATCTCCCAGCCTCAGTGCTTCCCTGGTTCTTAGTGTCACATACCTGCCAACTGTGATTTTGCTGTTGCAAGTTCAGGTATCATATTGCTACTTCTGAAGTTTATAAACTTCTCCAACTGAGACTGTGATTAATATCCTCTGTCACCTGTGCTTGCAGAAAGATTTGTGCAAAGGGGCAGTGAGTTAGGTCAGAGAGCAGGTCTAGGTTCAGCAGAAGAAATGGCTGCTAGTAATCTGGGTTGGTTTCTGTGCTTAGGTTAAAACGATTGCTTATACAGTGAGTGTGGCATAGGTGTAGTGATAGTCTCCTTTTATTTTCTGGTTATGTATTTTCTCAGAGAGGCAGACTTCTGATTAGGGAACAAATTCTTTCCCAGATTTTGTCATCCTTTGCTCTCCTACAGGTCTTGTGCCATTTTGTTCATGTGTGTTCAACCACAATACATCCTTATATCAGGCTTAGTCTTAACGCTTTTCCTTACAATCATGAAAAACGTCTATGAGGGTTTGCAGGTGACAGAATACTGGCCTGATTATATCAAGACTTTAGCGATGTGAAGGCAAATTACATGCTGGGGGGAAGGAAGGATACCTTGTAACTGTTCTGGATCTGTATGTTGAATTAAATGACATCAGCTTTGGCTTTACTTATAGTAAAACAGTTATTTTTTAAAGATGTTCTTGTTAGTAATGTATTAGATACAGGAAGGCTTTCAAAAGTCATTTCTTGTCTCCGTCAGGGCTTTGGATGCACCTCTGCTAGCATTTAAAACAAGTTCATTTTTGAAGAGTCTGTCTGCTTGATAACACAAGGGGCCTTGGAGTGCATGAACAGGTTTCTTCTGGGTAGAACTGAGCTGAAAGATGTGCTGCAGCAGTCCTGGTGTGCTCCAGCTGTGAATGCCTGAGCAGTCTGCAGGACTGGGCTGTAACTGAGTTCGAGCAACGCGTGTAGTGTGGTAGTGGGTAGCAGCTGTTGTCAAGTCTTGTGCTCTGATGGAAGCCTGGTCTTTTTCTCTATTTTCCTCTTCCTCTGGTCTTAATTAAAATATTCAGACTTCTGCTATGGGTTGTTACGTTTGTCCATCACAGAGATACTGTTAGAAATAGATGATGTTGGCCTACAGTCTGGTGGTTTTAAAGATCATCTGGTCTTAATTTTCTTTATTTTTTCAAGTATTGTTTAGTTTTGTCTGCTTAATAGTTGCTACTCTGCAGTATTTCTTTGGAAATGCCAAGGTGAAAAATAATTTAAGTTGAAGCAACTGTAAAGATGGTTTAAAAGTGAATTTGCCTAAAATCTTTAAGGCAGCTGAGAACTTAAAAGCAAAACATTTCGCAAAAGCGTGTTTGTAACCAAACTGGTGGAGTTGGATAAAAAGCTGGAAAGCGCTCCTGTATTGCTGGCTTACAGAGCCATTTGTAACCCAACTTTGTCTGGAAGGTGGTGGGATCCTGTGTGTTTTGTTTTTTAAAAACGGCTCTAAAACATTCTTCCAGATTTTGACAATAGGTGGAACATTCTCTACCTACGTTTAAAAAAAAAAAAAAAGAGCTATCTGAGGGGAGAATAAATAGAAATAGAAGGTGATAACAAGTTTCTTCCAGCGCAGTTTCACAATGTAATCCAACATGACCCGGTTTGCTGCCGAAATGAGCAGTCCTGCCCTTCCCTGTGCCCTGGCCATGAATTTGCAGCACCTCTCCTGCAACGAGACACAGCTGTCCCGTGAATGTGGTGCAAATGGAAACAGTTCTGTAGCATTTTATTTTGTCGGAGGTGGTTTGACTCGTTCCACACAGAGTGATCATTAGGTAATGTGGTTGATGGGTTAAGCACAGGGGGACAGTAATTAGCAGGCAGAGTGAATTCAGTCTGTTGTGTCTAGCTAGGTGAGGACACAGCACTTCACCTCTCCCCTGCACTCCCTCCTTGTTCTTCTGCGTTGTGTTCATTTGTCATAGCAGTTAACATAATGCAGACTGTCTCACTCGTTACTGGGATAAATGGTGTCCCAGCCGTTGCTGGTTAAGGTTACAGAACTTGCTCTGAATTTAGGTGAGGAATTGTATTCTTGGGTGATAGTTTCTCAAGGTCACAAATCAAGTTCATGGCAAAACCAGTAATAGTAGGACATGTCTTCTTTCATTCTTGTTCTAATTAAGCTAAACTGTGTTGCAGTAGTTCTAGACTGATGGTGAAGCTTTTCCTTTATATGTGCAAGCCTGAAATGGCTAGGAAATAGCATAGAGATGGTTGATTCATGGCAGAGTGAGACTTGCTTTGCTTATTACTTCTAAGATGTTATTAAATTTTAGACTCCTGTGCATTTTTTAATGCACATTTTAAATGTTGTGATCTATTTATTGTGTCAGTTTGTGACAATATGTTAAAAAGAACAAGGATTTTGCTGTAAAAGGTTTTATACAAAAGCAGGGAAAGCATTGCTGTAATTCCTTCGGGTAGAGGTGCAGTAACCCTTAGTTAAGTTTAATCTGTTACTCCTTAATACAGGCTGATGCTACAAAATGCTGAATAATCCCGAGGAAAAGCAAGCTGAGGAGGCATTTTAGTATTAGTTTGTACATTCTTTTAATGTGCTAGCATGAACGTTTTTGTTCTGGAAATGATGCTTCTAGACTAGTTAGGATGAGAGGCAGTAGTTGGTAGCTGATCATGTTCTAAGCTATTAGTCACAAAGACACACGTAGTGTTCTGAATGTTTTATATAGAGAACAAGAATATTATAACTTGTTTCAGTAACAGCATTTTAGAAGATAATAAAGAGAGACAAGTTATTTCTAAATAATAGTTAAGTTGAAAGTTGGGAGTTGATATTTATTGATGTGTTCAGAAAACAGTGGAGATGGTGACAGCAAGGGGATTGAGCTTCTGATAAATACTCAAAGGACACTACAAGCTGTAGAACAGGGCAAGAGAACATTATTTCCTGTTGCTGTCAAAAGACAATTTTGAAAGTAACGGGGAGATGGGGGGAGAAAAAAGTGAAAAGGAGAGACGTCTGTAGCCTTTAACTGGGCTGACTTATGGAGTGGATAACACAGTTGAGCAGTTTGAGAAACCATATCTAATAGCAGACAAGGTCTGATGACTCAGACTTATCAGCTGGCAGATTTCTGGGAGTTGATAGCGTCTGGAAGGGAAGCAGCAACCAACAGCTGAGAGTGGCAGCTTGTGATAACAGGGTCTGAGGACATGACTGCCCTTGGTCTTACTCAGGATAACTGCAGCCAGGAAAAGGCACCTGTCCAGGAAATTGTGGATGCTATAGGTGGAAAAAATGAGCATGAAATAGGTGACATAAAATGCAAGGGAATAGAATGTGTATGAATCATGAAGGAGTATGCCTTTATAGCAAAAGCATGGGGCAAAACTGTTGCCTTTTTACTGTGATGATTGAGGAAACAGGTGATTCTTGGTGTCTAAAACTGCCTGGTGAAAATTCCAAGCATAATACTCATGAACTGATCTGATTGTGCTTGGTCGTATTTGACAAAATAAATGCAGAATGCATTATATATATATTTATGTATGTATGTATATGTATGTAGTTGGTTTAATATAAGCTTTGGGTAAGAACAATCTCACATGTTCACCTAGCTAAAACCAGCTTAAAATGTTTATTGTCTTTAAGAGTCTGTTGGCTCTTCCTAAGAGTCTTCAGTGCTTTTTTGTGTATGTATCAAAAAGGCTACTTTGTTGTTTTGGTTTTTGTTTCTTTTTAGTGTAAGGTTTAATAAAATTGTATGGTTTTTATTTGCTTTGTAGTATTAAGTGTTCAGGTCATGAGTAACTTTCCCCTGTAGATGTGTGTTAATTGAGATTCAACATCACTCCTTTCAGGCATGCTAAATTAGCGTGAGACCTACAGTAACTTCAAGTTTCACTTCTATTTTGACAGTGAAAGCAAGTTGAATACATTGGTGCAGAAACTCCATGACTTCTTGGCTCACTCATCAGAGGAATCTGAGGACACAAACTCTCCTCCAGCACTATCTAAAACCAAAAGCCTAGGTAAAATGGCATTTTATGTTTTAAGTTTAAACATATATGATTCTGAAGTCACATATCTTTGTGTTGTGATTTCATTGTATCACGCTTCACCAGGGCACAGTTATGCAAAATCCCAGTATGATTTAGTTAAGTGGTTCTATTTTGATAAATACATACAGCCTTTGACACAAGATTTCTTTCAGTTAAAATAATGCGTTTAAATGTGAATAAAGCTAATTCTGCTGGTAGTTTGCCTTCTCTGAAACGTGAGATGGCAAACATGCATGCATTTGCCTGTGGTGGTGGTTCCTTTTTCATCTTTCCTGAATGTGAGGGCAGTATTTTGTTTCTTTTGCGGCAGTGAACTTTTTGCAGTCCTTGTGGTTGGGGCAGAAGATGTTGAGATTGTGCTTTCATAATTATCTGAAAAAGATGCCTATATTTATTTGGAAACATTCAGAAACAAAATAACTGAAAAAACATGCTGGACTAAATCAAATATGGCATTAGAAATTTGTACTTACAAGTTAAACATAAGTAATAAATTTTAAATAGCGTGATTGCATTCATAAGAAGCAGAAATTTTTCATAGCAGTACCATATACAATTTGTGTCCAAATTTGACTGGGTACAGGTACACAACTTTCCAGGCACTGCTGTTTCATGAGCTAAAAATTATACTGAAATGATAGAGTGCAGGAGAATGGGAGTGTGTTGGCTGTGGTGTGGAGTTTATTTTTAAACTGTTGTTGTAAGTAATAAAGCTGTGTGTTTGCTGGTGTGCAGTTTTCCTTTTGATGTTTATCTTGAGAATGTACTGCCATGTGGTCCCGTCTGCCTTGTGTCAGCATCTGACTGAACTGTTAACAAAGGAGAAAGTAGCACACAAATAATTTCTTAAACAGAATAAGAAATCGAACTGCTGTAGATGCATGCATTTAAGGTGAGATTTTGCTACATAGCATACTTTTTTTTTTTAATTTATTGATTATTTTTTTTTCCCTTTATCCTGTATAGATATCAAATAGAATTTGGCTGCTTGTCTCAGAATTCAAACATACTGTGAGACAGAAGTACACAGAGGTTGTGGAGCTGTTGGAGTGGGTCCAGAGGAGGGTCACAAAGATGCTCAGAAGTCTGGAGTGCTTCCCTTATGAAGACAGGCTGAGGGAGCTGGGCTTGTTCAGCCTGGAGAAAAGAAGGCTGCAGGGAGACCTCATTGCAGCCTACCCGTATTTAAATGAGGGGTTAATAAAAAGGAGGGGAATCAACTTTTTACTTGAGTAGATAGTGAGTAGCACAAGAGGGAATGGTTTTAAGCTTAAGGAGGGAAGGTTTAGGTTGGATGTCAAGGGGAAGTTCTTTACAATGAGAGTGGTGAGGTGCTGGAACAGGCTGCCTAGAGAGGCTGTAGATGCCCCGTCCCTGGAGGTGTTCAAGGCCAGGTTGGATGAGGCACTGCACATCTTGGTCTGGTACCAGATCTGGAGGTTGGTGGCCCTGCGTGTGGCAGAGGGGTTGGAACTTGCTGATCCTTGGGGTCCCTTCCAATCCAGGCCATTCTGTGATGCTGTAATTCTACACTGACTAATTAATAGAAGACGTGCTTCATTATTGTTTAGATATGTATTTTTTCCAAAGAAAGAGCATATTAAAGTTGAAGCATGAAGGATTAAACACTTAAATATTAGAAAATGCTGGAATTAACTGTGCAAGCTTACTTCCTAGCTTTTTGTGCATAACATGATGTCTCTTGGAAGTACCCTATTCACGCTTTTTTTTTTCTCCACTGACTGCTTTTTCAGTGTATAAATGATTGACGTGATTGGAGCCAAATCAGGTTTACATATTAATGGATCTCATTTTTGTGCAGAGTATGGAGGATAAATTAATTATTAGGTGTTGTAAAGGGTAAGAGATGATGATGGAGATGATTGTGTGGCTCACAGGATTTGGGACATGTCCATGACACACACATAAATCAACTGAAATGTGTAACAGATGCTTATGGAGTACTTGATCATGTGGAATTTAGTGTACTGTGATGCGTATGTGGTAGCAGCAATAAGTGAACTTGCACGGATAACCTTAATTCTGGCTTTTCTTAAATTTTGAGTACTTGACTTTACAGCCTTATGTTGTTTCTTTATCCTCTGCATTCGTATCGGATGTCTCTCTCCTCTACATTGCGTGGGTGCCAGCAGGAGGATCATTGAGAGAGCGTAGGAGAGACTGACTTCCTGCTCTTGTATCAAGTGACCAGCCTCTGCCCGGGAGCAGCAGTCACAGGGGAAATTCTGCGCTCTCATAGCCGTGGAGTGGATGGAGCATGTGCAGTTTGGTCAGCACTAGGAGCTGTGAGGGGGTTCGGCATGCTTGGTCATTCTGTGGGGATGGCGCATGTACAGTCCAGTCACACCCAGGAGCTGTGAGATGGAGGAGCATGTTCGTTCAGTTGCCTTTGGGAGTAGCGCACGTGCAGTCTGAGGGCAGAGTCTGCACAGCCTTGATCTACCGGCATAAATCCGTACTGAGCCTGTACAGACTGTGGCATGTCCCAGAGATTTAGTAGTTGATCCAAAATGAGGCACAAACAGAAGGTGGACTGAGTCCCACCCCCAAAGGAAATGGAACTCTTCTGCCACGTTTCAGGTTTACTCCTTCGTGTGGTGGAATGCCTACAATATTCCAGAGGAAATTTCCCTTTTTTAAAGGGGACAAAAGCTTGGCGTGCAGAAATGGCTGGATAATTTATACTAAAATTTGTCCATACAATTCAGTTTTAAGTCAAATACCCAGCATGAAATTTTCTAGTAATTTTTTTTTGTCTAAAGCAAAATAAAATTGTTCAGCTTTTCCCCAAGTGTAGTATGTCAGGAAAGACTAAGTTACAATGCTAACAGTCTAATGTTATAGGAGGAAATGATGATATTTATTCAGTGTTTCTGTTTTCTGTTATACTGTCACTTGCATGATTCTCAGTAGTACATCTGTTACAATACTACTATTTTTATACCTTTCAAGCAACTTCGTGCAAATGTCATTAAACCACTGAACTAAAACATTCCCTTCCATCACCTGGACTGCTGGATGAAGCAGATAGTCAGAAGATACCTGTCTTTAGCTTTTATATTCCACGGCTACTAGGATCAAGAAATGAGAATTCTCTTTCGTGTCCTGATGTTTGTGCATAGCTCATAATCCCAAATTTAACATTGTGTTTTTAATATTAACATGTGTAAGAGAAATCCTTAACTTCTTACAGATTAAAAAAAGCACTCTGTTATCCCTGCATACACAGTTGTGTTCTCATGTCTTGAAATTCACTTAATATAGGCTCTCTTTCAGCCTATCCTACAAAACTGAAAGTTATTTCAAAATGATTTCTGTGAAATTTAAGTCATGAAGTCAGTTTTATTTCACTGTTGTACAAAAGTTGATCTGTGAAAGTCACACAGCCATCTTTATTAATGCTGATGAAGCATAAAAAATGCTGTGAGATAGCATGTGAAGAACTGCTAATATTTCTTCGGGTTCAGTGGATTATTTTTCTTTCCATAGGTAAAAGTAGAGAACCTGAAAGAAGTCCAACCTCAATGGAGAACAATCGAGAAGAGGTAGGAATAAAAACGCTTTTGACTAGTCTAGAGTGGCTAATGTGTAGGAAATATTGCCATTAGCAATAAGTGCTTCAAGAATAATGACAGAGCCATATGCAGAGAATCTCCTGTTTGCTGAATAGAAACTTCAGCTGTAAAATATACACTTAAAAATATTTAAAATTTGGAATGAAACTGTGATATGGGCATGCAAACCAGCTTATTTCTCCGTCATCTCCTTCTTTAAATTATTGAAATACTCAAGTTTACTTGTTAGTCTGATGTACAACAATTCCTGTGTAAAATGTTTCTTAATGCACTTTTTATTTGTTTTTAATTATTTGTAAGAGGTGGTGACTTCTGAGATGCATTGTTGGTGCTCAAGTGAATGGAACAAGAAGATGCTTCTGTTGACAGGTGACTTGATCACAAGTGTGGTGACTCTTTTTTTTTTTTCTTATTTTTTAGGGTGGTAGTTCTTCAGAAAGAGTCACGCTCTTAGGATCGTCACGCTCAAAAAGGTTGGTGTGGAAAACAAAAAGAAAGAAATTACTTTCTATCATCTGAAAGTATGGAGAAGTCTCTGTGCCGTGCCAGATGCTGGTAGTATGCACCATTTGAGGTCCACAGAGCTAGCAGAGTTCTAGTATGACAAAGGCATTGCACCATATTTAAAATGCAAATGATTTTTCATGGTCAGAGGTTGAGATCATAAAGCTTAATTTTTATTTACAACAATACAGCGGGATTATCCTACATTTTATGACTATTCAGGATTTAACAGATTATTACTTTTCCTCTTGCTCTTTCAACACATGGGATTCTTTCAGTGATGTAAGTTGGGGCATACAGAAAAAAGTTTTATGTACCTTATTGGTGGAGAACCAAAATGTGCTAAAAGTTGTCCTGGGCAGGAACTGTACCTTTGATTTAAAAATAAATAAATAAAAAAAAATCTAGAGTTAACTGTTTACCAATTTGAGACTGCGGAAGAAAAATTGTATGTGACCTAAATAGCATCAGTCAAGCCTCCTCTAGTAAAATTCCTGCTCATTCTGCTGATGTTCTTTGTGCTTTTTTTTTTTTTCTTTTTTTTTTTTCAAATTTGTTTATTATCCTGGTATACTGTGTAGATCAGTGAGCTCTTCTAAGTGCCAGCCTTGAACAGCTTCCTTCTTAGTGTTCTCCACAAAGTGTTCTGTGTCTCTGTTTTCAGTCTTACAGTTAACCATGTTTGTTCGTTGTATCACGCCTGTTGGAATTAAATGACATTCTTCATTCTCTGTTATCTGTTTGGCTTGATTCTGTATTTGCAAGTTTGGTTTTGTGTTTGACTTTAATTTCTCCCTTCTGAATTCATTCTCCTGCCAGCCTTTTTTATTTAGAGCCTTTCAGTAGTCCTGTTTTTTTTACTTCCAGTCTATCATTAAAGGTATGGTTGCTCATGCACTTACTGCACTGTGTCTGATACTGAGAAAAACAGCATCCTGCATTGACTTCAGTAGTTCATGTATTACCTTCAGACCACAGTAAATTACTCTCTATCGATTAATATATTTTTTCCTGCCATGACATAGTATATTCATTCGTGTTAAGGGGTTCAGTTCTGAATTATTTTTATGTGAGATTTTGGCTACCGGTTTTCATATTAAACAGTCAGCTTTTTAATTTCTTTCTGCACTTCCTATATTTCCTTGCAAGTGTCTTTTCAGCTGAGCTGTCATTTGCTAATATCTGTGTGTTCTCTTCGGGCTGCCTGTTAAAATTGGAACAATGTTTAAGATTTCTGAGCATTCATCCAATTGGGTTTTATTCTGGCTTTTTTTTTTTTTAATTTCAAATAAAAGTGTGACTTCCTGCATACCTTTTTAAAAACACATCAAACCTTGATCTGACCTCCCAGAAACCCTCAAACCGTATAGTAGGCATGTGAAAAAACACTAATCCTTTATTCATTTATCTACTTAATTCACCTAAGAGGGTAGAGTTCCATGTCCCAATACCAGGTAAATTGCCGTGCAGCTTATTTGTTATAATAACTCAGAGCATTCTGCTTTATGTTTTCAATTGATGAAAGTGCAGGTTTCCCCAATTGGCATGGTGTTCTGCTTGCAAAGTACCAGGCTTACCTGTACCACAATATGTAATATTTGTCACAGTATGGATTTTTTTCTGTCTGTGCAGGAAACCTACAGTTGTAACAAAGTATGTTGGATCAGATGAGGAACAAATCTTAGATGAGACTGTAAATGAAGATAATTCAAATGAAAACTCAGAAAATGATGTTGATATGAAAAGCTTGCCTAAAGGTAGTTCACGTCCTTCTTTGTTTCTGAATTCAACAAATAGAAAAGATTATGATGCAGCATAGGTACTTAAGTAGAATGCACATGTATTAGTAAAATACCTCTCCTAGATCCTGTTGACTTTATATATAAATATATATAAACGTTCGTGTGTGTCTCCCTCCCCTTACAAACACTTGTAAGAGGAAATCCTGTTTCCGAGCACTTTTAAGTTTGAACCCATCGTACTTAAAGATGTCATGTACCAGGATGTGCTGATGGCTCAATTTCAAATGCTTATGGACCTTTGTGTGAAACCATCATGTAACAGAGAAAAAATTTCTATTCTTAGAAATCTCAAACTCTGTAACTTGCAAATCATGTTTGTTTTAATTTATTTTATTCTTCTGGCTCTGGAGTTTATTGAGAAATAGAAAAGTGAGACTAAATGTGGGGGCGAAGTCAATTATTCTTAAGGCACCCTTTAAAATAGTCATTACTATAAACCTACATTCTGCTCTCTTTAACTGTAGTGGGATTTTGATTAATCTCATCTATTTCTTACCTCTGAAAGTTAAAGAAAACCTTGGAGAGACTGCTCCTATTTACTCCATGAGAAGCAGTTCTTGAAGTACCTTTTCTCAGAATGTTAAATTATTTCTAGGGCCTTTGTAACGAAAGTGTTAAAACCGAGTTCCAGGTAGGAAAGATGTTTTATTTAATTCATATAATTTCAGTTAGTATTGTACTTTGTTAACATAAAAGTAGATTTTTCTGAATTTTACTAAAGAAAAAAAGATTCTCTTGCTTTCTCATTTATTTCATACTGAAATAAGATGAGGGAAACTGGATGGAAGGGGAAATAGAGAGAAGAGTAATTACTTTAAGGCTTCCGGTAGGTTTAAGTGACCCAACTGAAGTCCTTTAGTTGCAGCATGGTGCTGGAGATGCTTTCCCAGCAGTGTGATAATTCTCTTCTGCACATATCACATCAGGGTAGGCAGTGCAGTATTTACTTCTCATGGCCTTTTCAGTCTTCAGTTTTTGTTCTACAGCTGCAAAATGGACACAGCTTGAAGTGTGTGGTGTTTTATTTATTAATTTATTATTTCCTTTTTTGTGCTGTGAACACCTGTACATTCAAAACTTTTGAGTATTAGTCAACAAACTGCACTTTTTTTTTTCAAGATACTATGTTGACATTTATTTAAAAAAGACTTTTGCACTTAATTTGGATGTGTAATGGTTTCCAATTTCTAAATGAAATTATTCTAGGTACAGTGGTTGTACAGCCTGAGCCAGTGCTGAATGAAGACAAAGATGATTTTAAAGGGCCTGAATTTAGAAGCAGAAATACCGTTAAAATGAAACCTGAAGTCCCCAAAAAGCGTGGAGGTAAATACAATTTAAAACATTTATTGAAGTGGGTTTAAATTGCTGCTTTTGACCACATTTGGTACATCTAAAAATTGTTCATATTTCTAATAAATTATCCTCAAAATACCTCCACTCTTCTGGCTTTTTGTTCAATAAAGGATAATAGCTGGCTGATATTAGCCTCCATTGCTGCCCCTGCAATGCAGCAGTGAAAGCTAAGATCAGTTCTCATTAAACCTCTTATTTTCAGTAGCTATAGGATGCATCATTAGGTACTCCATATGGACCCTTCTTGCTTTGTATTCAGAATAGTTGCTTACTTGGAAGCAGATGTTACAAGTATTCCTTTTTTTAAGGAATTACATTGGAATACCACTGGTAGGGGAATGCTCACTCTCCAAGAAAATGATTGTGTTTGAGCAGGGACACATATAGACATAACTACCTGTCAGTGGTAACAAGAAAGCTCAAACCTCTGATGGAATTCAAAGGCTTTTACAGATTTTTTGAAAAAACTTGTGGGAAATTCCCAACCAGTAGTGCCCTTTTAAGGATTATCTTTGGACAGCTGCTTTGCCAGCTTGGTTTTGTATAGCCTCTGCTAAAATTGAGATGTTATGTAGGTAGTAATTAGTAGCAATTCCTCTCTCTTATATATTTCCAAAAGTTAGATGGGCTCTTTTACATGCATTAGATCTTCCTGTTGTGTCATTTGAGATACCTGCTCTCTTTTTAGTGTGTTACAATTTCATAAGTGCTCTTTATCTGAGGATGAAGAAAAGTAAAACACAGCTATGAGGAAGCGTGTAGGGGCTTGTGCTTATGTTCTGTTGCATCTCTAAATTATTGATCTTTGAAAGTTAGTTCAGTTATATAAATAGAATACTTTCTATCTAGCATAGAGGGTTATTTTTTACAGTTGTGTTGGTAGCAGTTTTACAAGAGATCCAACTAAAATCCTGAGGGCTATAACATTGCATAGGGCCGGTTTGCTTGAGCTTTATGGTCTGTGTGTGCATCCTCAGGACAGTTCATTTGACATGCACTCCCAGCTGTTATTTTTCCATCCCTAGAGAATTTGATGGCATTCTGTTGTGTATCGGGACTAGCTGATTGTGCTAGTTCCTTGCAGGAGGTAATGGTTTTGCAAGGAACATCAAGAGTTTGCTTAGACCAGAGTTATCAAGAGTTATCAGGCTTATCAAGAGTTTGCCTTTCCTGAGGTCAAGCTTAGCTCCCTGCTAGTAAATCTTTGACTGTTAAGCTCCTGTCTACTTTCTAGAAATTGGGGTAGGTACTGCCTGCTGCTGTGTTGTCCCCGTTTCCAGAACAGGAAAGGTAGGACTGCAGTCCTGACTGCAGTCTGCCTCAAGAGCAGCTGGATTAGGAATGTATTTGAAGGGTTTTGATTTGTGACACTCACAGAAGTAGTCGCGCAGATACATTTATTCTACACTTGCTACATGCAAGTTACATGAAGTGGCCACTGCCTTTCTCTTGCTGCTAGAATGGGATGCTTGGCCTGTGCTCAAACAAGATTAAGCATTACTGCTTTAAGCAGGTAAGCGTGCAGTCCCAGTAACTTGATATCCAGAATTCTATGCATGGTACACATAGATAAATAATAAAGTATTTTTTTAAAAAGCCAGCACATCTTTTTCTTTGCAGGTTGGATCTTTCGTATTTTCATTAGGTCTTACAGGTGTAATTTTATAAGAAATATTAGTAGTAGTGGAACTGTCCTGCCTTTCTAGCATTCATATGGCCTTAAGCAGTACTATAAGGCATTGTGCCAGTCCTTACTTTCAGGTTTCCTGTCCACAGAATGGTTATGACTGTATCTTTAATAACAAACTCATAGTTAGGAGTGTTTTTAAAATATTTTCTCAGTGCTAATGAATTAGTTGTTACTTAATTTCTTCAGACCATTATCCTTTGTAGTAGTGATGTGATTTAAAGATTGACCTCATGAATAGATTCTTTTTTCTAGTGCCAACTTGCAGACTTTAGGAAGAAGGCAATAGTATTTCCCCTCAAAGTTGTAGAGAAGCTGGAAATGGCTTGAGAATTGACAACAAACAGCTTGTTCCTCTCAGTTTCTTGTATCCATTTAAGGACTGCCATATTTTAAAAAGTCTGAGTAGTCTTCTATGCTGCTTGGTATAAAATAAGGCAGTATTCTTTTCTGAGTAGTACAGTATGATGCATGTAAGTATTAGAGATTTGCCAACAGCATTTGGAACAGAGGCACTTTTGAGGTTGTAAGGGGTGCTTTGCAGATCTACAAGCTCTGCAGTACATGCATGACTGCATTTGAGAACAACAAACTCTGAATTCACAATTTCAGACCTGGTATTTTCACTGCATTGTAACAGTGTATTAGTTCATACTGGACTTCAGTTGATCTGAAATTGTATTTCAGTAGCAACTAGCTAGTAGCTTGTGCTGTCTTTGCCTATTTTCACTCAGTTCCTTAATATTGTGGTATTGATACTTGGCTCTAATTCAGGGGTAGTTGTTCTTTAATGTATGGCCTTTACTGAGGCTACAACCATGAAGTTAACTATTTGAGATAATTTCCTTGTGTAACTTACTGTATGTGACAGCACAGAGCATGTTACAGTTAAACAAGGCTGTGTCAAACTTCTGTCCATTTGATCCCAAAATAAGTTTTTGGTAGCATATAGATTTAGTGTATGAACTGTCTGAAATGTTTTTCCTTTTCCCTGAAAGCATCACTCCTGCTGAAAAGTGTCTCAGTAGTACTAGTTAATGGGTTTGAAAGATTGGCAGGTAGCAAGCCTTCCAGTGCTGAATTCACCACCTTTGAAAATGAGTTGGGGGATTAACATTAAGAGATGTTTTCTTAACTAAATGTAGGTACAGCACCAGAGTAGTACACAGAATGTTGGAGGAGTCAGCAACATGGTGAGAACATATGTGTTATAGGAAAACTGTAGCTTAAAAACAAAAAAAAATCAAAAAGGGAACAAAAAGTGAAGAAGTGTATTTCAGACAGTATTTATAAGCATTTCATTTATACAATGATTTTCCATAGTTCTTGCTGAGAAACTAAAACTATATGTGAGAGAATCAGCACAACAAAAATGTTAATTGAAATGTTACTTTATGAACTAAGATTTAAAGAGGAAAGAAGTGCAGAATATCAGGGTTCATTTGAAAGCTTTTTAATGGTGACTTGCATATTTAAGTGTATTCTCAGTAGTTGACCAGCTAATCTCTATTAAATCTCCCAAATGGAAAAACTTATTTTGGTGCCAAGTATTAGGAGCATAAAATCTAGAAGAAAATTATTTCCATCTTTAAATGGTGAGTGATACAGAAAGGTCTCTGTAATGGTAGGTGTTAAAGAACCTAACAGAAAAAATACTGTAAGAAAATGAAATAGGTATATATACAGATTTTGTTTTAAAAAGATGTCAAAATGAAAAAAAATAACGTGTGGTTTATAATCCTCTCTATAGAGGAAGGACTGCATGGAATTGTAAGCTGTACAGCTTGTGGGCAACAGGTGAACCATTTTCAAAAGGATTCAATCTATAGACATCCTACATTGAAAGTTCTTATTTGTAAGGTATGTGGTAAACAGTTCTACAGTTTGTGTTGTTTGTTTTTGTTTGAAATGTCATGATTAGTGGATTTGGGTGGGATTTTTGTGGGATTAGTTCTTGCTTTTTAGTTTGTAAATCTTTAGCTTATAAACTTTTCAGTCATTAATTGCTAAGGAAACCAGAAGTAGAAAATGAAAAAGTAAATACAGCTTAGAAATTAATATTCCCATTTTTTTTGTATAGTCCAGCTAAACTTACTGTGTAATGCATTTTTTACAGGTGTAAGTCTGTACTTTCAGTGAATTCTCAATGTTAGACGGTCTATCTAAAATTTGTGACTATCTGTGATGTTATTGTAAGAATAGATTCAATTCTGGATCTCCTCATAAAGCACTATATGTAGAACAGTGTTAAAGTAAGATGTGGAAAGATAGCTTTAATCCATTTCAGTTTCAGTTTTGGACAGGTCCAGGACTGATAATCTATGGCAACCTCTGTAATAATGGTCTAGTCCATAGTCCTAAACCAGCATCTGGTCCTGCAGTTACACAGGTTATAGTGACTTCAATTTAGGTTGTAAAATGCCAGTAATGGAAGAGACAAGGAACAGGGGAGGAAGGAAATTTCGACCTCCTGCTGTGGAAAACTCTGAATTTTCAAGGAAGTGTAGAGATATGATCTATCTTCAGAGATTCTGTGTTTATAGATAGTCTCAGACATACAGAGATGCGGATTTCAGTTACAATGCACATTTAGCATTCCCTTTTGTTTCCTTCTTTGTGCTTCTTCTCTGCATCCTAGTTAATGTTACACATTCAGCTGGCATACTATCCCAGACATGTCCAGTCTAACGTTCTGGTTCATTTCTTCTACTCATTCTGTCTTGTTTCTTTCTATAAAACATACTCAGAAAAATTAGCATACTGAATGACTATTTTCAGTCTCCGCTAGAGCCCTCTTGTTCCAAGATTTGAAAATCCTTAATCTGTAATGGTACTCGTTCATGTGATATATACAAGTATCCAGTTCATTTTTGAAATTTATTTAAGGTGTTGGGTTCCGTAACAGCTCTTGACTGTTAAGTCTGCAAGTTAATTACATCACATATTGTTTCCCACCATCTTGTATATCTTTAATGAATACGACTATATGATTGTGTGAGAGAGTAATGGAAGTTCTTACCCGCATGTTCTGTGTCTTCCATGTCTTCTTTCTTGCTGTTCTGATAAACAGCTCTATACTTTGGAGTCTTTCTTCAGAAACTGTGTTCTCTTGACTCCAAATATTCTGTCAAGATTTGAAACATCAGCTTTTATTGTGGGCTTTGTTTTTATTTTATTTTATTTTATTTTTTATTTGATTGAATGGATGTTTAACATTCCATGTAAAGAGATGTAATCACTTTAAGTTAAGAGATGTCAGCAACTGAACTTCTGATGAATTCTCAGTTCACTGGTTCGTGGAATGTAAGGGCAAAAGTTAGCTGATAGCTTGTATTAATCCATGTGCAAAGCAGAGCTTCAAGTTTTTAGGAGAGCTTTCTTTACTGATGACTGGAAAAAAAGTCAGAATTTAATTCAAAGGCTTCAGCAGATGAAGCCACTGCTACTGCTACATGTGCATATTACTTTCCTACAGTTACCAGCTTTTCCATGAGAATACTTAGTCTGCTCCTGGAAATCGAATACTTGGATGTTAACATCAGGATGAATACTGAAGACATTTCTATTTAAAATTTTGTGGTATCAGTGGCAAACATAAAGAACAGGTAGCAGAAAACTATGTAGGGTTGTGCTGGGGAGATGTAATTTTCTTTCTTAATGTGATATTGATGTTCCTGGAAAATTGGCAGAAAACACTTTTCTAGGTTGAAGGCTTTCAGTCGATGTTCTAGAATCTGCAAATATTAGGCCATAAAAAAGAATCTGTTACTTAATTTTCAAAAACCTTATGCCATCTAAATAAGAAATCACAATTTGAAACCTGTTGTATCTAAGAAAGATGTTTTTTAGGTTCATAATGAACTTTCAAAGATTAGAATAATGAGTACCTTTGCAAGTGATGCTTTTAATGCCTCTAGTACATGTTGAAATTGTATGAGTTACTGAAATCCATTTGACATAGTAAAAAATTGCTTGTTTTATCTCTTTATTTGCAGACATGCTACAAGTATTACATGAGCGATGACATCAGCCGTGATTCAGATGGAATGGATGAACAGTGTAGGTAAGTGTATTGAAACTTAAACAACACTCACAGATCTGCTATTTTTTCTTTCTTGCTTTAATGAAATTGACCACTACAAAAGAGTTCAATCAATAATCATTTTCTATGAAGGATTGCTCAGTCAGTGGGTTTTTTGGAGGTATTTTGTTGTTATTTTAAATAATTAACTGGAAAACATTTTGTAAAGAAATCTTGTAGTAAACACTTGGGAGATACCAAGTTTTTGAATTACATGTTACCATGCAAATATTTTAATTCAAAGGTGGGGGTAGAATCTCACGTTCTAAACCCTGTGAGTCACAGTAGCTTACTTTTCCAGATGTGTAACCCAGTCAAAATTCTGTAGTTTTTGCTGCCTGTGCACTTGCTTATCAAGTCAGTTTTCAGGTCTTCATCAAAGACCATGGAATCTAAATGTAGGTGATGTTTTTTTCCCTTCGTTCATGCACAGTAATACACCAGTGAAGGCTAGAAAGACTTAAGCTGATTCTTTTGCTTGAAAACAAACAAAAAAAAATACATCTCAGCCAGAACATGGAAAACCAGGTTTAATTACTTTGTTTAAGGTTGTTGCTGAAATTGTTTAGCAGTTGCTGGCCTTTTCAGCTTTTTGAACTGTTAATCAAGCACCTTAATGTTCTGACTTTGTAATTCAGTTGAGTGCTTTTCAGTTTCATGATGTTTATCATCTGAATTTTTAAAAAGTAGATTCATCATCAGTGAAAAATATGGAAGCTTCTCAAACGTCACCTTGATTACAGGGAGATAAGACTTTTGTATTTCTTATGTCTTGTTTCAGGTGGTGTGCTGAAGGTGGAAATCTGATTTGCTGTGATTTTTGCCATAACGCCTTCTGTAAAAAGTGCATTTTGCGCAACTTGGGTAGAAAGGAGCTATCAACCATACTGGATGAAAATAACCAGTGGCATTGCTATAGCTGTCATCCAGAACCTCTATTGGACTTGGTGACTGCGTGTGACAGCGTGTTTGAAAATTTAGAACAGTTACTGCAACAAAACAAAAAAAAGACCAAAGTTGAAAGTGAAAAAAGTAAAATATACGACAATACAGTCAAATTTTCTCCAAAGAGAAATAATTCAAACTGTAATGGTGAAGAAAAAAACCTAGATGATTCGTATTCAGGTTCACTAACATATTCTTATAAAGCACTAATGGTGCCAAAAGACATGCTTAAGAAAACAAAAAAACTGGTTGAGACTACAGCAAATATGAATTCCAGTTTTGTGAGCTTTTTGAAAAAGGCTGCAGAAAATTCAGAAGTAAGCCCAGCTGTGCAACTTCGTCAGCTAAAAGCTTTTAGATCTGTGCTGGGTGACATCAAAAAAGCTCATGTGGCACTAGAAGAAGGTCTGAACCTGGAGATTCAAGCTTTGGATGTTAAAATCAAAGAGAAAAATACCAAAGAGAAAAAAACTGATGTTAGATCAGAAAAAAATGAGGTGAAGAAAGATGAAGGAAAGGAACATGTGGCATTAAAAGGGGATGACCCTGTTAAGAAGCAGAAAAAAGTTGTATCAGAACAGCCTGACAATGAGCCAATGGATCAAGATGTTTCGACAGTAGAAAAAAAAGACAGCAAACGTACAAGTGGTGAAGATAAAAGGTCTGGCACAAATGAGGAACCTCAGTATGAGCCTAATAGTACAGAGGCTTTAGACATGGATATAGTGTCTGTTCCCTCATCTGTTCCTGAAGATATTTTTGAGACTCTAGAATCTGCTATGGAAATTCAGACTGCAGCAGATGAGCAAGGGAATGGAAATAGCGGAACAGATCATGAGAATCCAAATACAAAATTGACCACTCCTTTGAAAGATACCAAAGGATCTAAACTGAAAACATCAGCTAAAGGAACCAAGGAATTGATTGTGAAATTGACTCCTGTATCCCTTTCAGAGTCTCCATTTAAATCTGAAGATCAAGACAGCAGTCTGGAAAAGGGAAGCAAGGATGAAAGAACAGAAAAATGTGATTCTGTAAAGCAAAATAGTAATGCTGATAGCGAACGTTCCACAGAGAATGAAACAGTCTCAATTGCAGAGGAATCCGATCTCAGGAGATCACCCCGTGTGAAGACCACACCTCTGAGGCGCCAAACAGACGTTAATCCTTTAACATCAAATTCAGAAGAAGATAGCAATGACACAAGCAATGAAAAACGTAAGAGAAGATCATCAAAACAGTCAAGAAGGAAAAAAGATAAAAGAAACTCTTCTGACAGCGCAGTTGATGGCCCTAGGCCTAATAAACTTTGTAAATCAAAAAAGCCAGCTATAGTAGATAATAGTTCAGATTCTGATGAGATGCCAGCTGTTCTTAAAGAAGTAGCTATGATGAGTCGCAGTTCTTCAGATATCGACAGCAATAACGAATTACCAGCAAAAGATCAGAAGACTTCAAGCGTTCTGAAGGATCAACCAGTAATGGATGAAAATGGAAAGCGGAAAAGAAAAAGTTCCAGTTCTGGTTCAGATTTAGATGCCAAAAGGGGCAAGTCAGCTAAAAATTCTGCTACCGCAAAAAAGAAGCGGCAGAACTATTCAGATTCTTCGAACTATGATTCTGAGTTAGAAAAAGAAATCAAGCATTTGAGTAAAATTGAGTCTGCAAAAAAAGCTAAGAAAAAATACTCACGGAAAGAAGATAGTTACGATTCTTCTGAAGAAGAACAGAGGAAGAAAGTCAGTAAGAAAAAGGTCTCTCCAAAGAAACAAAGAGGTAAATCTTCTGAAGATGATGCTGCTGAAAAGTCATCTCCAGAGAAGGAGATTAATCATTCATCTGAAGATAAAAAAGTTAGCGTGGGGTCAGTTGCTAAAGAAAAACTAAAGAAAAACTTAAAAGAAGAAGCTTTGAAGGGTAAGCTTGATGAGTCTTCTGATGCTGAGAAGTCTTTGCTGGAGAAAGAAGAGGGTAGTCCTAAAAGTATTAAGCTAACTGAAGCTAAGAAAAACAAGGATTTTAAGAAGAAAAAGGCACAGGAAGATTCTTCTTCAGAGAGTACTGAGCAATATGCAAAGAAGGAACACAGTTTTGATTCTTCAAAAGAGAAATTCAAAAACAAAAAAAGATCAGAAAACAAAGAGAAGAAATCAGAAAATTTGAAACAGAAAATCTTAAAGAAAGAACAAGAGGATTCCTCTTCTGATGTTGAAAAGTCATCTCCAGAGAAAGGAAGTTGTAATTCTTCTGAAAATGACAAGACTAAAAATGAAACAGTGGTTAAAGAAAGGAAAAGGAGGAATGTAAGAGAGAAAGTACCTAAAAGAGCACAGGTTGATTTATCTTCTGATGCTGACAAATCTCCCCTGAAAGAGGAGAGTTCTTCTGAAGATGCTGTGCAAAGTAAAAGACGACCTGAAGTGAAGGAAAAGAAAAAAATAAGCCAGAAAAAGAAAATTACCAAGAAAGAGCAGAATGAGTCGTCCTCTTCTGATGAGGAGTCTTATGAAGACAATAAGAAAAAGATTAAAAAAGGATCCGTGAAAGAAAATAAAGGGAGTAGCTTAACAGAGAAAAAGAAAATATCAAAAAAGGTTATTGTCTCTTCCTCCTCCTCATCTGATAAGGAAGAAAATGAAGAGCAGAATTCCACAGGTGATGGAAGCAGTGATGAGCAGAAAATTATGCCAGTGACTGAAAATTTAATGCTGTCTGCTGGTACAGGATTTTGTCAGTCATCAGGTGTGCAAAATATTTTTATTTACACCTATTATTAACCAATGAATTATGGACATTTGTAAGATTTGTAGTTTTTGATTTGAAGATTTGAAGGTAACGGTCTAATAATCCCCAGCTGAATTATCTGTAAGGAGATAATCATACGCTTAAAAGTTTGCAGCCAGTTAAGTTTTTGAATTCTGATAGAGAAATGGCCATGTCACTTACCATATAGCTCATCATTTCTGAAGTGAAAGGTGGAGAGGCTTAAGAAGCTGTAGTCACAGTCTGTAATTCCAACAGATGTTTCCTTGTGGCGTGGCTTTCAAAAGTACTTGTATTCTTTTTGGCTGCTCCAGTATTGATAGCAGAAACTAGTTTTAAGTAAGTAGATACCTGGAGAATTCAAATGAATTTAGAGCATATAGTTATGCAGTTGAGATACCTCTAAAACCTGTGGCATTATAATATACATTTAAAAAGTCGTGGAGATTGTGCATCGTGTGACCTTTGCAGCATTAAAGCACCTGTTGTCAATTAACAGAAACGTCATCACTTACTGTTTTCATAGCAGTTTACTTAATATTCCTGCTCTGTTTTTTTCAAGATGAATTGCTCCTTCATCAATGCCTTATATCTTCAGGAAGTTAAGAGAAATGTTCAGAACTGCAGGGTTTGGGTGGTTGGTTTTAGAGAACTTAAAAAGGAAGGGTAGTTTTCTTGTTACCTGGACTCTACAGATGTCTGTAAGAAATGAATTTGCGAGTAAAAAAACCCTGAACTATTTGCTGTTGATTGCTGTAACAGGGAAGTTGTTTTCTGTTTGCTCATTTCTAATGATGTTTCAGAAAACTTTCTGTCCATGACTTTACTGTAATTGTTGACTCCGGTATCTCCAAGTCATTAGTGAAGTTGCAAGTTAAAAACGATAACACTGTAATGTATTTGTGAAGACAGCAGAAGGATGATGGTCTTTTGGCTTTTAGAGAAACTCATTGTAGGTAGAGCCTTCTACATATTACTGCTTAGTGCAAAATGAGGTAATTTTTGTGAGGACAGTAATTTCTAGGGAGAGAGAAAAAAAAAAAGTATATAAAACATCTTATTCTTTCTTCTTCCTACCAACTTGATACCCATCTCTTCACGGGCGTTTCCTCCAGTTTACTTGTGAGAAGTTAGTTTTTGCAGCTGAAATGCAGCTTTGGATTTATAGACCTATAGGAAAGAAAAATTGGGTTAATGATATTCTACATAATTACAGAAATAACAGTTGGAAAATAAGTTTCTTACTTTGCATGTCATATGGCCTTGTGCTAAGTTTGTTTTAAGATCCTGCAATGAACTGGGTTTAGGTAAGTCACTAGATGTATAGTACTGACATTTGCAGTTTTTTTCCCCTGACAGCTGAAATTGTGCTTCTCCAGTGATATCATTGCTGAAGGGGTTATGCAAAGAGTTCTTTATGAAAGCAATTAATAATGGACTGTAGTCTGACAGTAACACATATTCAACAGTTCTCAGCCTCATTGCAGCATCAAATAGAGGGATAACAATGTACAAATGGGAAGAATAAGATGGTGAGGTGGGATAATTAATAATCTGATAGAGAACTGGGTGATTTAGTCTGAAGAGAGAGTGATAAAGCTGGGGAATCTTAATTGCTGTCTTCTTAACTACTTTTGGGTGAGTATAGAAAAGGCTGAGCCAGGTGCACAATGAAAGGATGGGTGACTGAATGGAAGTTGCAGCAAGGAGATTTCTGATCAGATACTCTGAGAAAATTGTTCGTGTTGAAGGTGGTCATTGCCTGGAAGTGGTTGCCCTGTTGATCTTTGGAGTCCCTGACCTTGTGGATACTCAAAACTGGACGAGGCCGGATGAAGACTGATCTCACTGTGCAGTTAGCTCTCCTTTGAGGAGAAGCTGGAGTAGATAATATGCAGTGGTCTCTTGTAACCTTTTATGTTGTATATTTCTATGAGAATGCAACTTTGCTATATGATTAGAAGAGAAAGCAAATTTCCTTTCAATTTGCTTGTGGTTTGATAGGCAAGTAAGTAAACGTGTCTCTCCTGTGGTTGAACAAGCTCAAGTTGTTAAGTGAGGCTTAGAATTGATTTAACCAGCAAGATGCTTCTTTTTATCCAGGCCAGGGAGTGAGGGACTTCTGTAATCATCTCTTAAAGTTTTGTCAAACATCTGGTTAGTGCTCGTTCCAGGGCAGGCATATGTAAAAACAACTGGGAGCAAGCCTTCTGCAAACTGATTTTGGTCTGAAGAAAGTATGGAAATGATGAATGAGGGGATATCAGTTCTGTAGAATGTTAGCATCTCCTTTTCTGAAGCTTGATATTACTAACTAAATTTGACTTACATGTGAGTCAGGGAAGAGAAAGGGGGAGGGTTTGGGAGTGTGCTAGAAACAATCTGCTATGTGGAATCCTCTCTGGTCAGTTAGGGAGGTACAGATGAACTTAGAGGCACATGTCATTTTCTATAGTTCTCCCCCTGCTATGTGTTGCATTTAATTGTCCTGTGCTGTGAGACATTAACCATATTGTACAGCTGAGTTTTGATACTTGCTGTAAGGATAACCCATGTCATTCTCAAAATATGTCTTCACATGTACATAACAAATGTACATGCTTGTCTTTAACTTTGAAAGCAGAGATAGGCAAGTATTATTGTTCTCAAGTGTGTCTTAATAGCTACAGAGCAGCCTGGAATTTTAGTTGGTGACTTTTTGTTACAGAGCTCCTCAAATTGAGCTAATAGCTTCTTACAATCATCAGACAACTTATTTTTATATGGGAATTCTTAATTGTGGAGTCATAGAATGGTTTGGGTTTGAATGGACCTTGAAGATCATCCAGTTGCCATGGGCAGGGATGTATGCACTGTGTTATTTATTACAGGTTTTACATTTATTAAGTGTTTTTGTTTCCCCTTCCTCACACAGGAGATGAGGGAGAGGCTAAATCAAGGACTGTTCCAATGGAGGAGGAGGAAGATGATGATGATGACGATCCTGAGAATAGGTATGATTGCATCCATAAGGACCTTAAAAAGGTTTATATAACACACCCTAGGCGTGGGCGCAAACCGGCGCAACGGAAGAGCAAGCAGGTTGTAAAAACCAGGACTACCTGCCTTGTAAAGACTCGCTCACAGGCTTCCAGCAAGTTTGAACAAGGGGCCAGAGAACAGAGGCCAAAATCCAGAAATGCAAAGAAAGTATTTAGAAGTGTTAACTAACACACCTTGCATAGGGTGTGTTATAAACGCACTGCACCGCTGTCCATTTTATGTTCATACTGAAAATGTGGGTGTTGTGAGAAGTGTTTCATTCAGGCAGGTAAAAACGTACTGCTGAGAAATGTGAATTTCAGTTAGTTACAACGTGAGTAGAAGGAAAAATTTTTTATCTGTGCAGTATGCAGTGCTGAAATCTTCACATATAGAGTTTGGTTTTTAATGTTGCATAATTTGCTTTTTTATTTGAAACACATTTTCTCAATAAAGAGAAAAAATGTATAGAAAGCACTATTACAGATATTTGAAGCTTTTATTTAAACTGAGTTCTAATCCATTATAGAATAATTGAACTCACTAATATGTTAACTAAGCCCTGATTCTACAAAGAATGTGCAAAGGGGCAGCTGATACCAGAGACATCTTAATTATACATTTTAAGTCTTACATAAATATCTTCAAATTTGTGGCTTATGTATTGCTTCGGTCTCAAGTTTAATAAAAGCAAATTTATGTAAGATACACTTAGTTTATTAAGACATATTTTACCAATATTGTTGTAGTTACCAAAAGTAACCTGGCTATAAAATGTAAAAGCTTCATTTCCTAACAAGTTAATGCATAACATAAAGCATTGCTCAACTGTGAGCTGGAGTTTCTTTTTTGAAGTTATTGTAGTTAGACTAAAAATTTGATCAACTAATTTTTATACAGTATTTCAGAAACTGATTTTTTTGCCATTTAGAACGTGTGGGGACCAGCTTTGTAGCTTTGCACAATTTCTGATGGAGTCTTTTTCTGCTTCTGAGCCTTACTAGTTTAGAATATGGGATCCTTGTTTCACAGAGTTGTATGTTTTGGTGTGTGACTGAAGTAAATTTTGGAAACGCTGTTTTATATCCTTTACGCACCTCAGTTTGGCATCAAAATGTTGCTAGTAATGTAGCTCTTGCCTGTTTTCAGTCATCAAATTTAATTTTAAAGAACAATGCTTTTTAGGGTCTTGACAGCACAGGGTCATAAGCAGAACATGTAAGCATTGGTAATACAAGTGCTATTTCTTTTTTTAAAGACTCATTAATTACAGTCCTGTTTTGATTCTTTTTTTTTTCTTCTTTTTTTCTTCTTTTTTAAATGTTCTTGGTTTTTTTGGTTGATAACAGCCTACACTGTCAAAGTTCAGTGCTCACAGTACAAATGTTACCGAGTGATCTTCACTGTTAGTTTGGGCTAATTGATATTGAATAAATTAGAAATACCGATTTAGGTTTTAAAAATCAGTTTCTGTAATTTCATTTAAAGATGAATCTTTGTTGAAGTTTTTATTTAGGGAATATTCTGAATATATATTTTATGAAATGGGGAGGTGATGCGTCAATAAACAGTCCTGTCAACCTTCAGACAAGTTAACTGGTAACTGCAGTCTAATTTTACATTCAGCATGTGTTGCACTTAGCATCAAAATCAGAAAGATAAAATGTAAAAAGATGGAACAAATTTGAGAAATAAATAGCTTGTTTTTCTGTTTACTCAACACAGAGTGTTTAAATAGTTCACCTACTATTCAGATAAGTTGCCTATTTTCTTCCAGGCCAAAGAGGGGATATAGTAACTACTGGGTATTTGTAGTGTGGGAGCTTTCATGTTTACAAGTTTCTAGTTTAGATGTTCTGTTATTTGCATTCCTTTGGATGTGCATGACGTGAATATTACTAGTCTTGAAATAATTTTTTGCCAAAATGCAATATCCAAGTGGGTCATAATATGACAGACAGTGCTGTATGCTTTCATCTTATATTGTGTAATTATCTATTATTGGTCCTTCTGATCTTTTAAATGATACTGTTTAATATGTTTGCAGTAGTTTTGTTTATTAAGAAGTAAATAGTGTATTTAATGCAGAATGCCTTTAAGTATTTGATGGATGCAATAAATTTTTGTAAAACATTTTTCTTGTCCAAGCATTTAATTTAATACAACTCTGACAGCTTGAAAGTAAGACTGTTTCAGCACAGTATAGTATTCAGAAGAAGTTTGGCAGTTTTGACTTTTTTAAGACGTATATGGTATTCCATGCAAAGATTAATCTCAAAATATGTTTTAATTGGGTCTAAATGTTCAGCAGTGGATCAGCAGCCCGTTTAACACAGTAACGTTAGAACTTTACTGGAAGAAAGGTGGCTTTTATTAGCCACGTAGCCACGTACTTTTTTGTTCTCATAGGCTTCTTTTGGGCAACTTTGTTTCTACGTATTTTTAGTAGGTATTCATGAACACTACGTGTGAGTTCATATAATCTAATTGAAGAAAATTGGAGTGTTAGCATCCCTGGGCAAGATTTTTGCAAGCTCTAAGCGAGTCCATCATATTGGCACTTCAGAATTCATGAATGACGATGGTGCAAATTGTCTTGTGGATTTAATCCCATGTCAGGAGAGGGTGCACCTAGTGTTCCATTTTTGCTGAAATGTCTGAAGGATTACTTAAGGGAGTCTTGTGCTGTTCATAAGCAGCTGCTAAGTAACTTCCCATTTGCCTCCTTATAAAAACATTTTTTCCTTTACTGCAGTTGAAAAATACATAATAACCAATTCATTTATGAAGGTATATTTTCAGTGTTATTCTTACAATGGTGTGGGATGTTTAAATCCTGATTAAAATATATCTATATATAATTTTATGTAAGAGTTCATTTTCATGTCCTGGTTGAGATTACAGCCCCATTCTTCAAGCTCTATATAAAGTTGGAAAGATGTCCTTATTACAAATCTTATGATGTGTTTAGACAAGATGCAGTGGGGCTAGGCAACGTGATGTGCTCAAGGTCACAGTAGCTGCATGGTAGAAATGAATGAAACCAGGTATTCTGTACTACCTGAAGTCCTGGGCTGGAGGTCATACAGTTCTCTGTTTTTCTTATTTAAAGCTTTTTGCAGTGTTCAGCTGTAAAATGTAGTTGGCAAAAGAATGTGTTTTATATCCTCGGTGCAAGTACGTGTTACCTTTTGATAGTACATAGGTGTGTTGTGCTTTCTGCTCCATATGGATTGCTCTGGGAGAATGGCAGTGGAAGGATTTTCACACCATCGTGACTTGTTTTTCTTGGTGCTTACAGTTTGATGTTGGTACAAATGTTAAAATGTTATATCAAGGGCGTTCAGTTTTCATCCCTTGGAAGCCTGGTCACTTTAGATGGCTTTACATCTTGTAATAGAAATGTGCTCACTTACTTGGAGTGGCACATTTTAACTTGTTTTAAAGTTTCAAAAATTCGGTACTGAATTTACTCTAAATGATGTAAACTGTTCATTACATCTGTCACTTGTCAGATACATTAACAAGAGTTAATCTGCCTGGTTCTAATATTGCTTACACTTCAATTCTGATTGGATGTGTGGTTACATTGAAAGTAGGACTCGTGAGTTCTGTACGTGTCTGAGCAGTGTCTTACATTTTTTGCCAAATGCCATACCAGTGGAAAGCACGAAAGAGAATGTAGCTGTTGTCACTCAACAAATAGTTCCATTTCCTTTTGATTAGAAGTAGTTGAATCTTTATCCTAGTTAAAAATATATAAAAACAAGAACTAATTCATTAACATTATGCTAAATAATTAGAAACTAATAAGCTCACCCGATGTGAAGAGTTTTAGTTGATTGGTGGTTGTGACGATGGTCAGTAGAGAAATAGCTGCGCCTTTTTTTTATAGCTACTAGATTTTATGTCTGGGGGTTTTCTCTAGGTGAATGATGCGTTCACTGTTTTTGTTTTTCTTAAGTATTTCATAAAGGTAAAGGTCAAATAAAAATGCTTGTCTTCTCTTGTTAAAAACCAGTCAATCTTGTTTAAAAACAAATCAGTACATTCTTAAAAGTGTCTTGTGTGAAAGGTAAGTATCGTTATCCACACTGAAGTTCTGTTATTTGCTGATACAATTGAGTGTGACACATAGCCAAAGGCAGTGTTACAAGGCAGTACTTTCAGGACCGAATTTGAAAAATTTGCAGTTCTTTTTGGTGTTCCTGCATTTTTCTCTTCCAAAATACAGCACTGGTGATACTCTCATTTTTTAAACGAGACAGGTGTCTAAACTGATGCTGTCTGAGTTTCAGTGTTAGTTTGCGTGAAGAGCTTTAAAAACATAAAGGAAAGACAGTGGTATTCCAAGCAGTTTCTGTAGAAAGTCTTTTGAATCTTTAAAAGATGGAAGAAACATAATCTTAAGTTCTTGCATGAGTTATTTATTCCTGATGCTATACATGATGTGATAATTATTTGGAGAAGAAAAAAAAGAGTCCCTTTTCAAAATCCTCTATGTAATGCAAACACTTTCAGAAGAGAATGTTACTCATCTATGGATTTCATATGGACCACTTTTCTTTGGGTTCACAGTGTGATCTGTTGATATATATAGAACTAAAAGCTCACCAGTAACATTGTGTTTTAGTTAACTATTTCTTTGCAAGCCATTCCAACAAAAAAAAAAAAAGGGAGGGGGGCATGGAGGGGTGTTTAGAATGGTGGATGGTTTGTGACACGTTGAGCTATCTTAAGTGGCTTCATGCTGTTTACCAAACCATTTTACTTCCATCTTTTAATAATAATCTGCATCAGCTTTAGAAACTTTCTGCAAAACAGCGTTGTTAAAATAGAAGATAACAGTGTGAAAGGTATGGAAAATCCCTGGGAAAATTCCTCCCGGAAAGTTGTTTTGTTTTAGAGATCTTCTATATGCTACAAAATGAAATGTTCTTTAAAATGATTTTTATAGTACTACCTAAATGTAACAAGTGTAATTTTCTAATACATAAGCAGCTGTATTTTAAGAGATCGACGTTCGTCTGCCAGTTCCAAGTGAAGCCTAGATTTTGGTTTTTGAATGGTTGTTCTGACTTAACAAGACTCTCCCATTCTGAACTTGTGCATGCAGTATACATTAAGTCTCCCAAAACGCAAGACAGACCAGATCTGACCTAGGAAAAAAAGCTTTTCATTTAATATTGATAATCATGTAATGGGAAGTATAATAATTCTAATACTTATATGAGGAGGGTTTCGTTCTTTCAGGACTTTTTTTTCCCTGGAAGTAGGAGTTCTCAGATAAGTCCACTATTTTCCTGTCTGTTTGGCACATCATTTCATACTTTCCCTTGGATGTGTATATTCATACAAGGTGGTTGTTATTTTCCTTTTTTTATGTTGCAAGAGCATGTAAAGAAACCGTTTTTTCCATAGTAGCTTTTTGCACATTAGCTGAAAACGTTACTGTGCTGAGATGGAAGTGGGAAGCTGTGGGGTTTGTGGAAATAAGGTGGTAATTTTCTTCTGAAGAAAAGTCCCAGGATGTTTGATAAACCTTTTACATCAAAGATTTTTTAATCTTTAATGAATCTGTGTAGACACCTGCACACACATACTTACGTGTGTTATTTTCTGTATAGTTGCTGAAGGCAAGTGCTTGTAGTTGTAGAAGAGATTCAGCGTGGTTTCTTTCCCTCCAGGCACTTACTGACAGTTCTTGAGACTCGCTGTGTTACAGCCATTAATGCAGCATCTCTCTTGCTGTAGGGTGGGCTCAGGCACTTGGAGTGCTAACACAGTTGAAGGCAAACTGTGTAGATATAGGGTTTTTTAAACCTGTGAATTAATGCATGTTACAGCATTCCTTTTTCTCTGTAATTAAAACACACGTTCAGTGATACATTGCTTTTAAAACTGTTGCTGTTTATGTAAATGCTAACTGTGTAGATTCAGTGCCTCAAGAAATTAAGGCACTTGTAATGCTAAATTTTGAGAGAGGAAATGATTTGAGAATTAAGATTTTGTCTTTAATATTTTTGTTACAATTAGACCTTGTATATGTGCCTATCTTGGCAGAGATGAGGAGAGATAAGAGTGGGGAAGAATAAAGCAGATAGACCATGAATGAAACAAAATATTTGCTTGTAAGCTTTATAACTGTTTGCAGTCTTACTGTAAGGTGTGAAACTTTCAAGAATCATGATACAGATCTGCTTCCTAAAAGCAAGTTAACACAATGTATTTAAGTCAAGATTTTGCTTGTATATCCTGTCTTATCACAACTTTTCATCGTGCCTTTTTTTTGTTCAGCTTTCAAACCTATTTTTGAAGTTCTGAATGGTATAGGATTACATTTATCGTTCATAGATATGTTTGAACAATGAAATACATAGTTTTTTCTGTTTTACTTCAAAGAATTGCCAAGAAAATGCTTTTAGAAGAAATCAAAGCCAATCTTTCCTCTGATGAGGATGCATCTTCTGATGAAGAGTCGGATGAAGGAAAAAAGAAAACTGGAAAGCAAACTGAAAACACAGGAGACGATGGTGAGCATCAAATGCATCTAGAAAAAAAGTGGTGCTGTAGTGCCTATCATAATTTCAAAGGTCTGTTAAGAAAAATGATTATTAAAATTTCCTCAGTTTTCAACAACAACAAAATTGATATTGCTAGTTAGTAAAGGGACAGAGGACATAATTATGACTGTCATTTCTTGTACTCTTCTGACAGTGTTGGGTTTTGTTTTTTGGGTTTTTTTTCAAGTACTCTGATTGTGTAGCCTGTTCAGAAGTCCTAGGGTTTTATGAGGAATAATCTCTAAAGAACAGTAAGACATGCAAATGAATAATTCAGCTAATGGCTGTAGTCATTGCAACAGGCGGTGCAAGTGTACAGGCAGTGTAAAATATTTAATGTTTGAGAGAACAACTCTGTGTTGTCAGATACCTTTTTGAAATAGTGCAGAAGTAAGCTTAAGTGCATTTTGATTGTAATTCTTACCAAATTTAAGAAAAGGAAGACCAGTTTGCATATTGTACTAACTTTTTTTTTTTTAATCTCTGACAGAAGAGAATGAAAAGGAAGATAATTCTGAATCGAATTCAGAGGAAGAGGACTCAAAGAAGCCCAGATACAGACACAGACTGCTGAGGCACAGACTGACAGTGAGTGATGGAGAATCTGGTGAAGAAAAGAAGGGGAAACCTAAAGAAACAAAAGAAGGGAAGCGCAGAAATAGAAGGAAAGGTATATAATCCAAACATTTTTGTCACCGAATACTTAGTTCTATAATACAAGCCCAAAGCAGGTCAAAATGTAGATCTGAAACTCTGTAACTTTTAAAATCTCAGTGTAAGCTTCCTTGTGTATTAAGTCTAGAATTCTCTTTTCTGTATTTGGTAAATAGCTCTATTTAAAATAAATGACTGCAGGTTACATCTATCTTCACTACTGTATCCTCTCAATTCGATTAATCTTTTTGAGTCTTAGAATGTTAATTTCAAATACCAGAGTGAAACCTAGTAACTCTGATTTGTGAAAACTTAGCGTTTCCCTTTGTATAATTTCTCTTTCCTTGGACTGTGAATAGGCCCATGCATCATCAGCGTTTACTCCATGCTGGAGTTTAAATGTTGCAAGCTTTAGCTGAACAGTAGATGGCACTATGAAGTTACGCCTGTCTTAGCTTTGTCTTTCCTTTGTTGCATGTGAGAACAAAGGATATCAACCCCTAGCACTTAATTGTTTTGAGCAGAGGACCTGAGGAATGGTAAAAGTAAATGCTTGCTTCCACACTGGTCATTGTAAATGTTGACAGTGGTTCATGGCACTAGAACTAAGGTTGCACATTGAAGATGTACTTTTCACTTTCTAATGTTGCTCTACCAGAAACGTTTCTTTCTTCAGCATTTTTTAGCGTAAGTCTTGTGAATTAGTCCCAAGTAGAACAGTACAACTTCTTCCACCTCACAATCTATCTTGTCCTGTAGAATTATGTTTCACTAAGTATGTAGAAACAATCTTTTTTTAAGTTTTGCGGCCCCTAAAAGTTTGGCTTTCTAGTAAGCCGTGCTCGAAGTTGAACTGAATTAAAAAGTTGCTAAATAGCGTGCAGATTTTAATTACCTATAAATGCCAGTACTAACTCCTAAAAGTAGTTATGGAAATATTGCCTAATGCTGATGTTTTTGGTATATTTGTAATTGTCTTTTGAGTCCTTTTTATACCTGCATTACCTGAAGATCTTCAACCCGTAAACACAGCAATATAATTGTGTATGTTGGTAGTAAATAGTTCTTTTTGTGTGAATTGTGGATTGGGATTATAACGATATCTGAAACACTGGAAACAAAAGCTTTTATTTAACTGAAGATCATCTTTTGTTCTGTCAGCTTCTTTCTGTTCCCTATCACTCATTATCTTTGAAATGCGAAGCTTTCCAATATAATGCTGTCTATCATTTGCTCTTAAGCTATGCTTAGGTGTGTTAACATAAAAAGAACTTAAGTCTTGCTGGCAAAACATGCCTCCCATCAGGGCTCAGTGCTTATGTGGTTTCTACTCTGTACCCCCTTATTATTACTGTTACTTCTCCATATGCGAGGTGGGTCCCATAGTTCCTTATACGAACTTTTGTATTGCTTGTTGCTCTTGAGTGCTTGTTGTACAATTAGAAAATATGTAATGTTGCTTGCTTACTTTGTAATAATATTCAATATGAAATCCTACTTCACTTTTAAAGTGAGCAGCGATGATTCAAATGGCTCAGAGTTTCATGAATCTGCAGTTAGTGAAGAAGTCAGTGAGTCTGAAGATGACCAACGTCCAAGAACAAGGTATGCAGAGACTTAACTGTGCTTATGTTATGTTCGGGTCTTGGTTTATGTTTTTCAGTAGTGCCATCTAGGCAGTGAGATTGTAAAATGTGAAGGCTTCTGGTGACTTATGTGACTTTGGATCAGTTTTTAAAACCTTTGATACATCTTTGGTATCTACTAATTAACTTTGCAGAAAATGCAACTATTCTGCACTTGTACTGCAGTGTGTGGTACAGGGCAATTTGATGAGGCAATAGGAAGAATGTTCAGGAAAAAATGAGTGTTTTTGTGCTAGTTACGTTGATCATGGAATGGTGGATTGCAGTAGCAAACTGGTACTTCGTGACTGAAGTTCTTCAGAGTTGTGTGGAAAAGACTGTGACTGTGTGTGTCCAGTGAGCAAGGGGAAGGAGAGAGAAGAAAAACTGACTGCACAAAAGGAGTATGTGTTCTTACATAGCAGTGTAGATCCTGTGATTGTATGTTGTTATCTATCAGTGAGGCAATCAGTTACCATTATGTGTCAGTAAGATTCGTGTTTTTTTATAGGTCTGCCAAGAAAGCTGAGGCAGAAGAAAATCAGCGCAGTTACAAACAGAAAAAGAAACGAAGACGTATAAAAGTTCCAGATGATTCTTCAAGTGAAAACAACAATAAGGTAGTGCATTGTGCTTTGAATTAATAGCTGGGGAAAGGAGTTCCTGTTTCTCATGTCAACTGATCTAGGGACTTGGGTATCTCAAATTTCTCTGTGCAAAGTACAGTAAAAAATTATAACTTCTCTCAATGGTAAGTAAGTTAAAATTTGTAAAATGGCATCACTATGGACAGAAAAAAACATGGTTAACTGAACCCATTTCCTGTTTAGATGTTGATTAAAATATATATGTTTTAAATGGGCAATATATTTTGAGTAGATGGAATTTCTAGAATTAAATTCAGAAGATAACAAAAGTGTAGGCTCTGCTGAACCACTTTAGCACCAGCAGAGCAGCAAAACAGTTATTTATTAACTCATTATTTAATATTATATGATAACAGTATCTTCAATACTGCTTTTGCACAACTGGGCTTTTCTCAGAATACATTATAGTTAAGGTGGCACTTCTTTTTTGCATACAGACTACCTGATTTAAAAAAAAAAAAAAAGCAACCACAATATCTTTTTTTTCCTATGAACTAAAATCCACCAGTGTGTATAAGAATTTCTTAGGGCTTAATTGAAAATCAAGGATTTGATGGTCTGTCATAACTTTCCTGTTAAGACTTTATTTATTTAATTTGTAATAGAGTAATTCTGAAGATGAGGAAAATGATGATTCAAAATCTCCTGGAAAAGGCAGAAAGAAAATTAGGAAGATTATTAAAGACGATAAGCTTAGAACAGAGACACAAAATGCACTTAAAGAGGAAGAAGAAAGAAGAAAACGTATAGCAGAAAGAGAACGGGAGAGAGAGAAGCTGAGAGAGGTACGTTCTCTTTTTATTGTAAAATGGTAGGAGGTTGAATTGATGATGATGTTCAAGATGTCATATTTCTAGTTTAATTTTAAAGTAATTTTAAGGATGCTCACTTCTAGCCTTGTAAGTTACTTGTAGTTTGCAGCTTAACATTAGTGGCTTTTATTCAAGGCTATTGAGATCCTTTGAAAGCTGTTTCAGTTGCCTGTTGCTTCGCTTTCCATGGGGGAAAAGCCATCTCCCAGAGCAAGCTAATGATGCACGGTAAAGAATTAAAGATTTCTCGTAATTAATGATTTCCATTTTTGCTGAAGATAGTGACTGTCAAATGCTTGACATATTATTCACATGTGAAGTATTCCTGTGATGCACTGTTTCTGATTATAGGTGATAGAGATAGAAGATGCTTCACCTCTGAAATGTCCCATTACAACTAAGCTGGTTTTAGATGAAGATGAAGAAACAAAAGAACCATTAGTGCAGGTTCACAGGAGTATAGTTACCAGACTGAAACCACACCAAGTAGATGGTAAGAAAAAAGATTTAAAACACTTGTAAAATTCTTTTTTAATTTTATTTTTATTCTGGCTGAGTGTCGTACACAATCTGAAATTGGAATAATAAAAACTTCTTGGCAGGCAAATGCCAGAATGTCATGTTTAATGTTGTGCTTTTGGAAGATCTGAACAAAATTAAATGAACAACAACTTGTAGTTATATTTTACAGGCTGAGTCCTAAAAATTTGAAGTTAGAAGGGCCCTTAGTATTATGTCATAGAATCATAGAATCTCAAGGTTGGAAATGACCTGCAAGATCATTTATTCCAACCACCCTCCCATTCCCAGTACCACAAGCTACTAAACCATATCTTGTAATTCTGTAATTCTGTGCACTGTGTAATTCTGTGCACTGTGCATTGGTCAGATATAAGTATACCATACTGTTGAGGAATTTGATTTTCATAGTTCTTAATCAGGATTTTAAAATCTCACAATATTTTCCTGGCTTTCTTATCAGGAATATTTTTCCTAATACCTGATATATCTTGATTGCATTTTCTGTTTTTTGAGGGGTTTTTTTGTGATTTAATGAAGAAAAGGAGAATGACCAATCATGATGCTATCAATCACCCAATTCTGTTCATTGGAATCTTCCCCCAAGTTCATGATATCCACTACTTCCATTTCAAGAAGAACCTCTGGTACTCAGATCAGCTCTTAAAGGGAGGTGCTCTGAACCAGACACAACAGAGCTGAAGATTCATCTGTTCTGAGTATAGCATGGGAGAGTACAACTCCCCCAACATATAAGCAGCAAAGAACAAAAAAAAAAAATCACCTACTAGACCCTTTTTCAATTTAGAATTATATTTTCTATCCTTCTTCTGCTGTCATTGTTCTTTCTTCATTCTTTTTAAGTATAAAGCTGTACATATGATTTGTCTTGATTTAAATTTCTCCTTGCTGATTACCAAGATCATGGCAGTCCTTCTGCAGTACCTTTGCCAGTGCTGTTCTGTTTCCTCTTTTCTCCCTGTCCCCAAGGTTGAAGTAATCTGCAGTCCTCGCAACAGTATTTTTTAATCCAGTTGTATCATCAGCAGAATCTGTGAGTGTAATTGATTTCAAAGCAAAACTCATCTCAAACACTAGTTGACAGAAATGGATCACTAATTACCCCAAGAACTGCTTTTGTGAGAGAGATGATCTTGCAGTGATCACTCTTACCAACTGAACTTTAATAAAGTGAATGTTTACTGAGAAAATTTTCAAAAATTTTATTCAGGTGTTCAGTTCATGTGGGATTGCTGTTGTGAATCTGTTAAAAAGACAAAGACATCTCCTGGTTCTGGATGCATTCTTGCTCACTGTATGGGTCTGGGGAAGACATTACAGGTAAGAAACAGAAGTCTTGGTTTCTGGTTTGTAGCTTTTAAAAGCTGATCCATCAGAAGGCAATTTTAATGACTTTCAGAACATAGTGAAAACTTATTATTTCCTTGGCAGTGACTTGGAGAGGGCTGTTGGAGGATAAATGTTTTGTAGAAAGGTTTTCAAAAAGCAGTTAATGTTTGGTAGTATGTAGTAGTGCAAGTTCTGATCAACACTTGTGCTTTTGCTTAAAAAAAAACAAACAAGATTAAATAATTGCTGAGGTTCACTTGAGAAGTTCATATGCATTTGTAAGTGATGTGAAGCTTACTTGCAGCTCTGTATATCAAAATAAAGCTAATAGGAGACAGGGTTTAGAGAACTATGTTCCTAAGCCAGCTTAATAACCTTAAACCTTTGTTTTGAACAAATGTTTTGCTCTTTACAGTCATTCCCATTCATTCTCTTCAGATTGTTTTCTTTTTTCTTCGTTGTTTTTTGGACTTATTTGCTGCATTGATAAAGTAGGAGTCTGTCGGGTTTTTTTAATTATTCTTTTTGTTTAATGTTGGGCTCTTAGTACCTGTATTCAGATTCTTTGTGACTTAATATCAACAGCATTTTGTTACAATCCAGAGTTTTCTGGATTGGAGAAGGGGAGTGTTGGTTTGTTTTTTACATCACTAATGTACGTTCGTATTTTCGGATTGTTGTGCATCACAAACAATAAAAGACTACAGATTTTCCCTGCCGTGGCAGTAAAACATACAGTATGTTTTCAATCCTTTTTATCACTTGTTAGTTTCTTTTCTTTGGCTTTAGAGCTCTTGGCTTTCTGGGATCTTCTGTTTCAAGCCCCCATTGTCATTTCAGCATGTATTCCTTCTCTTTTACACCACTGAGGATTGCTTTTTAAAAGTCTTATAGACTACTGTAGCATATTTTTTAAAAAAGATTTCTGTGTTTGAATCAATTGGCTTTTCTGCCACGTTAAAAGTTACACGGTGAGCAGATCCCCTTTTCTGCTTGGTCTGTAAAACCAGAACCTCAATCCTCATCTTAAAATATTTCTTCTGAAACTGATCACCCAAGCAGTTGCTCTAAACCAGTGCTTCGAGGCTCTTTTTCTTGGGTCTCTTTTAACCATTGCAGATGTCGGGTTACCTTGGCCTTCAAAACAGGAAAGATCAAAAGCAGTTTTCTTGAATTCTCTGCATCTCAGTACCCTTTTGGAGGAATAAGGAGTGCTTACTTTTCTGTTTTCTTATTTCCATGTGTCTATCCTCATAACGAAAATTATGGGTTTGCATTTAGCATCATTGCAAGTACTTTGAGCAGAGGACTGGTGAGTTGCTTTTCTTGCTGCTCTGCTGTCAATTTGTGCCCAAGAATTTCTTTAGCAAAAGTTAGTGACAGAAGAAAATTCTCCCTTTTATTCTGGGGAAGACAAGTGAGAATTTTTGTGAGAACTCTGAAGAAGAAAGAAGCTTTAACTGTCTTAGCTATGCTTAGAGAGGCTGAATCCTTATTTTCATAGGTGCAAGAGTGTGCCCTTATCTGGTGTTATCAGTTGCCTTCGGAATCTTCTTTGTGTCTCTTGACCTACTGGAAGGTGGCCATTAGTATTTCTTCCTGGAAAAATCTGCCATTTACTATTAGACTAAGATCGCTGCTGATGAAAAGCAGAGCCACTTTGGACTTCCTGTCATTGGCCTTCACTGATACAATGCTTCCTCACTTCTGGAGATGGGAGCTATACCCTTATCAGGATATCTGGCTTCTGAAATGAGTTATTGCGAACCTTTTTGAATCACGAGAAAACTAATTTGCCGCTTGTGAAGATGTAGGAATTGATCAGAATTGATTTCAACGTGAATTCAGTCAGGACCTTTCTTTGCCAGGAGCATTTCTTATTTGTAACATCATTTGACAGGAGATATGCCAAGTGCTCTGGTGAGTTTGTGAGTGGCAAGACTAGATGATGGAGCAGGCAGCACTTGTACAATGCCTCATTCTAAATTCTCTCTTCAAATGTGCCAAATTTGGATGCACTTCAGTCATTCTCTGGAGTGCAGTCTCTTTAGCGTGCTGATGATGGTTCTCAAAGAGGTTATTTTTTTCCTACAGTGAGGATGGGATCCTCAAAGCGTCTGTGAGGAAATGCCATTTCACCATCCTCTTCCATCTTGATCTGTTGTGGTGAAAGCTTCCCCCATTGGGTTGGGAAGCCCTATCACCTGACCTGAAGGCTCAAGATCTGTTCATTCATAGAGAGGTCAGTATATCAATGTACCGGAATTCCAAGCTGTATGAAAGATTTTTGTGCCATAGCTGGTTTCATAACCCGCAGGTGACAGCAGTCAGTAATAGAACCTTGTTAGTAACTCCCCAAACAAAATGCTGTAAGGTGCTGTTGATGGTCAGCTGATCATTGATATATTTATATTCAATATGAGGTCTCTAGTTGCTCTTTGCCTTACCAGTTGATATTTGGCATAGTCAGCACATGAAAACGCTGCTGGACAACAGACTTGGCTGGACTTGATGTCCTCCATTAGCTTTAAGTGAGGCTGAGGTATGCTCTAAGACAAACTCTTCAGCGAGAATCTAGCAGGCAGGATCTGTTGCTCTTTGCTAGAATTAGCTGTGTCTTGATGGGTCAGGTGTTTTCCCGATTCTTGTGTCTTCCCTCTAATCCATTACTGAAGATGGATTCTTCCATTCCTATGTCCGCAATGGATTCTTTTAGGATTCTTCAACAAATGGAGTTAAGTAGGAAATATCTATTTCTGCCATACTCTGATTGGTACAAATTTTATTTAAGGCTTGTTGATCATGAGAAATCTTTTTTCGTGACCTGAGAATTACAGGACATAGTTACACAGAGCGCTTAGGGTAGCTCCCTGAGATTCTTTAGATTCCTTGGATTCTTCCATAAAAAAGGAAATCAAAGGAGGCTTGGCATTGGTGTTACTATTTTTAATTTTATTTTTAGCTATTTGTTTATTTGAGTAATATAAAGCTGTAGATGAACAGAGAAACTGCATTCATTCCCTGTATGTACTGCTTAGGTCTAACAAGCAGCAGTCTTGCTTGTCTGTGGTGCACAACATCTGGGCAGTGCGTATTTTAAGAACTCCAGCTGCAATGTATTTTGCTTCACTCTTCTAATAAGAACTGAGGCAATGGACCTCAACTGTTGACAATCCAGGAGCCTGTAGAAGTGGATGTTTGCTTTGAAGAGCATGTTTTTGCATGCTTGATTCTGATTTACATGTAGTTATTTAGGAGTTAGATTATACTTTATACTGGAGATTTTCAAAATACAGCAGAATAGAAGAACTTTCAGCATAGCAATCCAATCCAGATTGCTTTGTGTTTTAGGCTTTATGTACTGTATACAGTAAATCGTTTGAAATACATCATGGTAGAAGTTACTTCTACGTGTGATCATGACAGTCTTTTTGTCTCAAACTTGATAACTGCAAAAAGCCACAACTATAAATGATTTATCAAACGTTTTTGTGGTTCCTTTTTGTAGCTTCAGTAATCATTTCTTACGTGATTATTTTCCAGTCCTGCTGTACTCAATAATGGCATTTATAGTTCGCACCTAAGAAATCAATCAAAGATACGTTCTAAGCAGATTTTGTGAACTGCAGAGAAGATGGTCAGTAAATGGTTAGGGAAATGAAACAGGGACTTACTGACTTGCTGGTTCTTGGAGGTGTAGGACTTCTGTGTTCAGTCTTCGTGGGAAGTTTCTTTCTGCATCTGAACATAAAATGCTTTTGTACTGGTAGTAAAACCACTTTTGACATGTGAGCATCTGAAAACAGTTGCATGCAGTGCTTCAGCAAGCCATGCAGTTTGATGTGGTGTATTAAATGAGAGTTATAACATACTGAGTTTTGATCCAGAGAACTTTCAAGGTGTTCTACAGCTGTTGGTTACAGGGCAGCTGTCACCCTTAAAAGGGCGATCTGAGAGCTTTTAGCTGTTTTGGGATCACTTTCTGTTTTGTGTCAGCTTTTTACGTGCTACCCCCAATCCTATCTTTATTTGCTACTCCTAAAAAACAGCCCAGCAGAAGTATTCTGGAGTGGCATCAAAAGAGGTTTTTTTTGCTAAGCCTTAAGAAAGTGTTCTCATCTGTCAGGTAGGCTTTGTAGGGGGGTGAATATTTGGAAAGTATTTCACTAACCTGCTTTAGAATTCATTCCTGATTTTGCTACCAGGGTTTAAATCCTGGAAAACCTGATAAATGCAGTGCAGAATTTGTCCTACATTGGAAAAGCTGCTAAAAACATAAGACTGAAGGTCACTTTTAAGAAACTTAATGCAGTTATGCAGTCCAAAGAAGTAAATTTATTTAAGGTTTGGGGTGAGTATTGAGAGAATGCCTATATATTGCCTAATAGAGCATTATAATTTATGAAAATGATTGATGAAATGTAAAGGGGGGAGGGGTTCTTGTGGAATAGTTTATCTGTACAAATAATTCAGTTATAGAAGTTGAAACTTCTATCACTAGAAAAAGAATTTAAGCAGCCGTGTAACACAAAAGCAGTAAGTATGTGAGTTTAGAATACATACGTAGTAGATTTTAAGCAGCAAGTTGTGTAACAGAAAATAAGATCACTGTTGGGAAGTTTTATACGTGAAAATATACATATGTTTGTTTCTTTTTGTCCTTCAATGCTGAGTGTTTCATTTGTTATTCTATTTGTTGTTCCTCTCGCAGGTAGTGAGCTTTCTGCACACAGTCTTGCTGTGTGACAAGCTGAATTTCCGGACGGCTCTTGTAGTGTGTCCCCTGAACACTGCCTTGAACTGGTTGAATGAGTTTGAGAAATGGCAGGAAGGTTTAGAAGACGATGAGAAATTAGAGGTATTTTAAGGCTTAAAAAGTGTTCTTGAAATTGAAATAGCTGAGTGTTTTACATAATTGGGAAGCTCCACCACTCAAAATACGAGCTAAGGAATGTATGTTAACTATGTGAAAAATTTACTTGCATTGAATACCTTAGGTATTTAAGTTACACCACTGCTTTGGAATTTTAAGAGAAACTCAAGCATATTTTTCCTACTTTGAAAGGTCTGTGAGTTAGCAACTGTGAAACGCCCTCAAGAGAGAAGCTATATGCTGCAGCGTTGGCAAGATGAAGGAGGTGTGATGATAATAGGCTATGAGATGTATCGTAATCTTGCACAAGGCAGGAATGTGAAGAGTAGAAAACTGAAAGAAATATTTAATAAAGCTTTAGTGGATCCAGGTAAGTGGAAAATTAATGCAAATATGCATTTTGTCTACTGTGTTTTCAGATTGGAGTATATGAGCTGAGTAAACATGCGTTATACACGTGACATTACCAAGATCACAATAGTTTGGTTATCTCTAGTTGCCCTTTAATGAGTTATGGAAGTGGTTGTTGAGAAAATACCCCATGTCCTTTGTAAATAGACTGTAATGGTCTTTCTATTAGGTCCAGTATGGAAACAACGCAGGGAATATATTGCAAGTGTGAACTGCTGGTTATTTTAATCTGCAAATTTGTTACAACCGTAAAACTACTTTGTTCTCACTAGGATTCCGCAGTTAGTGGAGTATCTACTCATGAAGAATAGTTGAAAATATGCCACAGAAATGTGAACAAATACACATTATTTAAGTGCTAATTGATTGCAGATAAAGCTTTTTTTTTTTTCCTCTCACTTTTTCAGCCTATGGAATGGGTGTTTGGTTTTAAGCTCAGCTGACATCAGCAGGCTTTTTTTAAGATGCATATGTGAAAACCATTCTGCTTGGTGATCACCAAGAAAAAATAACTGGAAATTCAGGATTTCATGTTCTGATGTGGGAACAGATACCTGAACTAAGTAAAGTTATTCACAGCACAGTATATTTTAAGTACTCTATTTAAAAAATACCTTTGCCTTAAGTTTGATATTGTGTTAAAGTCAATTAGATTGGGGAATGCTGATGTGGTAGTAAGGGAAATAACGTATGTGATTCCAGAAGCAGATTTTCCTAGATTTTAATTATCTGACTGGATTTCAGGTTACTTGACTTGAGAGTGCGGTAGATAACTCTTTTTTTTTTTTTTTTTTTTTTTTTTTACAAGTTTTCTTACAGCCGTGGTTTGGCTTGTAATTGTTCTTGGTGAGCTTGATTTTTGTGAAGTTCTGAAATCTGTGCTGGTTGTATTTGTGTTGGGCCTCCTGGAGGTGTGGTTTGATACTACAGCTAAAATGATCTAATGGCTTTGCTGAGCTGTAGAGGAGTTGAGCCTTTTCTCTACCAATACTCTTCATGTGCTTCATCCCCTGCCTTCTGAGCAGAATTGACATGGTTACTTCTGTAGAGAGCCAGTTCGAGAAGTGAAAATACTGTTTTTCTGCTAATTGGACTCAGGGTAGCTCCTGTACAATAGCCGGCGAGGTATTTTTGTGATCGTGGTGAAGCTACAGGCATTATTTAAGCAGTGAAGAAAATACAGTTTTGCCAGGAGGTTCTCTGGGTTCTTCTGTTAATGCCACAATTGAGCTTGGAAAAAAACCAACCCTGTGTGTCAGTTCTCTCACTCTGTATCTGCTTTGCTCAGGAGTTAAGAATCTTATCAGGAAGATCTCTAAATTTCCGTTGACTGCAGCAAAGAATAGAGGAGTTTCAGAATTACTGATTTTTTTGTAGGTTACTTTTCTTCTGGAAAATGTAAGGGAACCATGGCGTAAGAGTTGATAGTATGTGTATTTATAGTAGTATTGTCCCTTCCTTCATCAAACTGTGAAGTGAGGTGGCTTGCTGGCTGTGGAATTTTAGGGAAGAGACCCGGTGTCTTGTGTGATGGTTCCTGTGCCATCGCTTGTGAATCTCTTTTGCTTCCTGAACCCTGCTTGTGGATGTGTTGGTCTGTTCTGATCCTGTGTAGACAGCTTAGGACAGTGTGACTGAGCAGTATTTGTGATGAGGTTGTTAACTTCTGTCGGTTTAAGCAGGTCCACAAACTGCAGCACAGTGTGCCCTGTTGGTTTTGGACCATGTGAACACGGAAACTTGCTTTGGTTACTTGGTAGGGGGGATGCAGAGCATGAGCACCAACGTTGAAACAACTCAGTATGTTTTTATGTTGCTTCAAATCCTTCTCTTTTTAAATTAATTGCAAAGAGACAGAAATATTCTTCTGTTACTAGTCATTACTTTTAAACACATTTGGATTGTCAAAATCGAAGAGAAGGATCTTGGACCAACCATTATTTGTTTCTTGATATCTGTGATTCACAGTGCTGGCTAGAGAGCAGCCTGCCAGTAGAAGAGTTATGAAGCAGTGTGCTGGCTTACTGCTGTGACACCAAATAGGGAAACTTTTGCTTCTGGGAGCATTTTTAATTTAAAAAGTTGCAAATTTGATATTTGAGCAATAATTTAATGATTTGTGTCTGGTTAAAATTAATATTGTTAGGGTAGACGTGTTCTGTAGCGGAAGCTTATATGGCACTGTATATTACAGAGGAGAGAACCAGAGGGGAAAGGTTTAGCCAAAGTTTATGGGTGGGGAAATAGTGTGGGAAATGATTTTGTTAATTAACTAGCTCTGTCATGTGAAATAATAGAAGGATGGTGTGCTCATGCAAAGCAGTAAATTATTTCCCATACTGCTTTTTGCAACTGATAAAATTGTTTGGTGTATTGCTAGCTGCACTGCTGTGCTTTCAATGAATCAGTAATTCTGTGGGCTTTTCTTGCTACTGCTAAAGCTTCCATCACTGTTTAACTTAAAAAGATCTTTAATCAACATTTGTATAAAGCAGGCTTAATTTCTTGTAGGCTTCGAAATAAAAGGAGAATTGTGTGTTTATATTCCTATGTATCTATCAATGAGTGTGCATGAATGAGGGCAAGTACAGCTAGGTTAGGAAAGAGAAGCCTATGGTCTGAAGGAAGGTTGGAGGCTTCCTAGCCTGGAAAATGATGACTAAACCGGTGAATTTTCCATCGTGTAAAAGCTGGTTAGTAGCAGACTGTGTGATGTGTTGCTTTTTACATCAGTTGGACAAAGGAGAAGATAGAATGTATCTTCATTGGCCCCAGAGATCGTTTACATTGGGTATCAGGAAGTGTATTAGAGGTCACCGAGTTTCACTTCTCTCAGGGAGAAGACGTCCCGTTTTCCTAACTGCTATGTCAGATGAAGAAAATGGGCTAAATGGTCCCTCAAGGTCTCTATATTTTACATTCTCTTTGGATAATTTCAGAAATGTATTGCCCATAATGAAATTCTTTTTTTAAGAACAAGAAAAATCTACAAATGTATGACAGTCTGTCACTGAATTGTAGCCAAGATGTTAGTTCAGATAGCATTGCTACGTGACTGCCAAATAAATGAAGAAAAAATATACTAAGATATTTTTTTCATATTTTGACTGTCATTTACTTAGTCTAAGCAGGAGGGGGTTTTGCTTTGTTGTAAATTAACTTTGTTCAAGTTAAAATTGCAGCCTTTACTGCAAACTGAATTGTTGAGTATTGGCAACATTTTACTTGCATCATTAATATTTTATTTTCCTTTCTTGCTAATGTACTTTGAGTTTGATTGTAAAGGAAATACACTAGACCAAATCAATGTCTGAGTGCTGTATTAACGTATAAGCTGTCAAATCTGGTGGGGAGATGCTGCAAATCTTTGTGAATTCACTTGTCTTTAATTCAGATCAGATTTAATTGTGTTTGTATGTCTTAGGTAAGACTTTCCATTGCCCTGCTTACCCTTATTATTGATAATGACCTGTTGCCCTACTGAAAAACTAGTGTCTACGTTATTTTTTGTTTTAATTGACTGAGCATCAGTAGGTGGCAGCATAAGCTGAATTTAAAGAACAGCTTTCAGGAGTTGGGGTAGAGTGAATGAAAACGCAGGCATGCCCTAGCTGTGTGGATAGACGGTCTGTAAAGGACTGTGTTAGAAAGCTGTGTTTAATCCTTCCCTGAAGATTTTACAAGTAACAGTCTGCAGTTTACCAGATTGGTTTCTGGGAATGCCTGTGTAAATGGTAAAAAAGGAACTAAATAATGCTTCAAAAAACAAAACAAAACATAATAACTGTTAATAGAAAAAAAAATTAGCTTCTTTAGGCTGCCAGTTTCTTTGAGGTTATAAAAGGTGGAAAAGATCTAATGTTCTTACTTCTTCCTAGGCCCTGACTTTGTTGTTTGTGACGAAGGGCACATACTAAAAAATGAAGCATCTGCTGTTTCTAAGGCAATGAATTCAATTCGTTCTAGGAGAAGAATAATTCTGACAGGAACACCACTGCAAAATAATCTTATAGAATGTGAGTAGTTCTCTTGTTTAAGATGTGTTTATTTCTTTGGATGTACTCTTACCTTTCAGCAATATATAATTACAGATAGATTTCGTTTGAATAGAAGAAAAGAATTTGACATGATGAAGATGTTTTGCTGTGTTTATACCGGGGGGGGAAAAAAAGTCCAGTAAAGGCTTCCTGCATTTTTCATATCTAATTATTGTCTGAAGATGTGCTTCCATGGAAATTAAGTAGACCTGGTCTTGCCGGAGCATCAGTTTGAATTGTTCTTAACTATTGCAGAGCAATGTTCTTAGTAAATTTGTTAAAACAGTAATTTCTGTTTGCTGTCTCAGGAACATTCTGTATTAGCTATTTATATGCCATATTTCTGTCTCATAGCATGCTGTAATAGTTTTTTAATAATTAATATGTTATTGAATCTATTTCAGAATCTTTACAAATATGTGTTACCGTGTAATTGCTTTGGTGTACAGAGGCCCTCAAACTAGTTAGCATCCAAGATGAGGAAGTTTTAAATCTGACATTAAATTTAGAAGTTACTTTTCTGCTTACAGTGTGTATCAATTTAAGATGCCCTTTTCTGAAAATGTTGCATTTGAGCATTTCTGCGTAACAAGAAGTTCTTAGCTTAGGTATAACACATTAATTTTGGTTTAGAATTAATCCCAATATTGTACTTGTGCTTTTGAACAGTTGGAACTTGATCTTTTTGTTCTAGATCACTGCATGGTTAACTTTATTAAGGAGAATTTGCTTGGTTCAATTAAAGAATTCCGAAATCGATTTATAAATCCAATTCAGAACGGTCAGTGTGCAGACTCCACTCTGGTGGATGTCAGAGTAATGAAGAAGCGGGCGCATATTCTCTACGAGATGTTAGCTGGATGCGTTCAGGTGAGAACAGTTGCAACTTAACTAATTAATTGAAATAGCTGTGGGGAGAGGGAAGAGTTATTCCATCTTGTTCTGATGAAAGCACTCAAAAATCTTTACATTTGTTATTGGAGTATTTCATGAACAGGTTTGTTTGTTCTGCAGTGTGTTCTGTGTAGCTGCAGTCACTGATAGTTGATTAAACAGTCCCAGGGAGCTGGGTGAAGTGGTCACAGTGGATGGTCCCATGTGCAGTTAGCTCACCTCCAAAGAAATAGAAAGGTTTATGGCAGTGTGTAAAAGTGGTGAAGGACTTCCTATAGGAAGATGATGATACTGGAAATACAAATATTAGCACAGCAGCACAGGAGCACAAACCAGTCCTCATTACAATTTACTTATGTTATGGAAGAGACAAGTAGAACGGATGCCCCTATTGTAAATATAATGAAACATTTAATTCCCTAAAACTGGAATCAGTAGACTTAGGACCTGTTACAGAGAAAGTGATCCTGCTGCAAAATCAGTCCTATTAGCCAATGCCCTTACTGTCTTTTCTGGGCTGGAGAGGACGTAGATTGTGAGCAAATCCTAGGTCCCTTCAGGTGCTGAGCGCCCTGCACTCATGCAGCATTGGATGGAGCCTGGGAGAGTTTTCCTATGCCACACTGCACAGAGCAGATCCTGTCTGTGGAGGGAAGCTCTTGTTGGGTCAGCTGTGCAGTTTCTTTACAAGAAAATTCTGTTCCCAAGGGATGCTGCCTTCTCAGATAAAGGCAAGGCCTTGCAGGTGGTTTATCTCCAGTACCAAGTGGGAGCTGCCCACAGGCTCCTCTCTGACAGCGAGCTGGCTGAGGTCATCCTGCAGCCAAGGAATTTGTGCTGTGCAGCTGAAGCTTGAAAGCTGTGCTGTGTGTGCAGCACTGACCAACACCTCCCAGGGCTGCTGGGGTCACCTGCTCCTGAATAGTGTCTTGGTCAGGATCAGTACACCAGGTACTGTTTGGATGGAGGGGCAGATAGCAAGAGAATCAGTCTGTAAAGTAGAAAAAACGAATAAGTTTTGCTTTGCCTCAAACAAGGAGGTATTCAGAAATGACATACTCTAAACCAGAGGATAGTTACCATGAGTGCACATTCACCTGCAATAAAAGCATTGGTATGAGCTGCTTGACGTACCCATGCTTTCCCAGGAATGGTTTTATAATTAAAAAAATGAAACATAAAAGCACCTGGGCAGTTATTGAAGCTGCTGTCAACTTCTGAGGGATTTGGAGCTGAGGTTGATCTGGAGGCATGCGGTTGATGGGTCCTTCTCCTTTTTAATTGGACATCTATGTTTATTACTTAAGGTGGGCTTCTACAGACAGTGCCTGTTAAATAGATTGATAGAGTGATATAGTGGGTTATTTTTTTTCCCCCTTTGTGGTAGGTGAGCATCTGAATAATTGTGATTTATGCATGATTAATGCCTTGTTGATCAAGTAGCCAGAAGTTCTTAAGTAATCTCAGTAATCGCTTTTCATGTTTATAATGACTAAAATCTCACTTGTAAAATTACAGAGGAAAGATTACACAGCATTAACAAAGTTCCTCCCACCAAAATATGAGTATGTTCTAGAAGTTAGAATGACACCTATTCAGTGCAAGCTCTACCAGTATTACTTGGATCATTTGACAGGTATGTGTCTGCCGCTCCTTCAGGTAACAAGATTAATGGTCATTGGTTTGGGTTTTTTTAGTATGTATTATGTACCCTACAGATGAATTTTTCTGCTTCATCTAAGACTTACCTTAACTCTGAAATTTGAATTGCTGCAAAACATTTGATTGCACATGAATATTTTGGGGGGGGAATTGTAATGCATGCATTTCAGTAGTAGTCTACTTCCAGGTTGTGGTTCATCTTTCTTTTTTTTTGTTTTCTAAACATAAAATGTATTTTATTTCATGTTTTGTTCTTCCAAGAACTAAGATACTGGCAGTGAGACCGGAGGAAGAAAATTAAAAATTGAGATGCACTGGTGAAAGCTCACTGCTAACTGTCAATTTCCTTTTCTGCTATCCCAGCTGAAACTATTATTTGACAAATGTCTCTTTTTTGGAACACTCTTTCTAAACCCTCGAGTCTGTTTTACACAGTAACCATTTGTGCTTCTTCCCAATTAATGCAATCTTGTTTAATTGAAATTAGAAGGTGCCTAAGGGGGAAAAAAAAATGTTACTGTGGACTTAACTATTGTTCCCTTATGTGAGAGATAAAACTCTCAGCTTGTAATTTCAATGTATCAGGGTGTCCAAGCGTCAACACCTTGTAGCAGCTTGTAGCACCATATAGGACTACTAGAATGGGAATGTGCTGAATTCCAAAGCAATGTCTAAGGTGCTGCTGATAGGCTTTTGCCAAAGCTTTAAAAGCTGTGTTCAGTTTTGGCAATGGCTATGAAATATATTACATAGTCTGTTGTGTTTTTTCCCACCTGTTAAGCCACCTGTCTCTTGCTGTGGCAGGATTTTTTTAAAATTTTTTTCTATTCTTGATATTCTCAGAAGGAAAGATTCATTGTAGCTCGTCAAGCTGTAATTTATAGCAGTGTGAAATTCACTGTGTTGCCTTAATGACTGTAGGTTCTGGGCAGTGCAGCTTGCAATCTCCTAGACAAACTGCCAACTATGTGTCCCTTCTGTAGTTGTGCTGTGTGTGATGCTGCTGTTTGGTGCAAGTCATGGCAGTAAGAGTTTTGAAGCAAAGGTAATTTCACTTCCATTGGTATCTCCAGTGGTAACTGGACATCTTGTAATCTGCCCACAGCAGGGCTTAGGACTGGGAGAACCATTCTGTGACTGTAGTTCTTCATAGCAGCTGCTAATTACAGAGTTGGAGTGGTTCTGTAGGTTATCTTTGGCCTATTTCTACTACAAAGCAAGATTGGTTTTTTTGTTTTGTTTTAGTTATTTTCAGCCTCTCTGAGCCTGACTGTTGGTCTGCCATGCTTTTAGATGGAAAAGTAAAACCTTTATGGATAATTGATGAGCATAAAAATCAGTGTTGGATGTTTACAACTATTTTACTGTGTACAGAAATGTTTACAGATGCTGTCTTTCAGTTCCTCCTTTTTCAATAGGGCAGGCAGCTTCCAAGAGGAGGTAGGCCTTAATCCACTATTTGTTAAAGCTAAGGGAAAGATCTGTTCTGGCAAAAAGCTTGTTACAGTGTGCTTCAAATTTGCTTAATTGTTGGAACAGTCTATTTATTAATAGATTGTGTGTGCAACTAACTATAAGAAAATGCACTCCCTAGAAGTTCGGTTAATCTGTCTAGACTTCGGAGGGCTTGATAAAATTCTTTGAACCTAAGCCTGCAGCTGTCAGAATGGGTGGTACTGTTTCATGACTTAGCAGCCTTGTTGAGCTGCTTCAGCCCCCTGAACTATCAGACAGCATCATTTCCTTTCTCTCTCTGGATCTTGGGTTAGTGTCCTGCCAGTATGGTAAGCACAGTCAGCTCATCCAGCGGTCGGTGCCACAGGTGAGATGGGAAACAGAGAACTGGGGGAAAGGAAGGAAGAACTGCCTCTAATGAGAAGAGAGCTGTGTGAGCTAGCCCTGGCCCAGGTTCTTATAGGAGATCTCTGTAATGGTTGTGGAGGCCCATGTTAGTTCTCTGGATTACTTACGTATTTAAGGAGTTCTTCCAGAAAAGGACATGCTCTCTGATTTTCATTAAATAAAAAAGCAAATATAGAAGAATGACTGCTTCTCATCTGCAAATGCTTAAAATTGTTTTCCTGTGCCTCATAATAGAGGCATGTAACTAAAATCACATTTTAGATGCTATTTTCTAAAACTTTCAGTTTTTCCTTCATTTAACAAACAAATTATATTGTTCTACTTTCACTTCTGAACAAGTCTGTAAGGAGACATTGACTTTGTGTTTGATACAGCAAGTTTATCAGGTTAAGTTTAGCAAAGTTGAACTTAAGAATGGCTATCTTATATTTCCTTTTCTCAGCATCATAGGGAGGCATAAATGTGAAATTTCTTAAGGCTGTTTTATGATTAAAACAAAGCAAGAAGTTGATTTGTTAAAATATTTTTTACACATATTCTGGCATTCCCTTATCTATTGAGCAAATGCTCTGAGTAAGCTTTGTGCCTGCTGTGCCATAGACATTTGATCATTTTGATGTAGCAAATACTGTTCTCTTGTAGGCATACATGCCTTATATTTTTTATACAGTAAATACAAAAACCAATCTGTTTCAAGAACCAAGAGTTATTTTGCTGCTTGATGGTACTTGAAACTACAAAAAATGTCCGACTTTGAACATTCTGTGAAGTAGTGCTGATTTGTGCTTGGGCAATGCAAATATGCTGGCCATTTTGAAATTCTTTATTGTAACAGATCAGTGCGGTGTTATGAGTTAATGAGGGAAAACCAAAATGAAAATAAATAGCAAATTTTGTTTTGTTTTCTAGTTGGGCTGCTTTATGAGAGCTGATTATACGATCTAAATAGACGTGATAGCCCTTCTAGGAGGATTTGGATTCATTCCTGTATTGGGGAGAAAAGTGTATTGATGTAAGATTGGTATCATGTTTCTCATGGTCGAGAAAAAAGGGAACAACTAATTTTGACAACTTTAACTGGGAGAAGAACTCCTTTGACTGAGTAATTTCACCTGTTCTACAAGAGATGTTACAATATGGTGTGCATCTGGAAAGAACACTCAGTACTGTGCTAGCAGATCATTCAAAGGAGGAGCAGTATATGGCTGATGTACCTCAAGGTTTCATTCTCAAACCTGAACTTCTTTGTCAGGTGTAGGTGGCGGCAATGAGGGTGGACGAGGCAAAGCTGGAGCTAAACTGTTCCAGGATTTCCAGATGCTGAGCAGAATATGGACTCATCCCTGGTGTTTGCAACTGGACTATATTAGCAAAGAAAATAAGGTAAATTAGATGTATCAAAATACTCTCTATAAAGAACTTTCCAAATAAGCTATGCCAAATGTTGGGTAAAGTTTCATCAAATTAATGGAAATCTTTGTTGCTGTGGGGTAATTTTACTGCTGTTTTTGTCATATTTTTAGTTTCAGCATATGTTGTCATTCTTAAAAACATTTTGAAAGGCTGTCTTTTTGTGCAACTTAACATTGTCTTAATGGCGAACAAGCAGATGGCTGAAGATTTAATAAAAGCTTCTAGATGAACAAACAGTAAAATTTCTGTTTTTTCTCTTTTAAGGGCTACTTTGATGAAGACAGTATGGATGACTTCATAGCTTCAGATTCTGATGAAACTTCAATGAGTTTAAGTTCTGATGATTATGCAAAGTAATTAAGTTTTTATTTATTGTTTGTTGTTGGATTTATCTCCCTAATAGAAGAGGATGTCTATAAAAGTAAATGATCTCTCTAAAATTAAATGTATTTTTACATGTATGTCCTCTAGCAACGTGATTCAAAAAGATAAATACATAGGTGTGTAATGCTATCTCTCTAGGAAAAAAAAATCCAAGGGGAAAAAAGGGAAGAAAGAATGTAGTTCAAGTGGGAGTGGCAGCGATAACGATGTTGAAGTCATTAAAGTCTGGAATTCAAGATCTCGTGGAGGTGGAGAAGGAAATGCAGAAGAACTTGGTAACAACCCTTCAGCAGTTATAAAATCAGAAGAAGGTGAGTATAGTATAGTATAAATCAAATACCATGCAGTTTCATTTTGGAAAACGCAATTTGAGAGGGCTGTTGTGCTTTGTGCAAAATGAAATTAGGGAATTTGCCAGGTACTCCTTCTGTGCTTACGGTTCCTGCTATTTCTAATAATGTGCTCCAACTGATAACTGTTTGAATTCAGAAGTACGAAAAGATGCAAAGTTAAGAGGCAACTATGGTGCTTTTCCCTTTTTTTACTGTGCTAATGAAAGAATATTGAAAACATGTAACAAATGTGTTTGTCCTTCACTGTTACACCCGGAAGATGTAACGTCCTACAGGTGTTGTTATCGCAGTGGTGCGTTAGAGATGAGCAGGCAAGAAACCTTCCTAAAGAACTTTGCAAAAAGACAGATGATGATGGTGGAATTTGTATTTTCCTTTTGTAGAGAAATAATATAAAAGGGGGGAAATAATGACTTTTTCCCTTCTATGTACTGCTGTATATACTGATGTCTTCTACGTTAGCTTTGGAAAAAGAGATTTTAAGTCTGAGTATTGTGAAAGTGAGAGGAGACACGCAATCTTGTGATACAGGAGGTATTATTGGAACACTTGAAGGCTTCATCTGTGAATTCTCTTAATAGATGGTCTTGGTGTAACTCAGACAACTATTAACTTTTCAAGAATTTCAGGTGCTTATTTCAGATTCAAATCACTTTATGAGTAGTTGCTTTTCAGTTGCTATAATTCAAATGAATTTTCAAAGATGCATGATTGTTGGAAACAAAGGTATCAATTTATACTTAGGGGGAGGATTGCAGATAATAGAATTCTGTGTCTAAATGTCCTGTAGCATTAAAAAATAACATTTCAAAGCATTTAAATGGAAACCATGCCTTTATGTCTGACTTTTGTGTGTGTGTTTCCATAGGTAAAGCTACTTCCTCATCCAATCCTGGTAGCCCAGCTCCAGACTGGTACAAAGATTTTGTCACTGATGCGGATGCTGAGGTGTTGGAACACTCTGGGAAAATGGTTCTTCTCTTTGAAATCCTTCGAATGGCAGAGGAGCTTGGGGACAAAGTGTAAGTCAGTTTTAGAAGTGTTTTAAACAATCTTGTAAATAAGTTGGTCTATTTTTCATTCAATCTAGAGATTAGATGCTATAGCTCAGGTTTCTGAAGCTCGCTATTTCCAGCAGTTTTTGCGTGCATACATGTACTCCCATGAAGTCTTTCAGTGTGTCCAGAAAGATTGTTTGTTTGAAAGGTTGTATCAGAATGAGCAATTTGTTACAATAATTAACCCCAGAGTTGAATTCTGTGTTTCTGTTTCCAGCCTAGTGTTTAGCCAGTCCCTTATATCGTTGGATTTGATAGAAGATTTTCTGGAGCTGGCTAACAGGGAGAAAACTGACAAAGAGAAGCCTCCTATCTATAAAGGTGAGTGTGAGCTTGTTTGAGCAATTACAAAGCAAATTATTCTTTTACAAGTCTGTCTTCATTCCAAAGGGAATGGAGTTGAAGTAATTGCTTTCATGAGAAACATTCTATCATTCCTGAAGTTGGCAGAACTGCTTTTCTCCTCTGCAGGTGGTCTCTGCTATCCTATTATGGATTCTTGTTTCTGATTTCATTCTGTGTCATGTGTGCTTAATATTGCCTAGGCAGTTAAAATGTTCATCATCCAAAATGAGAGAAGGCATTTTATTAAATTCTGTGTAAAAGTGACGTTGTATGCTCATGCATGGCAAATTCTGGTCCTTCCTACTGAGAGAGAGAGATAATGAAGGAAAATGATAACACTTTCAAATGGTGTGCTCTGGATACTGAATGCAGAATGTGAGTTTGGGCTTTATACGTGCTACAGTATATTTTGTTATGGATTCTGTAAGAGAGCAGTGTCTTTAATTAATTGCTATGCTAGCAATGCTTGAATGGTAAGGAATTTCTCACTAACCAGACGTGTACTCTGTGCTGTGCAGGATTTTTTATTTTCCTCTATGTGATCTTACCCGAATTCCTGATGATGCAGTTTGTTCTTATGCTAAGTTTCAGTTCACAATAAGTGCAGATTGAAGAATTTGTTTGAATCTCATTTGTTTCAAATATCTTCTTTCTAAGTCTAAGCATGTATAAACATTTGCATAAGAGAAATGTGGCTTTGGTGGTATGAGTGCCATTAGATGAAGATCTCCAGTATCTCTCTCACAGATTTGTTCCCACCTACTGCTTCCTTAGCTTCTGAGTGTTTGTTACCTTCCCATGTAATTAGTTGCTATCCTTTTTTTCTTGCTTTTAATGTTTGTTCCTTCAGTGTGAGCTCATTCTTAATGTTGTGGACTTTTTTCGCATGCATATTTGGTAGATCTTTTATTAACTGGCTGTAATGGTAAGATTTACCATATACAGACATTCATAGAATGGCTTAGGTTGGAGGGGAGCTTACAGATCATCTGGTTCCCTCTGCCATGAGCTGGCTGCCTCCACCAGCTCAGGCTGCCCAGGCCCCATCCAGCCTGGTACTGAGCACCTCCAGGGATGGGTGCCCACAGCTCTCTGGCAACAGTGCCAGGCCCTCACAGTCCTGTGAGGCAGTTCTGGCATGACTCATAGCGTGTTTATAACTTGGCATCTTTAATTTCCAGTCTGTTTTGTTTAATATCAGTTGTTAATTTTTACAAAAAGATCAGAATCTTAAGAAATAAATTATACTACTAAGGTAATACTATAATAATGAATAATACGTTTTTTTCTTTAAGGTGAAATGCTATTGACAAGATTTACTCTGCTTTTTGAATCATTTTAGACAGGATTGGGTTAGGATATGTAGGAGATTTGCTTTTTGCTTTGCAGATGTTTATTGTTTTCACAAATGCAGTTGCCATTATTTTCTGTCATATTGTGTTTTATATTTTGTTACGCAAGCCTCACTAAATAATTTTCAGGCCATGCCTTTGAGAAACACCTGTATTTTCAAAAAAATGTTTTCCATCATGGATTCTTTGTCTTGAATTACCTCTAGTCTTTTCCCATTGCTTTGAATTGTTAGAGAATGTCGTCTTTTTTGCTCCATGTTTGCTCTTGCACTGAGAGAGAGAGAGAGAGAGTTGAACATTTCCAGTATTATCAGTCTGGTTATCTACATAACCAGCATTTTAATCATGATTCTTACTTATAGGTGAAGGAAAATGGTTCCGAAACATTGATTACTATCGCTTGGATGGTTCAACTACAGCTCAGTCAAGAAAGAAATGGGCTGAAGAATTTAATGATGAAACTAACGTGAGGTGAGGTCTCTTCAGACAGACGTTCTTGATTTTTTCCCTTTTTTCTTTTGTTCCATGTTTCTTTGTTACTTGTGTTAGTTTACTGACCTTTAACGCTATGCCTTTGAAGTTTCACAGTGCTGCCAGGTGCAGCACTGCTTCGTGTAGTTGTTTCAAGCAAGAAACTGTTGACTGTCCCCTCTCTTCAGTGTGCTTATTTGTTTACTTCAATACTTGTGGCTGAATTCCATATTGATACTTACTGGAAGCTGCAGGTTCTTTGTAGAGATGAACTGTAGCTTTTCATCCATACTTGTACTTCAGTTTGGCTTTTGAGTCTAAAGTCTTTATCAGAGACAGAGTTGTGCTTGAGTTACCCTTTGAGCTAGCCAGAGAACAGTTTCAGTAATATGGGGTATGCTTTTCTAATATTACTATTGAATGTGATATAATGTGAATTTGAAACAGCAGAAATTTAAAAAAAAAAAAAAAAAAAAAAAAAGAAAAGAAAAAGAAAAATAAGTCTTTCCCAGCAGTTCCTGTTAACAATTGGTTTGTACCTGATCTGTATTTCTGAGGGTATGTTTTGCTAAAAGTTTTGTCTCTTTTATGCTTAGTACAACATCTTAATGATGTTTTTTGAGCAGTTTCCATGTATGACAATTCTACAATAACAGCAACAGTAATTTTTTTCCAAAATATTAAAAATCTGCAACTTTTCTTTGTTCCAGAGGCCGCTTGTTTATTATATCCACTAAGGCAGGTTCCCTTGGAATTAATCTCGTGGCTGCTAATAGAGTAATCATCTTTGATGCTTCTTGGAACCCATCATATGATATCCAGAGTATTTTCAGGGTTTACCGCTTTGGGCAGAGCAAACCTGTGTTTGTGTACAGATTTTTGGCCCAGGTACGTTTCTGAGTGATGATTTTGTGACACTCTGGTCCTGCAATCTGAATTGTAATCTCTAACTGTTTGGATGTCTGTTGACGTTAGTGGTGATTCACACTGATCCAGTCACCTTCCAGCCCAAATCTGGTAGCTGTATTTGATGCGAAACCACTGAAAAAACTCTTGAAGGAAATAGCAGTGAATTTAAAAAGAACTGAACGTATTTCCAGTAAAGCCCATCTCATCTAGCAGTCTGTGTAACACCACTCTTAGCAGTGTGGTTCACACACTCAGAATAACGCTTTTGCTGTTTTAACGTGCACACTACTGAAAATTTGTGATTTGAATGGCTGCACAAAGCATAGTTGCCATTTGGCAGCAGATTTGCTCAGTGTGGCTGACTTCTACAGACTGGTCTCAAGGCTGCTGAAGATCCAAAGGAGAAAGTTAAGGATTTGTTTTTAATATAGAAGAAAGCATGCAGTCATGTTTGGAGAGCTTGTATTGCAGCCTAAAGATCGGAAGGATTGTTCCTAATTCTGATGATCACTGATCTGTGCTGTTTTTAAGCAGTAGCACCATTATTTCTGATAGGTAGTTTCTTGCTTCACCTTTCAGTTCAAGGATTTTTACAGTATAGACTGAAGACCTTTTCCCAGTAACAGTACTTAACTCATGATCAAGTCACTATTCACTTGCCAACTTAAATACGTTACTTTTTGTAACATGTTTCTGTCAGATATGCATTTTTTTTTCCTTCAGGCTTCAGTCTATTTTTCTCTTCGTGCACTTTTGAACTGTTGGTACCCTTTTTAAATTACAGTGTTTAGAACAGGCTGTGCTGTTCTCATACTTTCTGTAGTCATCGTCTTTAAGAAAAAAAATTCCTTTTTCATCAGAGACCAAGTTTGTTCTTACACAGCTGTGATAGATTAGACTTGACTGCTTCTCTTCCCCTGCCCTTCCTACCCAGCAATATGGTATCTGTCTTCCTATTTGTGGGCTGCTCAAAACAACAAAATAAGGTAGGTCCTGTGAAAATTGACGCTTTTGTCACAATTGGGGAATTGGAGGGAAACTGTTCTCTTCTTCAAGGCATTCCTGAAATACAAATTTCTCATGACAGTCAGTAGCAGCATTTTTTTTTTCAGCAAACGAAGTTTTCAGGTGGCTTTGTAGGTAAGGATTGAAAAAAAGGGGAAAATAGAGCAAGGTTATGTTGTTGTTGCTCTTGTATCTCTGTTAGTATTTTCCTACATAGCAGGTGGTTTGGTATTTGTATTAAAGCGAGTATCTGTGATCTTTAGGGTACGATGGAAGATAAAATCTACGATCGGCAGGTCACCAAGCAGTCCCTGTCTTTCCGGGTTGTGGACCAGCAGCAAGTGGAACGTCATTTTACTATGAATGAGCTAACAGAGCTGTACACTTTTGAGCCGGATTTGCTGGATGATCCGAATTCAGAAAAGAAAAAGAAGAGGGACACACCAATGCTGCCAAAAGTAAGTCGGCGTACATTGCTGGGAATTAAACGCTATAAAAAAAGCTTGTATCTGTTTTAGAATGTGGGGTATTCAACCTTGGAAGGAGAAAGAGTGCTGTGTTGTCACTTCAGAGTAGAATTTTTCACTTAGAAATAAGGTGAATACAATTGTTTACACTAAATGATAGAACACCCTGAATTGGACGGGACCCATAAGGATCATTGGGTCCAAACTAAGTATGCTGCATGGTGAGAGTGCTGATCCTCTGTACTCTGAAATAACAGGAATTAATGATGTCAGACCTTTTTCCAACTTGATGATGAATAAACTTTGAAGATGACAGTAGTTTGTTTTCAGTGAGGCTTGCCTTAATCTATTTGTGTAATGGCTGTGGCATGTGTGATAGTGGTTCGTTGTTCCTGCTTCGCGTAGTAATGGCTCAGTATCCTATGCTGTTCATAGGGAACCAAACAGCTTACTAACCAAACTGGAAAATAGTCAGACTTTTATTCCTATCTCACGGTGAAGTTCAGGAGAAAGAATGGACTGAGTGTTTATTTTACTCTGTTTTCCAAGTTTGTTTGTATTTGAGGTTAGGCTTGTCTGATTTATGTTCATTGTGTTAGATATCCACATACACTAATTTAATGTGGTCTTCTGGAGGCTAATTGATCAGTAAGTTGTTGTGCAGTTATCTGTTGCTCATCACTTGGTGAAGAGCTTAACAGTAAAGAGTAAGGTTTAAATGTGTGGCCCACACTTAGTCTCCTGATTACATCTCTGAGTTATGTTTAGGTCTTGGTGTGGGAATGGAGGTTTTCTAGTTCATAAATTTATTAATTTTCAAAGAAAAATTGTATGCTCTCCATTCTAGACTCTCTGTAAACCCTGATAATAAATGGTGGCTAAGCTTTGCATTGGCATTCTTATTATTTGGGCCATTCTTTGAAATTGAGTCTGTCAGAGCACCTACAGCATCCGTGCAGCTGCTGGGGGGATTTGGGAAGCAGGAGCCCTATAAATGTTCGTTGCTGCTGCACATTTGTTTCAAAACCCTTGAAAACAGACTCTAATGACTGTATCTGGGCTCCTTTTATTATGATGTTTCGCAGTGTAAGCAGTAAGTTGGAGATAACAGATATTTTTTTTTAACTTCTTAATCAGTGCTTTGAATAAACAGTCATCTCAATGGGTAAATAATCAGTGCAGTCATTATATGTTGGAAGTTACTTGTTTTTATTTACAGTAATAGATCAATTCATAAATGTGTGGAAGTTTATAAGCTCCAGACGTAGTTCAGTATTTGATTTGAAATTAAGTTCCACATTAATTCAGCTTAGCCATCAGCATAAGGTTCACATCAGTTAAATTGTATATAAGCTTTTAACCAAGTTGCTGACTAGAAATAAAATTCCTGTGTATAGGAATTCTCTGATTTTTGTTGTTTTTCTGTTCCCCTTGGTTTAGCACATGGTACTGAACAAATTTTAAAATTTGTCCATCTTTGTGTGCATTTCTTACCTGTTTTGTTTTGGATTGGTTGAAAGGACAAGGTGTCATCAGTTGGATTCATCTTGTCTTAGCAGTTTGTGCATTTATTTGTTGAAAGCAGTGTTTTGCCTTCCTGGTAGCCTCACAAAATGTGGAAGGTAGCTATTACTCCCCAGTTATCCTTCACTTGTCTTGTGTCCCACAATTAGGCATGGTTTTGTGATAATGAGGAAAAGAACTGGAGGTGTGGAAGTGTTGTAGAAGTACACAGCTTGCAGTGCACGTTCCTAGCTGGGAGGCAGAGGAGCCTCCCACGTGCGGCAGCCAGTGTTTTCATGTCATTGCTTTGCTTGTGGGGAGTCCTTCTGGTTGTCAGAGGGGAAAGAGGTGCTTGAGGAATGTTAATAAAAAAATCAGTAGCTGTCACTGAGCAAAGCATTACTTGTGGTTTGGGATTTGGCCAGGCAGTCCAAGGGGAGAAGTGAAGTCTGTCCTGTAAGGCCATCTAGTGCACATGGGCAACGAGGTGAGGTAATCAATGATTGCTGGGTAGTCGATCCAAGACAAAATGCAGATGTTTTAGGATCTGAGTAGGGCGGCTCCCAGTGCTGAGCTGGCATTGAGCAGCTCTGCCTGGTTGGCTGGTGCCAGTGCAGTGAACTGTTGCAAAGTAATCTATATCAGACCTTTGTTTCATTTGGTCTTAGACTTACCATGAAAAATGTAAAGACAAAACTCTCCTTAGCTGTTTTGATGATCTCTGTTTCTTAATCATTGTTTTTGCTGCATTTGTCTTCCCCTTGGCTGACTGGGACGTTTTATTTTCATTTTGTCCTTGCTGTGCACACCAAACTGAGCGAGTCCAGTGACTTCTTCCTTGATTTCTGTGATCTTTTTATCTGAACTGTGGCTCATAATTGTATGGGAACTGCTGAGTCACGGCCTGAACCTCTGATTGATCACCTGAGGTGAGCCATGAGTCAACCAGAGGAGCACAGGTGAAGGCAATTCACTGTGCTGCCTCCCCTCCTAGACCTATTGAAGAGCTGGCTACCAGTGGGGAAGGATCTCTTCTGGAGATCTGCTCTGCTGGAGTTTTGTGAGCGAGCCCAGGATAGGGATATGCCTTCCATTTATTCTCTTTTGTTGTCATAGTCTGCTTTGCCTAACTCTCTTGTTTATTTTGTGATTATAACATCCTTATATTGTTTGATTATACAACAATTTATTTATCATTAGTTTTACTTTTGTTTCCTATTTCTTTTGCTCTCTCCAGTTCTCTAGAAATTCAACGTGAACGGTCAAAAGTAGATATCAGCTGTAGGAAGTGCTGTGGTGGATGGTGGATGATTCTTTAAATCATACAAACTTACTCATCCAGAAAGCTCACTATTCCTTACCTCTGTAGATATGCACAATTCAGCTTTATCACTGATTTGGTGAATTTAATTACAAATCTGCTGCATTTTTTGTATGGGGAAAAAGTTGATTATGAAGACTGATACGCTTACAGAAGCGTTTTATGGTAACAGCCGTTTACTGCACACTGCCTCAGGGTTAGAATCCTCTGATGTTTTTTTCCTGGTAAGCTCAGCATGCCCAGCCTGATCTCTGCAGCTTTCAGCTGGAAACAGAGGCCACCCAAACTTCACCTGTGTTGCTCTGTTCCATCAGTGAGCTGTCTGCCCTGTGCTCGCAAAGGCTGAGCTGCTCTTCTGTAGTTGCTGGCAAAGTGAAAGAGGAGTTAGGCTAAAAGAAGGCTTTTGTTCTTCTTTTCACAGGTTTCATGTGTGATTTTCTCTGTCTTCAAGCCTCTTCGTATCTTTCACATCTTCAAAGCATAGTCTCTTGAACAGTGACACCATTGTGTAATGCTACTGTTGTGGAGACAGCAAGATCAGGGATTACCGTTGTAATCCATGCAGGCAGTGTGAAATGCGCAATGAAAGCACGTCGCTGTATTAAACTCATTAATCGGGGGCACAGCTTGAATCTGAGAGAGCAGATTCAGAGAAACTCTGCTTGATTTTGAAAACGTGTCCATGAGATGTTATCTTTTTTAATAATCCAAGGTTCAATCAAGGAACAGTTTCTTAGAAAGTGTTGTTAATAGCGAGGAGATGTGGAATGGTACTTTTATAAAAAAAAGACACGTGGCAAATGTGGAAGATGGAGGTTTTCCTGGAAGCTAATCAAAGTTTTGTGTCAGATTTGAATTTCAGCAGCAGTTTTGTGTGCATTGCAGTCAGAGCAGCACCTACAGGTTGTCTGAGGAGCCTCCAGGGAAGAGGCACACGGCCCTGCCACGCTGCCCTCACAGTGCTGCTTCTCTGCCCTCATCCTTCTGAAACCACTTCTGCATCTTGGAAAGGAATGTATAACAGGACAGTTTTAGTGTGGATGTTGTTCACTCGATTCAGGTTTGTGATGTTGGAGTTCAGAACTGAGTAGCAGTAATTGTTACCACCCATGAGCTGTATGCAAATATGGTGGCTCACTGCCTAACGGAGGCTAGAGGTGTAAGGTGCTTCTTAAATTACCACTGCACACAAACAGTGAAAGCGTAAAGCAAGAGAATTCCCTTTAGTGTATGATGTCTGTACTTCAGGTGTTTCATTTTACTTTGCTGTGAATTTAACGATGGATTGCAAGTCGTCTTTAAAGGTAGTGTGGTTTGACTGGGCCGTTTTTGTGTAGATCTCAGGCATTTAACACTCAGCTCCCACGGGACTGTGCACTGGGGAACCCTTGGCTGATACATAGCTAATGCTGCACTCTTCACCATCAGCACTGATAATTGGACCCTGATCGATGCCACAGGCGTTTGCACTTAGGCCAGTGCAATATTGAATTTGGAGCAGCAGATGTGAGGTAGGAGCTGGACGAAGACAAAACGGGCTCTGGGGGCACCGCTGTCCCTGTGGTGCACGTGCTCAGAGCAGCCCGGTCAGCGGGACGCAGTCCCAGACACAGGTTGTGGTAAAGGAGAACTTGGCTCAGCTGGGTCGTGTAGTGCAGATTGGAAAAGCAGATTAAAACAACAGTTCAGTTGAATGTAGTGTAATCATTATTTTATACTATCTTGGGACCCAACCGGGGCATGGTTCTTACTGTACTTCTGTACCAAGGGAAAGTATTGTGAATTTTGGGAGAGCTATTACAGTTAGAACCAGGAGAACGTTTGTATTTTTGTATTTTTTATTAATATGTTTATTTTTTAACCTTGGTTAAATTGTTTGAGGGGAGGAAAAATTTTTAACTACAGCGAAACTGAAGTTCCTCTCTGGAAGTTTTCCTTTCTAATGCATTTATCTCTCCATAGCATTTAATTTCTGACCGGATTTAAAAAGGACAAATGAAACCTCTTCTAAAAATCTTAATAATTTAAAAAATGTCATCACTTTTTCATGCATTGCTAGGATTTCCTCTTAAAAGTTAATCAACTTATGTCATTATCTCATCGACAAGCTAAACAAATGAAAAGGAATGTAAGTCTACTGTATGTGAGGTAAAAGTAAGTTTTTTTCATTTAACAGCTATCTAAATGGCAGTACCTTCCATATACCAATTTTCAAGTTCCATCATATTTAATGCAAAATAAAATTCAAACAAAGAAAAGCAAACATGCAGTTGGTTGTAATTTAAACCACATTTTGAAGACTGTTGGCCAAGTGAGCATGGATTATATTCCAGTATTGTTTTCAGTAATTGTGTTACCATGGAAATTAATGCATATGCATGTCCAGAAACCCTCCTCACACTGATGTACAGCTCCAGTATGTTGGGAGTGCCTTAATTGTGCTCCCTTGCTTTGGTAATAGCTCCATGACTTCTTCACCCACTTCTTCCAGCTGCTTTCTGTATTTCCCATTATCGCATCCCTTTTCTCTCTGCCCTTCTCTCCCACCATCCCACAATCCCATTTGCTGCCTGTGCCCATGAGTCATGAGATATTACCCTGAATGTTTCTGTGAGGAGCCAGAGCAGAAAGCACTGGTTCTGATTTAGGAAGGCAGGTGATAGCAGAGGGATGAAGCAAAGACAGCTTGCAGACTGGCTCAGTTACTTGGCGTTAGCTTATGGTTACCACAGTTGTGTTTTAAACATGCACTGAAACGAACACATTCCTGTAGCTGTTGTGATCCACTTGCAGCTCTGTGCTGTTGCAGACATCGTGGTTGTTCAGGTGCTGTGTTTCCAAGTGCCAGGAGGACAGCTTGTGTTCCTGTTTGCACAAAGGCCTGTGTTGGTTTGGTCTGTAGATATCTGTGCAATTGTGCTGCAGAAAGACAGTCCCTTCAGCATATTCTCTGTAATTCATTCCAGAGCTGGTTCAGGAAGTTTGCTGGATTGATGTCTATGTTTTATTAGCCCTAGGCTGAATGCTGAGGAGTGTTGGAGCTTTCTCAGGCACGCTGATCTCTGAACAGCTGTGGAGACAGGATTGTATATTCAGTGCAAATGGGGACTGCTAAACCATTGTGAACTTATTTACCTTGAAACATCAGCTCTTCCCATTCATTTTCTATTTTTATGTCGTCTCTTAATTGAGATAATGATCTATTGCTGTATGTCATCTGCAGGCTAGCTGGGTAGTTGGGCGAGTAGATTCTCAATTCCAGGAAATGCTCAGCTTGCCAGTAGCTTTCCCTTTAGAAAACAGTAGTAGGTTTTTTTTTTTATTTTAAAATACATTTTAATATATATCTTAGCATATCTGTAAACAAAACTGCAATGGTTAGTAGTTATAAAGAATGCTGTAAGCATTTCAGTTAACCTTAAAAGCAATTAAGCATTATGGGTGCTGTGCAGCATAGAAGGCAAAATGGCTGCCTGCTGAAGAAACCCGGCTGTACAGCAGTGTGACCTCTGGTAGCCTGAGCGGCTGAGGGGCGGTTTGTCTGAACAAACATCTTGACAGCTTTAAGAGAGCTGCCCTCTGCACGGAGCTGGCGGCCAGCAGGTGGGCTGAGGTGCTGCTCAGCGTTTGGAAGCCGGTGAGGTGCTGTGTGGCTGGTGGATGCAGGTGGCTGGTGGGCCCTGTCAGGTACCCAGCCTGAGCAAAGGAAAATCATTTCACACATTCCATTCCTTTTAGTTTCTTAAACTGCGTTTATTGTTGTGGAATCTGAGTACATTCCTGTGGTTCATTAAGTGATTTGACTGTCATCTCTGCAACAGATTGTTAATCCATTATACCCTCCCTCAGAGGAAAGTTGTGCTTCTAAGTTCTTTTTAAATTTTGTTTCTCTGGAGAGCTTTGAGCTGCTATTAGTGAAAATTGGGTCAGAGCAGTGAGGCGTGCACCAAAAGTAAACACAATAGAGCAGTCGAGTGACTTTGTGTTGTATCATCTCTTGTTCATTTGAACAGGATACAATCCTGGCAGAATTGCTTCAAATCAATAAGGAGTATATAGTAGGGTATCACGAGCATGATTCACTCCTGGACCATAAGGAGGAAGAGGAGCTCACGGAAGAGGAAAGGAAGGCTGCCTGGGCAGAATATGAGGCAGAAAAGAAGGTAAAGTTATCTATATAAGTTTGCTGTACACAAAAATAGCCATTCTGTATTTCAGTACCGCTGACCTTTTCAGTTTGTTTTGGGAAAATAATTTTTCTGATAGGCTAGGAAGTAGGCATGTGAAGCAGGCTGTCTAGAAATATGGGGACACTGTGTCTCACTTGCTCTCCTAGTGCTATTCAATGCTATTTCTATTTCTGTACTACTTATGCTAGTGGGTATCTTTTTTTTTTTTTTTAATTTCATGATGACAATCAGTTGGAGTCCTGTGTAATATCTCACTTCTGCCATTTAAGGAATATTTGTAGTGCCATTAAAGGTATATAATTACAGAACTGTTCACCAAAATCCCACAAGCATACAGGCATCTGCAACAAAGGAGTTGCCTTTTTTTTTTTTCCCCCCTTATTCCCTATATCTTATTTACTGGATACTTTATGGAGTGGTTGAATGAAGAAAATAATGACTTGGTGAGAGCACTAGGGAGTGAGTGTGTGTGTGTGCGTGTGTTAAACTGTAAAAGGTTAAAGCTGTATGGTAAAAGCAGTTTGATAACTTGATGTAGCTGGAGTTTAATATAAAAAAAAAAAAAATAATGTCTTGAAAGGCTTGGTTCAGGTCTTTGCACCTGATCAGAGGTCTGAAAGTAAAAAAGAAAAAGGAAAAAGAAAAAAGAGTATGTAAAGTGCTGCTGACCACCTTGAATGAACAAGTGGCAGGTGGAGGACTAGGAGAAGGCAATAGGAAGATTCAGTCAGTGTAAGTGAGCGTGGAAATTGCCCCGTGAGAAATCCAAGTGGGAGATAAACTTGATATTCCTGTTAATAAATTCCCCACTTCAGTTCTTCACAATTCTGTCACAATCAAGTCAGTGTTGATGCTAGGTAGTAGTTTGCAATCACAAGATGAATCTTAAACAACTGTAAATACACCAACAAACCTTGGCCGTTCTTTTCTTAGCGTACCAAATATTTAAGCTAAACTCGTGTATTCGCTCAAAAGGAGGATTGAAGTTTCCCCGTGCTTCACGTGTCCTTTTGACTGATGGCACGGACTCACCTGTGTGCTGATTCGCGTGTAGCGAGTGAAGAACGGGATGTATTCCAGTTGCTTGTGCAGACAGGTGTGTGCTTTGTGTTTTAGGGCTTGACCATGCGTTTCAACATGCCGACAGGGACCAACATGCTTCCCACTAATTTCAACTCTCAAACGCCGTATATTCCTTTCAATTTGGGCGCTCTGTCAGCGATGAGCAATCAGCAGCTGGAGGTGAGCAGTGATCCAAGTATTGTAACACCTGCGTTGCTGTGAGAGTGCCTGTGTTACCCTGTTGCACGTGGGTGGTGAAGGTCGTTCTTAGATACCCTACTTTATATAATTGTCCCCTATTTTTAATGATTACCTTTTTTGTTGTAGTTTCTTATTGGTGAACTGACGTCTAAGTTCTGTGCGTATAAACTGAAGTACCTATACCTGTGTGGTATCTTGGGACTGTGGGAAATTCTGCATTCTCTGCAGATGTGAATTACCACATTGAGCTTCTGGGCCTTAGTCTCGTGTCTGAGAAGGAATGGCAGAGAGGAATACGTGCTCCACTCCCTGCTACCCTCAGTTCTTCCTGATAGGATGCCAGGCTGTAACTGCAGTGGTTGAAGCGCAGTTGTCTTAGGATACCTAGTAGAGTCTGGTTAAGGAGTCTGTACGAAAGAACTGAAAGCTGCTCACAAAGAATGCAGACTGGGGGACCCATGTCGTAAACATCTGTGTGGTAATGGGCCCTGCGAGCCAGCACTGTGCTAAAATATTGCATGGCAGTTTGAGCTCACAGAATGTGTTGAGACCGCAGCATCATCCAGCTCAGTGCTGCGGAAGATTTGCCTGTGAAGAAAAGCATCAGTCTTGTGATGATCTGAAAACATTTGGGTACCTAAATATTTTTTTGATATAAATAATGTCTCTAGTACAAGCTGCTGGATTGATATACGTAGTTCAGTTACTACATAGTGAATTTCATTTGTGTGAATGTTAGAAGCTATTTTGTTACTCACTCACTGGCTTGTGCAAATGAGAAGAAAAATGTAATTCAAATGTAGGTATGTACACTGGAGATGCAAATATAAACAAGATGACAAAGAAATGCTTTATTTGCAGTTAATTTACTGATGTTTTCTCAGGACCTCATTAATCAAGGAAGAGAGAAGGTTGTGGAAGCAACCAACAGTGTAACTGCAGCAAGAATTCAGCCCCTTGAAGACATCATTTCAACTATAGTGAGTACAGCAGACAGCTGTAGGTCTAGACCGGGAGATGGGAAAATGTTGGTTGTTATCACATAAATGACTGTTGTATGTGATGATTCAGCTATATTGTTGTGTTATTAATGACAGTGATTTCCAGTTTGTGCCAACCTTTATCACTGCAGCTTGCAGTAACCCTTCATGGCATCTGGATATCACAGAGCCTTACCAACCTAACACTTAACCATTATATTGGCTTTGCACTGAAAATCCTGGCTTTCTACAAACAAGTATCTTAATTGTGCAGAAATAAGAACCATTTCCTGTTTCTTGTCCTTAGAATCTATCTTGGATTCATGCCTTTCTCGTTGCCAGTAATCTAGAGGCGTATTACTGAAACTGGTAGTTTTAAGAGCTGTTAACTCTTAGTTCGAATTCTGGGGAAGTATAATTTTGCATTTTGTAGGAACAGGGCTGTGCTTTAACTCCTGATGCAACTCTGAATATAATGCAGGACCTCAGTCACCATTATGCTTCTATCAAAATGACTAATGCTAGGACAATTTTTTTCCTTTTCAGTGGAAAGAGAATGTAACACTTACAGAGAGCCAAGTGCAGGCCCTGGCCCTGAGCAGACAGGCAAGCCAAGAGCTTGATGTTAAGCGACGAGAAGCCATCTATAACGACGTCCTGACTAAACAACAGATGGTAAAATGTCTAATAATCATTTGATCGACTGCCCACGTTTGAACGGAGATATTGAGTGTGAACTTTTCGTGTGTGTGTATAGGGGTCTATGTTTAGGTACATAAATACTTACTCACAGGTTGTGTGTTTCCACGGGTCAAGGATTTGCTGGCATTGTGTAATGGTGTATATGATGTAACATCGGGAGTTGTTGACTTGTGCAGTGTGCTGGATTGGATTCCTCAACCTCATCGAGGGAGACTCCGTGAGAAGATCGTTTCAAAAAAAACCCTCACCAGATTTTTCTCTTGAAGTAGTTTGCTTGAAAGTAATGAAGCTTGAAGAGAAATCTAATTCCCAGAGCTAAAGATGAATCATAGAAAGTATTGGTAACATCTTTTAGCTTAGAATTATTTTGCAAAATCTGGAAGTTGCCCAGTTGATGTCTATTAGAAGAGTTTCTCTTAGGCAAATGTGCAGTGATGATCCACGTGCAGGACTTTCAAAGAGCTGATAAATAATAGCTGACAAAAAAAGCTGTGATTTGTTCTATGGAGTCATTTCACAGGATAGTGCAAGTAGGAACTTGCCCAAACGTGGTATGAAATGCAATAGGCAAATCATTAAGAAAACTTAGCCCTAAATGGTGTTACTAAATGGTTTCTGCAGCAATCAGCTGGTGAATACCATCGCATTAGTGATGGTGATAACAATAGTGCTTTTTCATTCAGCCATGCGATCCTGAACAAATTGATTTTAACTCTGAACTTGATACTTGCAGCGTTGAGGCAGGTCGTGACTTCTAACAGCTCTGCTTTCCCTTCACAGTTGATCAGTTGTGTTCAGAGGATACTCATGAACAGAAGACTACAGCAGCAGTACAATCAGCAGCAACAACAGCACATGTCTTACCAGCAAACAGCAATGAGTCATCTCATGATGCCAAAGCCTCCAAATTTAATCATGAATCCTTCCAACTACCAACAGATAGATATGAGAGGAATGTATCAGTCAGTGTCTGGTGGTATGCAGCCGCCGCCTTTACAGCGAGCACCACCCCCAATGAGAGGCAAAAATGCAGGGCCTTCCCAAGGGAAATCGATGTGATTTTGCACTAAAAGCCTAAAGGATTGTTAAAGTCAGAGAAAGAACTTTTATTTTTTTAGGAATCAATGGCTTAACAGAACTCAACTGTAAAAAAAAAAAAAAAAAAAAAAAAAAAAAAGAAATGAAAAAAAAAAGTTTGGTTGGTCCCCTTAAATGCCATGTTCCATATTAGTGCTTCAGCTTTGTTTAAGTAGGACAATGTTTTCCCTTGTTGTCAGTGATGTTGCCTAGAATCTTCTTACATATGTTGAGTACAGGAGATGCCAAGTTGTTTTCAGTGAAAACAAGTGCTCCCATAACAGTAGTATCTCCGCAGGTTTCCTGTCTAAACTCCTATGCTTGCTTTCAGTAGCTGTGAAGCTATCATCAGATTTGAGAAGCTTAGGAAGGACTGCAGGTCTGTACGTTTCAGTAAACCATATGTGAGTTGTGCACAGCTGAGTTCTTGATTAGACTTGATTCCTCAAATTATGGAATACTTTTCTGCTTACCCATTTCTTAAAGTTAGTGGGAATATTGTAACAGAAATAATTCAGCTTCCTTTTGACTGAGGTCTGGACTCATACTGTATCATCTATGCTGACTGAAGCATAGGAACTGAAAACACTCTGAAACAGAAATGAGTGCAATATTCTTAAGTACTACTGCTCTGAAACTTGTAAGTCACGCAGTTATATAGAAACTGTGTATACAGCCTTAAATAGTGACTTGGGGAAGAAGAGTGATCTTCCTCAGTCTTTGCCATTTTTTGTTTTCAGTTGTACGTGATGGAATAGCAGCTGGTGGTCTGGAGGTGTTTTTCCTTTTTCTCTGCGGAGTCCAGCGCAAATTTCTGTTAACTCCTTATTGCTGGTGCTGCTGTCTCGTCTGCTTGCCGACAGCGGGAGACAGGCCAAGAAAACAAAATTCCTGTTTTTTGGGGGTTGGAATACTGGTGGTGGGCAGGGGCAAACCCTGTTATGCCATCACCTTTAAAATGGCACAACCATTGCTGATTTGGCACTGGAAGGGGCTCTCACGGCTTCCCAAGGTACCAGGGCAGAGGAATAACTTTTCCTCCGCTACATCAGAGCTGTGGTTATGCACTCCTCTCCCTTCCCTTTCGTTTGTGTGAAAACATACCTTAGTACACAAAGAGCTCGATTCTTTTGTTTGTTTTTACATAGACTGCAGATGAACTTCTGGTTTATTATATATCATTAGCACTCTCTTTAGCCACAGTTTTTGTGCTCGTGGAGATCTAACTAAACCCAAACAGGGCTTTTTTGAATATAGCTTGGTTGGCTCTTCCCCCACAGAATAAAAGCGTTTGTAATTTGGGAGTGAAGGACGGAAGCATTTGAGGCGACGGTGTACGGAGTGCAGGGAACAGAGAGAGAATGCTGGAGGAGCAGATGGATTTGCTGTAGGTGTTGCTGGATCTTCTGGCTTGCTGACATGAATTAAAACTGTTCTGGCTTCTGGAACTTAATTGACCTGGATGAACAGATTTCTTTTGCATCTAAATATGCAAATCTTACGTGATATTTCATGTCGTGATCAAAACTTGGTTTGTGGTTTGGGCAGTTTCTCTGATCTGTTGCAGAGGCTGACGTTGCCATCGGACTCTTTGTTACAAGATGCCACAAATGAACCTCTCCTGTGTTCTGGAGCTTTGCCAGCTCTACTGTTAGGTTTAACCTGGGGGGAAGGGAGCAAAAACAGGTGTATTCACACTAGAAGAAACGCGAATGTGAGACTTTGAGACAAACATTTGAAGGCAAATGTACTCTGGGCAACTCTCACTGATGTTCCTATGCGTCTTGAGAAGTATCTTCTACCAAACCTGGGAATGTTCAATGGAGTTTTACAGTAACTCAAAAGACTTAAATGTGGAAGTTTTAGGCAACATTTAACGGCACATTTTTTTCATTCTGGACAAAACTATGGATAACAGAAGCATAAGAAGAAAGTTGAGATAAGCGTTGAAGTAAAACTTGGACCACTTTGCATACATGTTTCTCACTTGACATTTTAGCTGCATAACAACGTGCTTTGAGTATAACATCAAGCTTTAACAAATATTTAAAGACAGAACATACATCAGTAAGATAACAAAAAGCTCATTTTTATATTTGTTTTAGATGTTTTAACTAGATGAGATGGCTTAAGACGGCGAATAAAAATGTTGCTTGTAATACAATTTTGCCTGCTAAATTCTCCACATTTTGTAACCTGTTTATTCCTTTGGATGTAAAGCGTTTTTGCTTAGTATTGTGATATTGTATATGTTTTGTCCCAGTTGTATAGTAATGTTTCAGTCCATCAACCAGCTTTGGCTGCTGAAATCATACAGCTGTGAAGACTTGCCTTTGTTTCTATTAGATGGCTTTTCAGTTCTGTATTAAATATCTTAAGTACTATAGAAAAGGTGTCACCTCTTCCTATAAGGCTGTTTTGTAATATATATAAGGACTGGAGATGTGTTTTTAAAGGACGAGAAGCATTCAAGTATGAATCAAGTATCTGTGTTTTCACCATTCAAAGTGCTGTTTAGTAGTTGAACCTTAAACTATTTAATATCTCATTTAATAAAGTGACCAAAATACATCTATGTGCCTTGTGCTACGTTTGCAGTTCCGCATCATCTCCACGTAGACTGAGATCTCATCTGCTGAGAACTGCGGACTGGTGCTGCGCTGCGAGTCAAGCTCTTGTTCTGCCTCAGTGAGGTTCCTGGTATGGGACGTGGATGTTAATTGTTAGGGAGGGCAGCTGAGGGGACAGCTTTCCAGCTTGTGTGCATTAGCAGTGCCTTCTGCACTGGTCTGTTAGAAGCCACGAGCAGCAAGGTGTCGCCCAGCAGAGATAAACCACTGAGCGCAAGGGGAAGTTCTGCTTCCTCTGGTTTGAATGATGAACTTAGGTCTTTCAACCTCTTTATTGTACTTCTTAATTACTTTCTTAGTTATTAAATCTCACGTGCCCCGCTGTAGCTTCAGGAGAGCTGTGCTGCTGTGAAAGGCTGAAAGCCAGCTGTGCTTAGAGGTGCTGTGGCTCAGAAAGGTCTGCAGAGCTGCCTTCAGTGGCTGCAGCCCAGGAGATCTGCAGCAAAGGGTCTGAGTCCTGAGGCATGTGGGATCTGTTGTTTCTGTTCCAGCATGGGACCTTGCTTTGTCTCCACGCAAGCTGTTGCCACACAGCAGCAGCACAAAGTATTTTTTCAGCAGGTCAGAGCCCCCTTCTTGCTGTGCGTGGTGACATAGGGGTGTCTGGAAAGTGGGGGTGCAGGAAGGTTTTGGCAAAGAGCTGAGGTTGAAAGTGAGGAAACTGCACTGGAGAAGGGCAGAGGGACTGAGGGCAGGGTGAGATGGGCTGGGGCTGAGTGCAGGGGGAGAGAGGGAGGGAGGGAGGGAAGGATGTCCTCATTTTGCTCAGCCCCATCAAAGCCTGACCTTCAAATGCCCCTTCGGTTCTGTATTTGGTGATGTTGCACGTTGGAGCTGTTGGAGATGCTGAATATGAAACAGTGTGTGGTACCTGGGCTTTACTCAGCTTAATTGCAGTGCAGTGCCTGTTTGTATAATGGAATTGCACAAATCTGTGTTGTCTGTGGATCCTTGCTGACACCCACTGGAAGCAGTACAGGCAGAGACGTGTGCTTGTTGTGCCTCACCGTCATTGGCCACACTTGGGTACGTGACATTGGTAACAGTGAGGTATGGTTAGGGAGGAGCACAGGATGCCCCAGTGGTCCGGCCTCGCAGATCTTTGACACCAAACTACTCAACACAGGTACAGAACTTCTTGCTTTGTGTTCCCATGATGAGAATTCACAGCTCCAGAGCAGTTCCTTGCTTTGAGAGAAACACAAAGTCTTGCACAACTTGCTTGGTTGAAGTCCTGCTGTATGACTTTGTTCTCATTCCCGAATGGGGCAGCATTTCGGCTGCTGGTGCCATGCGGATCGTGGCTGTTGTGCTGACTTGTGCTGATTGCTCTGCCCACCTGATGGCAGATGTTTTTGACTTTACCTTAAGATCAGGATCAGGGGCTGCATCTGTACAGCCTAGGCCACAGAGTGCTTCCCCAAGGGAGCTGCCCTGCCCTTGGGAGGGCTCTCTGGGATGGCTGCCCCAGTGACGGCAGCATTTGAAGAAGTGCATCAACCTACAATGTATGTTTGCCCCAAAATGAGAATTACTTTCAGCACATGTCACCCCCATGTTTCTTCTGACCCAGTGATTTTCCAGCCAGCTCTTGGCAAGCGTTCTGTTCACCGGAGTGTGTGGAGAAGTGATTTGCCCACATCTGTGGGCTGATAAATGGCACAGAGGCACCAGGTAATGCAGTTACTACCCTTAGTGTTCTCAGTGTCCTGTGGCTTGAGGGGAGCACTCAGTAATCTCACTTTATTTCCTCGCAGTGCCTTTGTCCTCGTGAAGCTTTCTGGACTGACAGGCAGACGCTGCCCCGCACGCTGCTCCTGCCATCAAGATGGCCAATATTCAGCAAACCCTCCAGTCCAGGAGTCAGCTGCAGCTGCTGGGATGGGGGAGAGGACATCGCCCTTCAGATCAGGTCCCAGACTTCTCCCACCAGCACTGCCCGAGGGATGCAGGTGTCCGTTCCTTGCTAACAACAATCTGGCCCTTCTCCTTGGGGGATGTGCCGTTGCCAAGTGTCCTTCCATGATTATGTTGGCCACCATTGGCAGCGATAGCACGTCTCTTTCTGCCCTGCACAGCCAGAAGGGCACCTTCTTCACCTTTCAGCACAGACTTTCTTGCCTTGCCGTGGAGCTTTGGGCTCTCCATTGTGTTCTGTAGGGGAGGCAAATCCCCTCCACTTCTCTCCTGCAGAGGCACTGGGTGGCCCCAAGCCTCCGGCAGCAGGGTCTCTGGGAGGATGTCCTTGCGGCCACCTAGGAGTCACCATTTGTTCCTCCCAGCTGTCCCCACACCTTGGCTCACCCCAAAGCCAGGTTTGTGCTGCAGTGCGCTCAGTGCTGCTCTGGCCTCATGCTGAGAGTTTTCCTCCATGTCTGCACCCCTCTGTAGTGAGACTCAGGAAACCATCCGACTCTGCTGCTGACCTCCTCTCTCCTGCTTTACACAGCTGTTCCCAGGATAAAGTTTCAATTATTACGTGCCCAGCTTTCTCCAATTGGAGAACTGCTAAAAAACCACGTCCTTTGCTCTGTTTATGGTTGTATTTTCAGATCTGTGGGTTTCTGTGTGTGAAACAGCCCTCTCAGGTGGGAACAAAAACAGGCACAAGGCTGTGCAGGAGGAACAACATCTCTGAAGTTTGCCAAAGTGTGTGTCAAGCAGGGTGTTGGCAGGATGAGCGGCTGTGGGTGATGGCTGAGGGGGAAGGTGGTCAGCTCTGCCTCTGTGCAAGGAGTGAGTGTGTCTTCATGCACACACAAAGGGAAAGGGAAGTATTGCACATGCTGTGCATCGCCGGCTGCACCCTCTGCAACTCAGAGCACAGTCAAAGTCTGTGGTCATCGATTCTGCTGCTGCTAAGGTCCCAGTACAGTCACATTACTCATACGTTTAAGTATTTTGCTGAACCAGAACCTAACTCAGTAAATTCCTGCTGGAAGTAACCATTACAGTGGGATTAAACAATGCTGAATTTCCCCTAAAGAATGTCCCACATGAGAAATGGTACCGACCTCTACAAAGCTGTTTTCAGTGAATTCTTTGCAGATTTGCTGCTTACAAGTGCTATTTTTTGAACCCGGATCCCAAAAAGGAGTTCTGTGCCGTCGCTCTTGCGCCCGTGTGTCCCTTTGCAGCAGGAGCCTCCTTCCAAGTCTGATCCTGGATCCTGACGTTGGAGGACCAGTTCAGTGGCGTGGACCAAATCAAATCTCTTTCAGGTTGTCAAAAAGCACGTACTTGGCATTGCTCAGATCAGGTTTTACCTTCGTTTGAAGATGAGAAACAGCATCTTCAGCATTAACTTTATCTTCAGGTGTAAAGGAAATCACTGGCTGCAGACAGCCAGCAGGGTCATTGCCCCCTCCCTCAGTGGCCCCTCTGGGATTTGCCTCCCCAGACAGCCAGGAGCACCAGCAGGATGCAGACGGTGCTGCCAGGATGGTGGCAGAAAGGCTGCAAAGTGAAGCTGGAGAGCTGAGTTTTCCCTTTGCTAAGGTCAAAAGTACACTTTAGGACACTTTTTGTGAACGATCGTGCTCCTGCCATGGCTGCTGAGGATTAGATGTTTCAGCAATGACTCAGAGGAAAAAGGTAAATAAACATTTTTTATTTCAAACACGGGATTAAATTCCTCCATGTCTAGATCATTCAAGGTAAAGCTCCTTTAATCTTTTCATTGCAATCTGCAGACTGTTGTCTGTGACAGCTGCGGCACCGGCTGGGACGTTGGGTAGCAAATGCTGCAGCGGGGACGTGGGAGGTGGCAGAGAGGACAGAAGGTGGCCAGGAGCGCCGGGCCCCAGAGCGGCCGCCTCGCTAGCGGTACGTGGGCTACGAAGGAGCCGGATTGTTCCTTCTGGGAACGGGGAGTAGAGCTGAAGAGGCTGAAGTTTCACCCAAACGGCTTTGCAAAGTGGAGGCTGAGAAACTGCGGTGTGAGAAATGAAGCTGTGGTAAGGACAACCCCAGCAAGGACGTGAGGGCGCTGGCTGTGCCAGCGAGGTTCCTTTGCGCAGCAGTGAGGCGAGCTCCTGAGCAATCCCATCTGGGTCTCCATGGGCTGCACTGTGCTGGTGCTTGGCCTGAGGACCTCTTTTGTCCCTGCTGCCTCACAGGACCGGATCTGCAGTTCCAGGGTTTGTTGGATGTCCAGCCACTCATTCCAGTGGGCTCACGCTTACCAGCTCCGTTCCAGCTGCACTTGTGATGTTGCCCTTGTACCAGTTTATAAAATTTATCTTTACCATCCAAAGCCTTTCTGTAGATGGTGTTCGTATCAATCAGAAAATACTGGGTTATGGAGTGCCAAAAAAAAAAAAGGGCTAGCAAGAAATCTACAATATAAAGACAATTTTATTGCCAATAAGCTCTTAAAACTCTTTTTTTTCCTGTTTCAGTAGGACCTTATTCTTCCTGATGAAAATCCGGTCATAGCATCTTTCATTAAAAATAAAATTATTTTGAAATAAATAAATATATAAAATAAATATCATATACATTTTATAAATAGTTTTGTCCCTATGCACAGTATCCATGCTTACATCTGAATATTGTTCCTCACCCCATTCCCACCCCAACAGCAGGAAAAACCCCACACACCAGGACCAGTCCATGTAGTATCATCCATGTAGCAAGCTGCTGGGCTGCTGCAGCAGGGTGCCATCTGAAAGGCTGCTTCTTAGCCAGAAACCATCCCGAGCTTATCAGAGGCATCTGGAGCAGTTCTGTGGTCTTTAGTTTTCCTTCCTTCCCTTGAATTCTAGTTGGTTTACTTTTTCCCTGGTTAACAAGTTTGCTTGCCTGTTTGTTCTTTTAAGCAACCATAACACTGACTATTTGGCCTCTCTTACAGCCACCAAGTAAAGAAAGTGAACAAAAATGAAAGATTATATGTAGGGTTCCCTCCCTTCCCCTATCCCCACCCCCATAAATAACCCAGGTTTGATATACATGTGAAACAAGGAGGAACAGCAGTGTCTGGATTCAACGTAAGTGCTTTCCTATGTCATCTACATTTACAGGAATGATGGAATGACTATTAATATAGTGCTCTGGGAAAAAGCTTGGGAGCCCAAGTATGTACATCGGTAGGGCAGCTGCAGGAAACATCACCTGTAGTGGAAGAGGTCTCTGTACATTGCAGGTATTTTAGCAGGGTCCACGGGCCTTGGTAAAAAGTGAGTGAATTTCTGATGTCTCTTAGTCCTGTACCCCTCGCGGGGGGAGCCGTCCTTGTTCAGAGCCACGTAGTAATGCCTCTCCGAGTCCGCGTGCTTGTAGAGCGTGGAGGCGTACGTGTTGTACCAGTTCTCTTCAAACTGCTCTCGGAAAACACATTCCCTTGTGAGCTTCTTCTGCGTTGGGGCAGAGGTGGGAGAAGAAAAAGATACGTGTCAAAAAAAAAGGAAAAAATCTTGCTATTTCTTCCACTTTATTATTCTATGGTTTTCTTAGCTACCTGCTGCTGGCTGCCCTGAGAGTGGAGACTGTGCTGCCTGGGATGATTCCTGTGGGTGAGAGCTAGAAACTGGCACGTGCCTGGGCTCAAAGGCCTTGGAAGGAGGAGGAGGAAGGGGATGGAAGGAGAAGGTGTATTTTGCAAAAGCTCGCCGTTAGAAACAACACAAGGCTGCTGCAAAACTCTGAGCATGGCAGCCAGGTGTCTGCAATGGGGTGTAAATGTGGAGACTGCTGTGGGACCGGCAGCATTTGTGTGCTGTGCAGGGGGTGCCCACGCAGAGCTGCACGCAGCAAATGTGCTCTGTGGAAGGGGCACCTCCCGGCAGGAGCAGACTGCGCTGCGTTGGAATGATTTAAACAGCGGCGAGTGCCACTTTGAAAGTTCAAGGCACATAATAAAATAATACACACTGTAACATGAATGAAAGCATTCCTCAGGCCTTTCATCTTCTGAAGCAGCAGATAGCTGTGATGTGAGGCCATAACAAGACTCGGGGAGGTCTGGATGCCTAACCTGGGAAGATTTACGGCGGCGATAGGTGATGCGATGAGCGCGTGCCAGCAGCGGCACAGAGCCAGTGCGCGGCTGAGGCAGCCCATGCTGGGCGCAGGGATGGGTGCCACGGCTGTCACACAGCCACAGCCCCTCTGACCCTCACCCAGGGAGCAGCAGCACGTGATGGCTTTCAGGCACTGCCCATCACCCAGATGCCACGTGGGCTCCTCTCGCTCCCTCCATGCCAGCTCTGGGGCTGTGCTCCAGTGAGGACCCGGTGTCCCCTATGTGATGGCCTGGGAGGGGCTCTGGAGGCCTTCCAGATGAAAGGCAGTCTGCAGACGTAGGATGTTCTAATATTACAAACACTGTACCCACACAGTAAACTATTTAGGTAGGGAATGTGTCTTATCTGTGCTGTACTAAGTGCTAAGTAAATTTTATTGCCTGCAGTAGACGTTTTGTAATAAGATACAGGAGCTCACCTGCACTCAGAACCTGTTTTGAATGTTTTGCTGCTAATTAAATCAACCCTGAGGTAACATGTGAGTCCTCCAAGAGCCAACCCCACAGCTCTCATCACCTGAGATCTGGGGAACTGCAGGTTTCTCTTCCCAGACCTATGAATGGATGTGGCTTACCCCCCTTTTCCCAGAATGGCACCTACTCAGCACACATGGGAAGCTGCTGCCTGACAAAGAGCAAATGCTGCTGCCTTATCCCCATGTGGTGCCTGCTTCTCTGGGGTTGCTTGGTGGAACTGTGGTGGCATGAAATGTTTTCAGAGTCTGAGGTGACTGCAGGATGTAACTTTTTTTCCTTCCCAGAGCTGGGATGTCCTCAGTGCATGTGCTCTCCTAGCACTTCTTCAGTTGGTGTCCGTGTAACAGAAAGGCTGGGACGTGGGGACTGGGGAGCTTTGTCCCCATAGGAGCAGCACTGGTGTTTGACACTGCTAATTCAGCACGCAGGGCGTGCAAAGTGGGCATGGAAGGAAAAAGTGAACTTGGCTGAAATCTTATAAATACCCTTCCACTGCAGCCTCCTAAAATACCATTGTAATGCTAATGCGACTGCCTGGTGCGTTTCATGTACAAGATGCAATGACAGAGCTCCCATAATTACATCTTAAGGCCAGTTCTGCTTCCAGAATTCCTGTGCTGTAAAATTCTATTTTTGTTATTTCTATGATGCAGCATTAAGACAGGTCCTCAATTTTAATTAACTCTGTTTGTTGGTTCATGATCAGAACTGCAGGGCTTGAAAGCAAAGGATAAAAGCAAGTTTGTACCCTCATTTTTGGCAGGCATGAGTTAAAAAGATGCAATTCCAGGAGCTACTGAACAACCTTGCAGTATAACAGTGCAACTGAACAGTAGTCCTGCTGCGTGGTTGTAGGTTGAGCTCTGATTTCTGAAGTGTGGTTTAAAATATTTGTGCTGTTTTATGGAATCCTGGTGACTTTTTATCTGTCTTGCACTTTTTATTTAGGGTAGATGTTATTAAAGTAGTGAAGTGGATAAAGAAGGGTTAACAATCCATGCTACTCCTTGATTCTCTCATATAAAATTCAGCACCTGTGTCTCAAAAGTAGCAAAGGGGACTGCAGCAATCTCAGTAGATGGGAATGGGAGAAGAAAAGATGACAGTAACTCCGGGTTTATTGTTACTGTTCTCTATGCAGAGTTTATCTGAAGGCTTCTCTATATGCACAGTACACAGGTTTCAATTTCTACACCTTGAGATTAATCTGACTTGGTTAGAGGAAGTACGTGCCTTCCACTTTGGCTTAAAAGTGGTTTATTTTATTTCACTTTAAATTCACTGTGATCCGCCCTTAAAAATCTGTATCTTCACCCAGCACAGTGCTGTGATCTTGAAAGACACTTTTTAAAAAAACCACACGTGTGTGATGGGTTGGAGTAGAAGTGCTGGGCATCTGGACTAAAAACACACAAAGTGCATCAAACAGAAAATTTACACTAGTGAAAACTACCTAGAATGCAACTAAGTTTTCAAAATAGAAGTGAATCCTTCTAGCTAGCTAAAAATAATTATTTTATATTGAACTGAGTTAAATAATTAAAATTAAATTAACCTCTAGGTTAATTAAATGTAGCTAGTAAGATGCGACATTTTGACTATAATGCCAGCAGAGCTCCCCTTCCCTGCAGCCCTGGCCCACCTTTGCACAGTGCTTGCTCTGCATGCAGCTGTTTCTTTCACCCAGCAAAGCCCCAGCAGATGCACTCTTTCTGGGACTAGCTTAGGGTGGATAAAGGCCAATACAAATTCTCTAATGTTGGGCAGAAAAGCAGCAAAGTGTATTTCTTCTGGTTCTATAGTAGCATGAGCTGCTTGCCAGAGCAGGGAATCCCAGCTCTAAGGCATATCCCAAGTCAAGGAAGCAAATGACAAACAAACTTCCCCTCTAAGCCTGGATTGGAAGCAGGGTATTTCTGCTTTGTGTATCCTACAGCAGTCCCGAATGAGGCAGAGTCATCCTATAGGTGATGCTAGGGAAGATTTTACAGGTATTAAGGAGCTTGTGTTGAATGAAACTAACAAGAAGTTTACATGTGGCTTTTGGCAAAACACAGAAAACTCTAGTCTTGAAAGGGCACTTCCAGATAGTTATGAGAAACTCCCCCAGACTCCCAGAAGGGGTTGTACAGAATGTTATAACAAAAACAACACTCAGACCGCACTTCCAGCTTCCATTAGAAGCTATAATATAAATGTCAGATCTGCAGATACAAGCAGATCCCTATCATGTGGACAATAAAGCTGATGTTAATCATGAAACCACACCATCAGCACCTAGTTTTATGCAAAATTTCCAAATACCCAGCTTTAATTGACCATTCCTGTCCTGTTTCTGAAAGGCTGAACCACAGCGAACCCCACAGCATTCCAGGCACTGCCCCAAATGGTGCCTGTGTGCAGCGCTTCAGGGGCTGCACCACAGCATGGACCATCACAGCGTGTCCCCCTCCCTGTGACCCCATACATCACAGCTGTCACTGACACAATAACAGGGTGAGACGGAAGCACGCGGCATCCCAAGGGCATCAGAGGCCTGGGACAGGCACAGCTTGTGACACCAGTGAAGCCTCACAGCCCATACTGCTGCGTCTCTTGCACAGAGTTGCATTCACAAGACCTTAAACTTACCGACCCATACAGCTCGCCTCTCTCGTTCATGCCGAGGTAGAGTCCTGAATCCACTCCACGGATACTAACCAGCCCCACCGCCAGGCTGATGAACTCCAAAATCCCTGAAACAGAACAGCAAAGCAAATCACACAGATGATAAAACCCACACAAGGCCCAGCTGACAAACACAAAACAGCTTTTCCAGCTATAAAGCGTCTCAAAGACCCTGCTTTATTCATAACTGCACAGTTGTTAAATCGACGCTCCTACATGCATGCAGTCTGGTAAGTTTTTAATCCATTTCTCCCCAGCATCATGAACTTGGTTTTTTGAAGAGGAATTACCTTTCCTAACGAGAAAAGGACTGCTCACCTATTGTTTTTGTCACATACACAAAAAAGACAGACATTTGTGCTTGCCTGATTAGTGTTTTGGATTTCTCCAACAAAAGCAAAGTGACCCTTGTCCCCGCTGGGCTTCTGGTAAGAGAAGACAGTCCCACAGACTTTAAAGTAACCATTACAATAGTAATAAGGAAACAGGCACTGAAGAGGTGTCTGTGAGGGCTTCCCTGTTCCTGCAGCTCCGGTGAGCTACTTGCTATCTCCAAATGTGTACAGATGTCACGGGTAAAGCCAAAGTTCACATACACACGGGTTGAAAGGCACCTTCCTTTGCAGCTTCGGTGCTGGGGAGCTGCTGGTTCTTCCTCCCAGGCATCTTTTTGGCTGGAAACGCCCCCCCCAACCCCATGAACCTGCCCCCACCCCACATCTGCTCTACTGAAACTCCAGAGAAGCCCCAGGCATGTCTAATGAACAGGAGAGATGTCTCCTCCATTGAAGAGGACAAAGTTGCTCTAACCTTTAGCTTGGCTCCAGGTGTCTTAATATAGCTCCCAAAATGCCCAGTCCTGAGCAATTGCCCCTTACTGCTCCGATCAGGTTACCTCCTGATCCTCTTAAATGTATGCCTTGGTCTAAAATCACCTCATGACACACAGCCACCTGAGCCGGCTGACTTCAGCAGCAGTCAGCTCTCAGCTTTGGAAATGTATCTTCTGCTTGGTCAGGTGAGGATGTGGTGACTTTCAGAGGGTAACCGTGTCACCACCTAAATATAGGGCAGATCCATGCCGATGGACACCTTTGCTCAGAGCAGATTGTCAGGCAGATTCTGGCTGCCATGCTAGGGGCAAGAATTCCTCTTTCTGCCTCTTGTCAGGCCTTCTGTCCTCCTTTTGCCTTGCCTATTACTCTTCAGTTTGCATGTCTGATCCAGCACTCCCTGCAGCCAGCAGGTGCTGCACAGTGGGACAAAATACGGACTTAAGAACTGGAATTCCTTGAAACAAGCAGGGAAACAAACAGAAAATGCTGTTTAGATTAGTGCAGAAATTTTCCCAGCTGAAATGCATGCTCAGCCACACTGAGAGCAAGATAACCTGTCCTCCTTCGGGCTTGTGGTGATCAATGCATTGCCTATTTGATCCTCTGAAGCAGAAAGCAAGCATAGTCTTCACAAATGTCCTCTGTTTTCTTCAAGCCTCTCCAGCAGGATCCAGAATTATCTGCTTTCTGGAGAGCTGACTCTTTCCTTTTCCTTCTCCCCTGGGGACTCTTTGCCAGGAGCAGGCAGTGCCTTCACAAGCCAGGCAGGCAAACCAGGATCTGGCTCTGCTCATATTGCATCTGGCTTTGGGTATCCATGTCTGAGAAGCATGGTCTACACGGGAGGGAAGATGTGCAGAATGAAAGTTTTCGTCTGCTTCCATTACCCACCACTCCTGAAACATGGAGCAGGTTACTGAACTGCTGTACACTTCCATGTTCCACCTGTACTACAGACATGATGTCAGCTGCTGCTTCTGAATAATGATAACTTCACTCCCCTCTTTTTGAATAGTGGTATCATTATCCAGAAGAATAAAGTAAAAACTAACATGGGGGAAAGGACCACAGGGATACCTAGAAACAGACTGTTTCCCAGGCTGCTGACAAGTCAATGATCAAGTGAAAAGTATCTGGTATCTGGAGAGCTGTAGATAGGCAGAAATGTCGTTCTCAGCAAAACTGTTTTTTTCTTTTTTAAAATTTACCTTCTCTCATGCCTAGGAAGCCGGGAAATGTTCCTCATCCTCCAACAGAGGGATGATTAAGGAAGGAAAACAGATCGCTTTTTGTGAGCATACCCACCAGCATGCTTGTCTGTAGCACCTGAACCCAGGAATCCCCTGACTTGGTATGGGCAACCCAGGAGCAGCACTGACCCCCCTCTCTGAGTGGGGGAGACACCTCTCACCTGGAGCAGATGAGGTCAGTGCTTGCCGTTCTTGTGAAAGAGATTTCTTCAAGGTGGGCCTGTGACGATCTCTTCTGAGATCACATCACTTGTAATACTCCCTTTTTCTGATCTCAGAGCGGCACTGAAAGATGTGCGCTGAAGATAACTATGTTGAAATAGCATTAAGAACGTATCTTAAACCCACAAAAGTCAGGAGATAGAGCGAAGGCTGAAAAAATGTGGGCAGATATCCACCCTGTCCTTAACTCACTCCAATTACTAGGCAAAATTGCAGCTTCCTACATGTATCTGCAGTAACACACGGAGCAGCCACTGGGGCCAGATGGAGAATTTTCTTTCAAATTGTAGCGGCGTCTTGGTGGTAGACCTCTCTTTTTAAACTTTTTTTCCTCCCTTTCTCTTTTTCCCTTCCCCCAGGACTCGCCTCATTTTTTATGCTTTGATTATTCATCCTGCTTGTTCTTTGAGTCTTTCTAGATGATATTCGGAGAGATTTGATTAAGACTCCAACTGGATTCATTTAACACCAAAGCACTCCATAATCTCCCAAGCGCTGTCGCAGCCAGACCCACGCTCTCGCATTACTATAAACTATCCCTCAAAGAACAATTCAGCTCCTTGCACCTGTCTCTTCACACACAACTATATTGATGAGTGGGGCTACAGAAACAACCTCAGATGTTGTATTAATGTCTACAAACTCAAAGCTTTGGCTAAAAAACCTCAACAACTGTTCATAACAGGTGCACAAGAGTCTGAATGTCAAAATCTACTGCAAAACCTTCTCCGGAGCTTTCACTGGCTTTTCTAAGAGACTCTGTTACGGGTCTGTTACCGGATTTGTACCCAAGGAGAGCTTTGTTTTTCTCCCTTTATCAGTCTCCAGTACAAACTCGAGGCTGTTTCCCTTCACTTGTAGTGAAGAGTAGCGCTGTTGGAGTCACCTGTTGAGTGCTGGTGTAAAACAGACACAAGGCAGAAAACGAGTGCTTCCTGGTGGCAGAGATTTCCCTAGAGAATTTATCTCACTTTTCTTCTCAGGATTCTTCTCATAGGGCTGTCAATGTCAGTCCAAACCCTCTCCAGCCTTTGAGCATCCTTTATTTCCTTATACAGGAAGGTCACTAGCAGACGCAGTGAGAATAGACATGGTTTTAAAAATGCCTCCCTTTTTTTTCTGGAATGGCTTAGATGGAACTTCCAGTCCAGAGAACTCATTTGGGCACTCACTTAATCTAAAAGAGCTTTCTTCCAATGGTCCTGGAGGGCTTCACCCTGCACTAAGCTTCTTCTAGGAAAAATAAGCTGCACGCTGAGTTCTCGTATGAATCTATATTTTTGCTAGTATAAAGTGTCACATTCCAGAAGACAGGTGTGACATCAAAAAGCTCCAATCGACAGATGAGAGGCAGTGGTTACTGTGATTGCTCAGGCATTGTGGGTAGATGCTGCTGCTACTTTTCCTGTGTCCCATGAGTGTATGCCTTGAAATCTGAGGTACAAATGAATCCGTCCCTCTATTCTGCATTACCAGGGCTTTGGCTCATTCTTTTCCTTTCTGGAAGACTTCTCTGGAAGTCTGGTAACTTCAGAGCAGGCTGTGCATGGGAGGGTGCAGATACTGTCTGTCCTTTTCCTGAATGCTTTCCAGCACTCAGAGATGGGGATACAAAGTCCAGTTCCCACCTACATCCCATCTGCAGCTGGATACGTGCCTTTACTGTGGCATCCCAAGGAGCCATCTGTGGAACAAGCACGGATGAGTAATATGCTGATGTGATCTGGGAGCACCTTCCAGCCACGTGTGCCAGATCCACCAAGCCAGCATAATGGATTTCTATTTCCCCAGGTGCCCCTAGACTTCAGGCAGCTTTAAACTGCTACCCTGAAAACTTCTCTACCCATAGTTCTGTAGTTCCCCAGAATCATGCAGGCTGCCTATTTCTGCAATAAGTTACTGCTTTCTGACTGCTGCACGCAAAATTTAGGAATGCATTGATACATGACATCCTAATATGAACCATACCAGTAACATTGGAATTTAAATATTCATGGCTACTGAACGCAGATGGTGAACACTGTGTGCCAATACGTTATTGCTTTGAGTCTCTGCTGAAGCAAGGTTCAGTCCAACTTTATCTGAACATGAGGATTCCAGTCTAATCCTTTGGGGCTTTGTCATGCAATTACAACAAATAACTATTTATTTTACACTGCCTTTGGGAAAACCCTGAAGCAGAAAACTATAATATTTTATATCTGAAGTCTGGTCTAGTTTACGTAGCTGGATGCTGACTGCTAAAACACTTAGGGAATGCCAGTGTTTCAATTTATTGAACACACTGTGTGACTTAAGCTTAAGTGCGCAAAATTCATGAAAAGTTTTAGCCCGTTTAATGCATTTTTCCAAAGTTTGTTTGGAAATGCTTTCAGCTTTTAAAGAAATGGAACTGAGAGAAGCACTGCCATCTGAAACAGTTTACTGTATAGAGATAGGTAAAAAGAACTGATATAAAGGCTACGTGGCAGATTAAACTAAAAAGCAAACAGATGCCATGGGTTTGCTTTCAGTTTCTTTTAAAAGGTCAAAGATATGTGTCTTTCGGGGGTAATTAAAGAACACTTGCCCCATGAGCCTATTAGTACCTTACTCTGACCTGCAGGTTATGACTTTCTTGTTGATTTAGGCAAAGACACGCTACACACACACACACCTGGTGTTTATGGAAAAGCACAGTTCGCAGATAAGCTTTTCCAATTGTTCCAAAAACCTGCCTTAAACTAACAACAACTGCAGCATCAGCAGTAGTGTTCCTGAAGAATCAGAGAGGACTGATTGCAAACATTAAAGTCAAAAAAAGAATTCCCTTCAGCAAGGAGTTAAATTGCTTGAAAACTGTAACAAGTCTCGCGAACACTTCTTGCAACCTGTTGACAACAAAGCTGAGATCACTGGCATGGGACTTGTTGATGGCTTACCCAGACACCTGCACTAGATGCTGAAATAGCGGGAATTTTTCTCAGCTGTGCTCAAACTGTACTCCTTCGCTTGTGGCTTGGGATGCATTTTTGGAAGATTACATATGGTCTCATTAAAGATCCCTACTCTTGTGTGACACTGATACGGTCTCGGAAGTCTTCCAGCTTTATCCCAGACAGTAAGGTAAATCCGCAGCGCTCTGCCTGTTGCTCCATCTTCTCCTTTCAGAGGCCCCCTAAGCATTTGTCCCCTTCAGCTTCCCCTCTCCTTTCCAACAGCCTCCCAGAACCAAGCTCTGACACCAACCCAGCCAGCTGATCCCTGCCTGCTTTGGGGGGAGAAGCTTCTAATGAGATTTATGCATGGGGGAGAAATCACATTAGCTCATAGATATCTGCGGTGGCCAAAAGAAAGGTGGAAAAAGAAAAAAGGAAAGAAAGAAAGAAAGAAAAAGCCAGGAATTTCATTTTCCGATGTGCTCCTTCCTTTCTTTTGCTGCTACCTTCAGCGGCACGGCTAGAGCTCGGCTGCACACCCCGTGCACCCCCCTCCGCCTTTTTTTTCCCTCTTTCCTAAGGCACGTTCCTCGCACCTGCGGAAGGGCTGAACGCCGGGAGGGCAGCAAACGGGAAATAAAAGCGCCCGCACCGCCAGGGAAAGGCCGGTTCCAGCGCCCCGGACAGCGAGCGGGCACCTGCCGGGCCGGCACCTGCCGCCGCGCCGCGCCCTTACCGAAGCGGCTGTGGTCCTGCCGGGTGCCGTGCACCGTGCCGTTGGGGAAGATCTCCAGGTGGAAGCCGGTGCGGCAGTAGAGCTGCCGCCGCCGCAGGATGCCCTTGAGGTGCGCGAAGTCGGTGGGGGAGCCCCGCTGCAGCCGCCCCTCGATCTGCCCCAGGCGCTCGTTGAGGAAGCCGGGCGAGTCGGCGAGGGGCAGCCCGCCCAGCGCGGGGGGGAAGCCGTGCAGGTCGGGGTCCAGCGCGCCCAGGAAGCCGCCCACCTCGGCCATGGGGCCGCGGCCAGGGCCGGCCCCGCGGAGCGGCCTCCGAGCGCCGAGCGGCCCTCAGGGCGCGGGCTGCTGCCGCCCGGCCCCGCGCTGCCGGCCCCGGCCCTGCGCCGCGCTGCCCGCGCCTCCCATCCTGGATGTGTCCCGCGCTCGGATGTACACCGCACTTATATACGTACACACTCCCCTTACATTGACATATTGGATATTTAAATGCAAGCCACACCTCACTGGCATCCCCTTTGGCTATGGGTTGTGTGTGGGGGGTTTTTTTTCTTTCTTTTTTTTCCTTCTTCTCGATCCATTTGTGGTTGGCTTTTTTTTTTTTTTTTTTTTTTTTTTTTTTTTTTTAAAGCTTCACTCCCTCTTTTATTATGAAAAAAAAAAAAAAAGAAAGAAAGGGCAGGAAAAAGCTACACATTGCAGCGAGGCGCAGCGGCTCTCGGCAGCTCGGAAGCACAGAACCCCCGGCCGCCCCGCTCCGTCCCTTCCCGACCCTCGGCCGCTCCCCCCGGGTCCGGCCGTGCCCGCACCCCGCCGAAGGGCACCATGCGGAAACGAGAGGGGCTCGAGGAGCGTTTCTCAGCGGGATGCATACGCGCCGAAAGCGATCTTTCTGAAAAGCGATCCCGCGGGTTTTACGGGCGGGTTTACGAGCGGCGGGCGCTGAGGGGCCGGGGCGGGCGCTCCCCAGAACGGCCGCGGGCCCGCTCCCCACCTTCCTCGTGTTGGAAACAGGTGTTTCCGCGCCCTCCCCGGCCCTCCGACACCGTATCCGTGACGGCGGCTGCCGCCGCAGGCAGACGGAGTCAGGCACGAGGAGCCGCGAAGGGAGGGAGAAAGCCAAGCCTGGGCCCCGCGCCTCAGCCCCGCGCCCAGTCCGCGCCTCAGCCCCGCTCCGCCCTGCCCGCCAGGCGGCGCTGCCGCTCGCGCCTCTGCCGCTGCGCGGGGCCGTCCGCGTGTGGGGAGAGGGAGACGCGGCCTTCGTTTCGCGGTGCCCCGCGGTGGGCCGCAGAGAATAATGAGCAGTTCCCCCAAAGAACCCGCGAGCACACCGGCTGTGCTGCTCGGGTCTCCTCGTGCCGCAGCCTCGGTGGCAGGGGGACATCAGAGGGTTCTCTTCTCCGCCGTTGGTTCTCTCCCCTCGGAAGGACTCGCACCTCATCGAGTCCTCTGTCGGACAGCCTCCTCCGCATCAGAGGCTTTCTCCCTTCACGGGTCTCCCGTCAGCAGGTAGCTGACCTCAGGAAGCCTCACCTCTCTGCGGGTCTCTTCCCCTCAGAGGGTCTCTCCCCTCAGCTCGCATTCTTTTGACCCCTCACGAGTGTCTCTCCTGCCTCCGTGGGTGTTTCCCTTCAGCGCTGAGTTCCCTTCAGGAGGACTTGCTCCCTTCAAGTCTCTTCCCCTCAGAGGGTCTGTTCTCTCCCCTTATGGGTTGCCCCTCAGCCAGCTTCCCTCTCCTCAGGGGTGGCTCCCCTCTGGAGGATTCAGCCCTCTGCGGGTCTCTTCTCAGTGGGTCTGTTCCCTCACACGTCACCCCTATGGTGGGTCTCCCCTCAGCAGGCAGCTCTATTCATGAGGACTCACCCCTCTGGAGGTCTTCTCCCCATCAGCAATGTTCCCCTCAGCGGTCTGTCCCCTCAAGGGTCTCACTTCGAGGGATCTCTTCCCCCTCAGAGGGTCTCTCCCCTCAGGAGATCTCACCCCAAAGCTGCCGTTCCCCACATCTGCCCCAGGGCAGTGGGAGAAAGGCCCATGACATATAGCCCCCTTTTCCCACAGGCCAGGCAGTTCTCTGTTGTGAAGACCTGAAGGAAATTGTGATATTACCACATGGAGTATCCACACGTGCATCTGCAAAGGGTGAGGGATCTGGTTTTTTAATTGGAGGTGGGGGTGTTTTTTCCTGTCAGGGCTCTGGCTATAAAAGGGGTGTATTTGATGCAGAACTTGACACATGAAGCCTAAAGCCATGGGTGTTTTTAAAACATAGTCTGTTCCCGAGGTAGTAAAATCTGCAGAAGTGAGTGTTGGCTATTTGTCATGTATGGTTACATGACACTGTCTGCAGCGTTCAAGCACCCCACAGCAAAGATTGTATTTTTATTCCTGCATTTTCTGTATGAAGACTCAGGTGTGGTTGAGTTACTGAGGGAAATACACTGTGCCTAAAGAAAGTGAGAGAAGTGTACATCCCAAACGCTGAATAACTGCTGAGAACGTAATCCTGTAAACACTGTGAATGTAATGCACGAAATCCATATAATATGAATGATCCTGATACAATCAAATGCACTCTTCTGTAAAACAAGATTTTGTTGAAATTAGTGTGAATTTTGCCTCTGGATTGGTAGTGACCAGAATTTCACCTCGTTTATGAACATGTCTGGTGGTAGATCCTAGGGGTATTCTGAATAGAGAGGAAAAAACAGTTTTTTCATCAAAGGACTGGGCAAGCTCAACAGAGGCTTCTGTCACTGACTTCAGGAGGCTCTGAGTCTGTTACAATATCCTTAAACCTAAATCCATACAATCATTTAGAGGAATCCTTAGGAAACTGAAAAGGCAAACGATTTCAATTACATTACAGTAAAATCCAAGATAAAGTAAAAACCACAAACCTCTATGCTTAACTAATGCATAACAAAAGCAGAGAAATCCCTCAACCAAGCTGACATTCCTCACTTAACTCTCCATGATTATGGTCAGCTTTTGAAGTGTCCTCAATACATTTTATTGAGAAGTTGTACCGCCTGGTACAACATGTTCTATTTAAGCATAACAGGATGCAGAAAAGGTAGTTTTCTCTTTTCTTTTTTGTCTTTAATTTCCTGGTTTGTTTACATTTTTGCTAAGCTGAGGAAAAAGCAGAGAGAGAGTTGTATCCTGTATTGTTTGAAGAGACAAGGTATGTATTTTGAATACGCAAATCTAGAATAACTTCTTTGAAAGAAGAAATATGTTTAGCTATTTTTTCACGTATGAGATAGAATACAGTTATGCACTCACCAATTACTTGAAGACAGACGCTTGTAAACCATTTGCATCACAGTGCATCATGTGTTACAGATTTAACTTTCTGCTCTGCTGTGTTCTAGCTTATGTGGTGGCCCAGGTTTATTCTTTGGTTAAGGGCTGTGTTTTCTACCTTGGTAATGGAAAAGGTTACTGATGAACAGCTTAGCCTTTTGATTTACAGAAGAATAACCAGCAATATTTATTCTTGATTGGCCAAAATGAAACTTGCATACCCCTTGCCATATGCTGTAGAAGTATCTGTTTAGCAAGGTAGTAAAAAAAATAACATTTATTTGCAAAATAAGTGCTATATGCAAAGAGCAACTGCATTTTGTATCTTGCAATAAAAACAGAAGAAAGAGCAGGACTGGGGTCAAAACAATTAATTAATTAGAAAAGAAACAAGTGAATGCAATATCAGTAAGCCTAGATCCTTGTATATCCTTTGTCTGAGGCAATCCCATTTGGCAAAGAGAAGGTCAGGATAACTAAAAAAAAGAAAGTGAAGTAGGAATGGCCGTAAATCAAGAATGAGACATGAAGAATATCTGAAGAAGAAGAAACAGCAGAGCCTTGTGCTTCAATAAATAATATTTCTGCTTCCCTAGTACCTCCCACCTCTGTATCTCAAAACAGTTTATGTACGCTAATGAATTAAGGCCCACAACTAAGATCACTGTGCATTTGCTCTTCCCCAGTCTCTTTTTCCACTCAGATATGTTGTTCAGAGGATATTGATGTCTTTCTGCATTTGTTTGGGTTATTGAATGTGCAGCAGCTCTGCTGGAGCAGTAGCTCTCACCAAGCATCTGTATACCCAGAAACCAGACACGTCCACTCTGCATGTGCAAGGAGCCCTTCTGCCTTTTGTTGTGTGGCGACCATCTGTGCTGCACATGCAAGGAATGTCTGAGGTTTCCTGGCAGATAAACAGGGCAGACCCCTTTGTGAGGGGGTGAATAAACAAATTTTCTTAAGAGGGGTAGAGGATGGTTTATTGGTTTTTATCTTTGGTTGTTTTTACTTAGGCTAGTATTATTATTATCTTTTGTAGTACCACTTCCAGGTCCTAAACCCAGCACAGGCCCTGTTTCTGCCAGATACTGCATTAGGAAGTGTGTTACAAACATTGCTGCCCTCTCCTGTGAAAGGATTTCTAATGGAAGGCAACATGAATGAAGCCACAGGATCAATCAATATGTGAAAGTATGCATATATTTTTGTGATGAGTTTAGAAGTGGTGGCGGAATTAAAGGGTCTAAGGATAAGGCTCTAGACTTGCCTGCCTGGATCTTAGAATCAGGTGCTTAAATGAATAATGTGATTTTCAAAAGGGAAGTCCCATCCTCTCCAGTTGTTTATTTCAGTGTCAGACACGGATTTGCTGCTTGTAGTAATCCCAACATGAATTAACAGGTAGTAAGCAGAATTGTTCTGACTTACCTCGGACTCACATGAGCTTAATTAGCAGACAGTTCTTGCTTCTTAGATGGCTTTCTATAGAACTTAAGGGAACAAGTCACATACAAGCAGGTCTAAATGAACATCAGAACTTCACCGATCCTCATGTACACAGCTTTACCTTATTTCTCCATTTGGAAACTGGAAGTGCTTATTCACTCTGAGAAGCATCCCTTTTCTTCTTATGGCTAAGTGTAGGATCAATTCCTAACTTGAATTATAGACATTCATACCTTTACAAGTACCTGATGCTGAATATGAGGAGGAATCTTTATTGGGGGAGAGTGGTGCAAATTGCAATACTTTCCATTTAGAATTATAGAATCATATAATAGCTCAGGTTGGAAAAGACCTTAAAGATCAAGTCCAACTGCAGCCAAGCCATACTACCCTAACAACCCTCTGCTGAATCATGTTCCTGAGCACCACATCCAAATGGACTTTAGACACATTCAGGAATGGTGACTCAGCCACCTCCCTGGGCAGCCTATTCCAGTGCTTAACAACCCTTTCTGTAAAGAAGTTTTTCCTGATCACCTAAACTTTCCC